CATACCAAAACAATTAAAGGGATCTCGGGATCGAGCAGATGGCCAAACTTCCCAAAGAATATTTGCTAGCCTACCAATTCCTTAAGAATCTCTACTAGTTGCCCTTGCTCAAAAAAGTCTAGATTATTCGCAAGTTGTCAAAATCTGCGCTGGTGGCTGTTAGTTCCTGCATTATCGCTGCTAGCTGCCCCTTCCAAAAGCATCTCTGCTAGTTGTCTTTCCTCAAGAATTTCCGGCAGGCCTCTTCCCAAAGGATCTTTGCAAGCTACCTCATTCTAAAAAGCCTCTTCCAAAGAATCTCTGCTGGCATCCGCTTCTTAAGGGGTCTCGGAATCTCTAAAATCTTCGTTAGCTTGCTTTTTCCTAAAGCATCTCTGCTAACTACCTCATGCTAAAGAATCTCTGCTAGCCAGCTTTTTCCTAAAGAGACCATGCTTCCCAAAAAAACCTTTGCTGGCCTGCCTTGTCCTAAAGGATCTCTGCTAGTATGCCTTTTCCCAAAGGATCTCCGCTAGCCTGCGTCTTCCTAAAAAATTTCTGCCAGCTTGTCACTTCCGCCTAGAGCCGTTTGTAGCATTGCCATCACCGCAATCGCGTATTTTCGAAACTACAAACTTCAAAACTGTAGGGGCTTTTCGACAATTCAGCCCCACGTCGAACGCCTCGACATTCTGTCAAATATCCCACCGCCTTAGAGAGTTGATATTTGCGCAGAAGGTTGCGAGGGTCCGCCGTGCGGCTTAGAAGACGGGGAAGGGGGGTTTTTATAACTTTTAAAGGACCGGTGAAGGCAAAAAGGGAAAAAATCGGCATCTCCAGCCCTTGCCGTAGCTTCTTAAAAGTCTAAAATATATTTCAAACAAATTTCGACTCTTTCACTACCAAAAAAAGCAAAAAAAAGTAATTTTTTTTCAGAAATCCATAGCCATTTTTTGCCTGCACCGTCCCTTTAATGAATTACGGTAGGCAAAACATGTGAGAATACGGTAAAGTTACGGTAAATACCGAATTTTCAACATCACAACACTAATGACACCTTTATTCGACAGTAAAAGTAACTAACCGAATAGATATTGGTGTAAAATATACAAAATTAAAACTAAGACACATCAGCAATGGAAACCAATATTTTTGAAGTTGAAAAATGATTAAAGTTGTCTAATTATTTTAACTTAGTTAGTTAGTTAAAAGGATACCTTAAATAGGAAACTTCTTAAAATAATTCAATTCCGATTAATATCCGAGTCCTTGCATTTGCATCTTGGTCTCGGCCGCGTCGCGCGCAGGGTCCGGAACCGTTTTCCCCTCCAACCAATACGTCGTAGCTGTGCCTTTGCCCTGGAAAGTTAGCGTAGCGACGCGTAACGCAAAGTAGACGGACGTAACGTGTCAGCGCGCACGTCGTCATCAGGAATTGCGCTTTATCAGATGCCCACCTTGACATCGACGGTGCCGCGAAGCGTACAGTTGTACTCGGGGTAATGCAATTTCAATAAATCACGGGCTACCTGGAAAAATAGGTACTACTAATACTCTCTCTCTCTCTCTCTCTCTCTCTCTCTCTCTATCTCCATCTCGCTCTCAAATACCTCAGATAACTGGATCATTTCCGGCATTCCGGTGCTCTCCATCCGCGAAGCCATATTTACCTAAACCCCCATTATTTTCTAAACCCTGCCTATCCTACCGTATCTCCAAAAAGACAGTATCTAGGCGCAGTCAGCCCGACTACTCCGGCCGCTACGGGACCCGAGTGGATGCCGAGTCGGATGCGGATGCGGATGTTGCGGCGATGCGGGATCTCGTAGCTGCGCAGATACTGAACAGAGATTAGTCTTTTGATTTATAGTTCTCAAAAACCCTTTTATTTAAATGGGTAAGAGTTTACTTTACCCCCCACAGGCGAAGGGTCTCAAAGTTGTCGGTATTTTCGCTTATTTTGTCGGGATTTTTGCAAAAGAGTTTTAATTTGAGCCTACAATAATGTAAAATAAAAAAGTTATAGCCAAAAACTTCCGGCTGGGGGGAGGGTAAAGTAAACCATAGCCTTTAAATGCATTGAACGAGTTACGTGACATGGCCGATTGGTTAACTTCTAGCTTTCCAAGCAAAACGACCCGGGTTCGATTCCTGCCGGTGCTGAGCTTTTTGCCTTTCGCTTCTTGAGTAAAAATCTATTTTTAATGCGGTTTCACCAGGTTTGGAGCTAAAGACAAGGTAGCTTATTGGTTGCGTGCTAGTTTTCGAAGCGAACGACCCGAGTTCGAATCCCGCCGGCGCCAAACTTTTTGCTTTTCGATAAAAACTTTTAAGTTCGGTTTTCTCATGGTAAAATATACGCCGCGACTTTCCACTAAACGTTCCAGAGGTTCCGGACGTTCCGTGAGCCTTGCTTGACCCTTTAAGAGCGCGGACCTCCATCATGCCGAGCCCGGTCTCACAAATCAGCGAGATATGACGATGCCCATTCTCCTCCGGAATCCCCGACACTATCATATACGCGTCGCCGATCGTCTCCACCTAAACATTGCCGATTACAGGGGCCGGCAAGGCAGAAAAATCGATGAGTAGACCATCCCAGCCCCTTAAAACCATACGATTACCTTATAAGATTCGTGCTTGTTGATGACGTCATCAAAACCGGAGTACAGCCCATTCAACATGTTCACCACCTCCAGCGGGCTCGACGTCGAGCAGATCGTCGTGAAGCCGACGATATCACTGAAAAAGCAGGTACTGGACTGTTAGCGGGGGGTTAGCGATACTTTACGATGCACAAATCCGCACCTAAACATGACGGTGGCCGAGTTGAACAGCTTGGGCGGGACGGCGCGGCCGAGTTTCAGCTCGTTGGCCACGTATCTGGGTTTGGAGTGTATTTCGAGCTTTGAGCAGGAGCTTGGCTACAAAACACAACACTTGTAAAGTACCGTACTTTGGCAAGAGTTGAGAGAGGAGGCGGTCGGCTCGAATATTGGCCTCCTCCAACATGCCGGTTCGCTCTTTCACCAGCTTTTCCAGGTTGTTGGCGTACTGTAGAAGGGGCGGGTTTTAACAAAAGGCCTCTAATTGATACCTGTTCCATCATTCGCATCATTTGGTCGACCAGGGAGCCTTTGCTGAAAAGGAGGAGATTTTTTGGGGAATCTGCATCTTTCTCTCTCGCTCTCCCTCTCTCTATGGCTCACTCTCTCTCGCCCTCTCTGTTTGTCTCTCGCGCTCTCTACCTCATTCGCTCTCTGGTGCGCTCTCTCTCTCATTCGCTCTCTCGCTCTTGCGCTTTCTAGCCCTCTCGCTCTCTTTAGCTCTTGCTCTCTCTCACTCTCTCGCTCGCTCTCTCGCTCGCTCTCCCTCGCTTTGTTTATGATTTAGCAGTATAACCAGGTTTCAAATCCCTAGTTCTCTCTGCTAGTCTGCCTCAAACTGTCTACCGTACCCCTGTTCCACTCACACTTTCAAATACGTCTCCGTATTCAGCCGTACTCTCCGCACAGATGGTCTCACTTCCGGGTTCTCATTCCAGCAGTCCTAAATCATGACCTTCTACCGTAACGTGGGGATTCCGACCTGTAAGAGGGCGCACAGATCCGGGTGAATATCCTGGCGCTCTTGGATAGTTGGTTTGTACGACTTGGACCCGTCGCGGATGTAGTCGCACAACTCTGAAGCGGGGTACGGTAATGAGGTGGAATTTAGGAATGTTCGTGAAATGTACTTTTAAAGGAACCTTGAAGGCATTTAAAGAGACTGCGAAACCAAGAAAAATGACGCTAATCAACGTAAAAATTACCATCAACGCTGGTGGTGCTTGGAAAAGGTAGGGCACGGTATAGAATCTCGTACATCACCATCCCGAACGCGTAGATGTCGCCGGACTGGCGGCGGGCCTGAAAGTACGAACTACAACCTTTACCGACAAAATATGAGAATTTTCTGGACCAGTTTTTTGTGCTGATTCCAAATGTGCAGCCTGATTTGCGCAAAAAAAACTTAATTTTGATATACGACAGCTTTTTCAAGTTTTAAAGCAAAAAAGTTATAAAAATTGCCATAACCATAGATAGAAAATAGCTAGACATAAACTAACAAGGAGTGCCCTTTTAGTGTCATCGGCAAAACCTTTTGCGACCTAGCTCATTCGATAGAAAATTGAATTCTGAACAAGCTCCCGTTGTTCGTTTTTGCGGAATGGCTGTCTCCGATTTTATAAAATTAAAAAACTAAAGCAGCATTTTTGGACCTCGATGCTCGCGCCACCCCCGAAATGGCCGCCGGGGGAAGAGCCGCTCTGACCTCTCCCCACCACCAGAAGCGTGGCGCAGTGGCTAACACCACGGGATACCGAAAATTTTTTGCGATTCAGGCAAAAGTTCGAAACTCACATCAACAATTCTTTTTGCTTTTTGAATAAGATTACGCTTGAAACTTACGCCTTGTGGCCGTTTCATGTGCATTTTTGAGAAAAGCCGGCTTGCACCAACTCGATTCTTATTTAGCGCATGGTTTTCAAAAACATAGGCTTTTTCACTAAGGACTGTTCGATTGTCTCCGCTTCAAATCAAACGGACGTTGACCTATGAACCAAGCGCAATCAAAATTCAAAAAGCAAAAAGAATTCTTGATGTGAGTTTCGAACTTTTGCCTGAATCGCAAAAAATTTTCGGTATCCCGTGGTGTTAGCCACTGCGCCACGCTTCTGGTGGTGGGGAGAGGTCAGAGCGGCTCTTCCCCCGGCGGCCATTTCGGGGGTGGCGCGAGCATCCAGGTCCAAAAATGCTGTTTTTAGTTTTAATTCTATAAAATCGGAGACAGCCATTCCGAAAAAACGAACAACGGGAGCTTGTTCAGAATTCAATTCTCTATCGAATGAGGTAGGTCGCGAAAGGTTTTGCCGATGACACTAAAAGGGCACTCCTTGTAAGCGTAGATTCGGAATCAGCGTAAAAAATGGGTCCAGAAAAAGTGGATACGGTAGCGATCCGGCACCTTTAATGAAATTTAAAAACTAAAACCGACCGCCGACTGCTTGACCCAATTCTGGTCCATGCCGCGGCGCTTGTTCGACTCCCGATTCCGTAGCAACTCGGGCGCGTTGTACAGTACGCCTGGGTGTATATAGGTGCAACTTGTAGGGGGCGTAAGAATGGTTTACTTGTCTTTTGCAGGGCTCCGCTCTTTCCCTCCCCAGCGCCTTCTTTTAGGGTTTCGGTGGCGATTGCGCCTTGTTTTTCCCAGCGCTCCAGCGGGTTTGCGATACCTTCAATTTAATATATTTTTAGTTTTAATGATTTAATCGTGATAATTGTTTTTAATACCTTAAACAATAGATTTTCGATCTCTTAAATGCTTGATATTTTTAATTTTAATGATTTAAATATATTTTAAAACACCTAGGTTTTTGCGAAACCTTAAATACATTAATTGGGGAGTTCTTTGTATTAAAATGCTATAATAATTTTTGCAATACCTTAAATATACTAAATTTCGGCTTTTATGCATTTCTAATACCATAATTAGCGTTGTAATACCTTCATTATAATATATTGGTTTTAGTTTATTAATTCAATAACATACTTGTAATTTAAATGTTAACAACCCAATTCCTTAGAGCAATAAAGTCACAAAAATCCTATAATTTGCCCCTCCTACCGTAGTCCGTCAGTTTCACCATCCAATTTCGATCGATAAGGCATGCCCAGGGGGTCAGAGAGCCGTGATAGCCAATCGGGGAGGCGTGTAGGTATTCCAGACCCTGAAAAATTAAATTAGAAGCTAAAATGGCCAAAAACGGAAAATGCAGGGTGGCTGATTGGTTAAGCTCTAAGCTGTCAGGAACGTGACCCGGGCTCGATCCCTGTCGGCGCAGAACTTTTTGCTTTTGGATAATCTTGAGAGATTTTCACGGTAACATCACAAAACTCCAGAATGGCAGACTGGTTAAGCTCTAGGCTGCCAGGCAGAGGACCCGGGTTCGATCCCTGTCGGCGCAGAACTGTTTGCTTTTTGCCCAAACTCACCAGTGTGATGTCCCGAATGAATGCCGCATGGAATTTCGCATCCATAGAAACATCATCGTTGTAGATGATGTCCTGAATGGTACCGCGCGAGCAGAACTTCCACAGCACAATCATCTCCTCCTTTTCGTTAAAAGACATCCCGAGGAACGGGTTGATATTGTCGTGCACCGCTTGTTTCATCTAAAAAATTCATCTGCCTTGGGTTCTTTTGCATTAGCGGGGGTACCCTCGCCCAATTCCTCAAAGAATCTCGGCTAGCCCTCTCCCATTTCTTCAAAGAATCTCTGCTAGCCTGCCCTCTCCCATTTCCTCAAAGAATCGCTGCTAGCCTGCCCTCAGGCGCCGATAGATCTTTACCATTGTCAACAGCATCTGATCCTGTCTCGAAAATGTGATCGGACGTCGCTGTGGGTACATATGAAATGAGGCATGCGTATTCGTCCCCACCACCGCATGATGTTTCGCAAATGTCGACATGTTCGACATTTTCGTACGAGTTGAGGCTATTGACAGCTGAAATCACTTGGTTTTTAGATTCTTGTCCCTGTAAAAAGCGCAAACTTTGTAATTTTTGCCGTAATATAGCCAATTTTTAGTACTTCTCAGGCCCTTTCAACCCTTAAAAAATCACCATCGATTTCATCTCCTCCTCGTTGACAATCCGGAAATCTTCACGGTAGAGCCGCCAAGGCGTTCGGGCCAGCGCGCGGTTTTGGCTAAAAAAATAGGCTTTCATGGCTGCTGAAGATTCAGTAACCCGTGAAACAGAGCCCCAGTTACCGTACCAAACCCGCACAAGCACCGCGCCGGCAATCGTCGCCCCCAGGATGATCATCACCAGCACACCGCCCATGATCAACAGGGTGTAGTCGCACTGGAAAGTCATGCTAGGCTTGGCATTTTTGGTTTTCATTTGATTTTTTATTTTTCGACGATTACGGTAGCTTTCGGTACGTTTTGTGCATTACCGTAGCAGGCAGTGCGGTTCAGTACGATAGGCTACGCCATTGTACAAAGCGCTACGCCACAGTAATGTAAAGGATCTTACGGTAGAGTACGCTACGTACAGTACAGTGCATACAAGACTACGCTACGTTAGACTGCGCCAGAGTATGTCCCGCTACGTTATAGTACGCTACATACGATACACTTCGAAAATGTTACTTAGGTTTGAAGTACGATAATGTGCTCTACGCTATAGTACTCTGTAATGCGCACTACTCACCCTCTCGTTACGGTATCCGCAGACGGGCTCGTCTGGGGGAAGTTTTCCGTCGGAAGACGGCCAAAACCCAGTCACCAGGTCGCTCATCGTCTGCAACGAATTTTAGCATTTCAGGGATCTTTGGGGAAACGGTAAAAGTCGCTAAACTCACCAAATCATAGCAGCCGGACTTTGTTTTAAACCCGTCGCAGGCGGCGATAAATTTCGGCTCCATCTCGAGTACCTTGATGACGTTATCGCGGTTTGGAGCGACGAAGAAGCCTGGAAATTTTTTAGGGTTTTGTTGATAATTTTAAAGGCACGAGCAAGTCATGTTTATCTAACCGTGGGTATATGTGATTAAATTAAATTAAATAAAACCGTGATTAAATTCACAAGGAAGACAAATTTCAAGGCAAAAAATTGAAAATGAAATATAGAAAAATTACATTAATCCATGGCGTTTAAAGGTACAGGCAAGGCAAATTTTTTGCAACCGAGCGCTTTTTAGACTTTTTTACGCCTGCCAGTTACCTTAAAATTTAGCGGCGGAGAATTTGAATAATCCACCTTTGGCAGACGTGGCCTAGACAGAAGCTCAAATTACGGAAAATACTTGAAAATACGTGAACTCTCCAGAACTGGGCTATTTACACTAACCGGCATATTTTGGGGCCCGCTCCGCCAAGTCGTCCATTATTACCGTACCCGAGCCGACGCCAGCGGCGCTGACGAGGCCTGAAAAATATGAAAAATTGGTTTTGCGGCTGTAGCCAAGTGGTTAGGGAAGTTGGGAACCAATCAGAAAGTCCAGGTTCGACTCCCCGGCGGGGCAAAACTTTTCCTCTTTGGAATTTGTGATTTTTTCCATGCCAAAAACCGTTCAAACCCGCCTTCTAAAATTTGCCTACCAGACTGAAGGCCCGATTTCAACGCCCGGTCGCGACAAACTTTTTACTTTTTGCTTTGCGCGACTTTTAACATTGTTTGCAACCGTTTTTCTTGCCCAAAAGGCCAAACAAACCCGGAAACGTCATCCGCCTCATCTTATTCCACAGCCTCTTCCCATCGAGCACCACCTTCGGGTCCTAAATTTAAAACTACGTTCAATTTTAAATCTTCCAACATCAGTTTCATTGATGGCTGCCCTGGCGGCGCTGGCGTACAGCTTGAGCGCGTCGTACAGGTGGATGTAGGCGTAGATGTTTTTCTGAAATCAGCTCGATAAAAACTACATTGTTTGGCTGCTGATTTTTTGGCAATCGATATCCGGAAATTCAGGCATAAAAATACCATCTCGAGGTCGTCAGTGGTCATGCCGTTGCTCTCGACTCTTTCTTTGAAGGGAGTCACCATCGTGTCGTCGAAGCCGTTGACGTCGTCTACCTGAATTTGCAAGAGAATAAAGGAAAAAGAGGAGAGCTAGACAGACAATGAGAGAGAGAGAGAAAGAGAGAGAGAGAGAGAGAGAGAGAGAGAGAGAGAGAAAGCGGCTGAGTGTATGTGATGATGTAAGGGTGAGCAACCAAGAATGAGCACGAGAGCGAGAGACAGCGCGAAAAATTGAGCGTGAGAAAGACACTGTGTGTGAGAGCCAGACAGAGTAAGACGATTGAGCATGAGAGTGAGAGGATTTGTGTGAGAGCGAGAGAGAGAGAGAGAGAGAGAGAGAGAGAGAGCGAGAGAGAGAGAGAGAGATAGCAAGAACAAGGGAGAGCCCGAATCCACCCACAATCAATGCATTTGCATAGTGATCCTTGATATTCTGGAGCATTTGCCCGTCGGCACCAATCCAGGGCGACGCGTCCTTCGATTCGCTCTAGAATTTCTTAAATTCCAAGTTAAACGATGAAAGCAGCCGAATAATTTATCAAAACAACAATATATACTTTTATAGATTTTTAGAATTTTAGATTTTTCAATTTTATTTTTCAATTTTATTTAATGAAAAAATACCTGCAACCATGGCAAAATGTAGACATAGTCATGGGTGTTCATCCCCGACATGATCGTCGCCTGCATAAATTCGCGAGACAACTCGCGCGTCGACGAGAACATACAGATTACGACTGGAAATTCTCGTTTTGAAAAACGTTTTCTAGCGTACAATAAATACCGTACTCTAACCATATTCCTTGAAAATACTATCATTGGATTACAAAACGGAAAATAGCAATATCTACGTTACTTCTCGCAAAATTCGACAGTTCGTTCAGCAGCCCCGACTCAACCATTGATTTTGCCGTGCTCGACTCGTCGAAAATTATCTAAAACAATTGTTAAATTAACTATTTCAAAAATTAAATTAAGTTAGCATGTTCTAGCAAGCCATGCCTTTGAAAATTCCCCAATAATCTCTGCTAGTTGCCCACCTTCTTTACAACTTGCACGGATCGTTTGTGGAAAACCTCTTCAAAGCCGCCGACCCGGTCGAAGGCGAGCGCCCCGGTGTTCGTCACGATCGCCACCTAGGGGTACGGTAGGAGGGGCAGATTTTAGAAACGAACGAAATTCGAGAACGATACCTTTGACCATCCATAATGCTTGAGGGTCGCTGATACTGCCTCTGCCAGTGAATTCGTAGTACGTAGCGATACTCGGGCCAGCGTTTTGTAGATTGTCTAGAGGATTTTGTTGGAATTGTTTAGTGATTTTTTTACTGTTAGTGTCCCTTTCAAAAGTTGAAAATAAAGTATAAAAAACGTGAAATTTGATAACCCAAAATTGAGAACACACTTTATCCACAAACTGATTCGACGACGCCATATAGCCGACAATCGGGATGTTCCAAAATGTGGCCATCTTTGCCACCGCATCAAGCTCTGGAAAAATGGATGATATACTACGTTGTTTATAGAATTTATAAATTATATCAATTAATATACAAATTACCAGCATTACAGTAGGGTCCTATAAACGCGCGCACACCCTGCGCGTGGTACATATCCGCACCGACGGCCACACCCTCGAACGCCTCGCCACAGCCCATCGCCGTGATGATTCTGAAAGTTTTAGTTTTTAGGGATTGTGACCTTTAAGATCAACCCCAGCCTTTCACTAGCTGTCGACAAGTACGCAATACTCCAAAGGACGCACTGATTTTCTTGTTATCCTGCCTTTTTAACACTTGGAGTTAGTTAAATTCCGTCTTTTGGCTCAAACCGTTTCTGTCGACACCTAACCGATATAGAGGGTGGATTCCGGGCGTTTCTATCCCGCTTAAATAGACAGAAAATTCTAGAATCAACCCTCGACGTCGACTGGGTGTGGACAAGTACGCTGCACTCCAAATGACGCCTACTCGAATGTCACTTTCAGTTCATTCTCTCTTGAAGCCACATAATTCCCGTATTTTACCGCATCACGCATCTGTCGATACCTAGTCGCTAGAAGGGGGCGATTACGATCTTTCCAGCCGTTTTCGCGATTTTTTTTCTTCGTTTTCTCAAATTATCGGTAAAGCGCTTCACGGCTTAAGTTTAGCCACGGCATCGTGTTAACAAGAATTCACGTACTCGACGTCAAAATCGTCAGCGAGAATCCCCTCCTTCCACAGCTCCTTCCGCGAGATTTCCAGGATTTTGTCGCCGTTCTGCATGATCCCGGTAGCGCCGATGTGCCCGATTTTAACCTGAAGCATGCGTTTACATACCGTACTCTACCGTAGGTTCTCGTTATGCGCACTGATTCCAACCCGTACTGAAGCGAAGTGTGCTTCTCCACCGCATCCCACCGTACGCTTGAGTACTGTACCGTAATGCTACGTATTCTAGCGTAGTCAATCGAGCCCACTGTTAATACCGTATTAGCCTAACGTATTAATGCGTACTATCGCGTGGTCCAACGTATTCTACTGTTTGCTACCGTATACTGCGCCGATGCCCATACTTGGCAAAAACACAGCTTGGCTTCCACCGTATTATGGCGTGTCCGAGCGTAACCTAGCTTACGATACCGCAGTCTAACGCAGCGTGGCCCACTCTGCAGTAATCTGCCATATGCTACGATACACAATGGTACTCCGTAGTCCCATCCGTAATCTAGTGTACACTACCGTATTCTAGCGAAACCTGCCACAATTAACCGTATTCCGTAGTACGCTACCTTACGCAGTAGTACCCCCCTACTACCGTGGGGACTCTACTGTACTATACGTTGTGACGTACGCTACGGTACGCAGTAGTACACTACCGTATCCGTGACAACCGTCCGTATCCTAGCGTACTCTACCCACCTTGAGCGCAGCCGCATGAGGGACCGTAAATAGGAGGAGGAATAGTCCAAGCATTCTGGCGGTAAATACCTAGAAAATCGATCAAATTTAAGCTTTTTGACATTTAAAAATTGACTACAGTATGCCATAGCAAAAAATACATTTACAAAACTTAAAAAATTCTTTAACAACATTGTAGAATTCTGGACGCGACGCCGAATGTAGACGGCAAGGAAGTGCCCACCCGGACCCCTATAATCCGCCCAGACTACCGTACCCCTACCCCGAAGTCGTGGACCAATCAGGAGATGGAGGATGAGAATCCTGGCATTAAGCCCCCGTGGCCACAATCCGCTATTAGGCGCGCCCTGGGCTACCGTAATCCCGAGCCGGGGGATCAGCCGGAATATCCGAAATTGCCGTCCCGACGGGTGATGACAAAACCTTAGCCGATTTTCAGTATTAGTCAGCGTCGGAAATCCGAGATTCCGCTGGACTACAGCACCTACGGGCGTCATTGGGATTGGAACGGAACCACGATGCGTATTAATGCCCAGATTACCGGAAAGATTCGGTGTGAAAGAATCTGGAATGCAAAAAGCGAACCGTCTCAATGGTCTCTGCTCGCCCTCCCCAATGGTCTCTGCTAGCCCTCCCTAAGGGTCTCTGCTAGCCCTCCCCAAAGCTTTCTGCTAGCCCTCCTCAATGGTATCTGCTAGCCCTACCTAATGATCTCTGCTAGCCATCCCTAATGGTTTCTGCTTGCCCTCCTCATTGTTCCTGCTAGCCCTCCACATTAGTCTTTGTTAGCTTTCCCCAATGGTTTCTGCTAGCCGTCCTGAATGGTCACTGCCAGCACTGCCCAATGCCACTACTCGCCCTCCACAATAGTCTCTGCTAGCCATCCCCAATAATAAAAAAGTTGTGGTTCCTCTAACTTCACGAGCAAACTAGCAGAAATTATTTGAGGTAGTGTACGATTTAGTGTTTTTTTAATGCAACCAGGGCATAATTTATTGGGTATGTCAGTTCTAACAAAATAGTTGAATAATAAAGCATAGATTGTGTCAAAGAAATATACAAAAATAGGGAGACTAAAGCCTAAAAAATGCTAATAAAATGCATAACCGGGGCTGGATTCATCGTGATGAGATCAATTTATTTACAACGGTTTGGGCTATTAAATAAATTAAAATTATTTAACTAGAAAGTACGGTAAAGGTACGGTATACAATGCAATTATTTCTTCTGTAAATTGTTCTTGGAGAGTCCGAGGAAGGCGCCGAATTGGGAGGAGGACGGCTTGTCGGAGACGCGTTCCGTCGGCGCCCTGGAAATTTCAAAATTTTAGAGAAGTTTACATTAGCTTCCCGGCACTCATTTTAAAGGAGCCGCCAAGGAAAGGCTATGGATTTCCTATGGATTACCATCTTTTAAAGGGATTTGCAAGGCAAAATCCGTAGCCATTTCACGAATGGTACCTGTAGAGGCCTTGCAGCGTGTCCTTCGTGCTCTCCAGCCAATACGTCGTGCACATTCCTTTGCCCTAAAAAACGAATTTTTATGGATTCTGGAGTACGGTTGAATCTGTAGAATGTAGAAAATTACGATACGCTACTGTAGACGACGATGGGCTACGCGTCACCCTAATTTACCGTAGGCTGCGATATATTACCGTAGACTACGATAGGCCACGCATTACGCGAAGATACGGCACACTACGAGATAATACTATAGCCTACGATAGGCTACGTATCACGGTTGGTTACGGTACATTACGATATGGTACGGCAGACTACGCTACGATACGCTACACTACGATACGAAATATTAGCGTTGATTAGATTAAATTAGTGTTAATTGTTTGTTACGATAGATTGTGGTATTTTACGGCAGAACACAAAATGTAAACTAGCGTAGATTACGGTATGATACGCCAAGTTACAGTACGAAAATACGGTAAATTGCATCCCATAACGATACCTTAATCGCGACTTGTCCCCGCTCGACACATTCAAATTCGGGATAATGGTTGGCCAGCATGGTTTTGGCCGCCTCAGAAATCTGTGTCTTTTCCGGTTCTCCGGTACTCTCCATCCGCGAAGCCATATTCACCTGAATTTTACGGATTTGCTAAATGTTGCCCTGTCTACCGTGTCTCCAAACAGGCAATAGCGAGGCGCATTCAGACCGACAACGGCCGCGGCGACGGGTCCCGTGGCGAATCCGAGTCGACACCGTACTCGCATGTCTTCGTGGTGGGGTGGACAGTATTCGGCGAGGAACTGGAAAGGAAATGGTTTCTGCTTGCTTGCCTGACTCTGAAATTCCTCAAATATCCCTGCTAGTTAGTCCGGCCCTGAAAATTCCCCAATCTTCACAGCTAGCTCGCCAATCTTGGGAAAATTCCTCAAGAACCCCTGCCAGATGACCCAGTTTTCAAGTTCCTGAAGAATCCCTGCTAGCTGCCCCACGTTTACCAATTCCGCAAAAGGCCTCTGTTAGCTGGCCATTTCCGACAAATTCCTAAAGAACCTCTGCTAGCTTTCTTCTTTTTCTTAAAATTCTTTAAGTATCCACGCTAGCTTGCCCATAACATCAGAATTCCTCAAAGATCCTTGCTAGTTGGCCCAGTCCCTCAAAATTACCCAATCTTCACCGCTAGCTCGCCAATCTTTGGAAAATTCCTTAAGAACCTCGGCCAGATAGCAGAGAGCATTGGGGAGGGTTAGCAAAGACCACTGAAGAATAGTGCTAGCTTGCCGCTTGTCTAAGAATTCCGCAAAGGCCACCGCTAGCTGACCATTTTCGAAAACCCTAAAAACCTCTGCTAGCTTACCCAGCTTTCTTAATTTTATCGCTTTCCTCAAGAAACCATGCCAGTCTACTTTTTCAAATTCCTCAAAAATCCCTGCTGCCCCAGTATCAAAATCCCCCAAAATCCCTGCTGACCTAGCCTTCAAATATTTCCTCAAAAATCTCTGCTAACCCGCCAATAACTGGCCATCTGTCAGCATTACTAGACACTTTTTGTGATTCCAAATCACCTTGTGAATATCCAATGCAATTGTGGCAATCTCTCGGATGTGGCGGAATCCATTTTCCTCCGGTACTCCAGAAACCACCATGTACGCGTCACCAATCGTTTCCACCTAAATATTGGCCCATGGAGCGCACCCATCTACCGTACCTTATATGCCTCACGGCGGGCGATGAACTCGTCGAAACCGCTGAAGATCGAGTTGAGGACGGTGACCACCTCGAGGGGGCTGCCGTTGCGGCACATTTCCGTGAAACCGACAATGTCACTGGAAAAAGGTGATGGGCGTGGCTTTGGCCTAGACGTAGGCTCAGCTTAGACTTAGCTTAAGCTCAGATGAGGCTTTGCTTAGTTTGAGCTTAAGCTAGCTTAGCTTAGTCTCAATTTCGGCTTAGATTGGGTTAGCTTAAGCTTGACTCAGGCGTAGCTTAGGCTTGGCCGAGGCTTAGCTTGCCCTTGGCCTAAGCTTGCTTAGACGGCGTGGCTTATGCGTGGCTTAGGTCCGTTTTGACTTGGTATCTGCACATTAATGCGATACATTTATAACCTACCTGAACATGACCGTCGACTGCGAGAAGGTCTTTGGCGGAACGGGACGTCCAAGCTTCAGCTCGTTAGCAACGTACCTGATATCCACCGATTCGATTCCACTACTAAAAATCCTTACGCCGGCAAAAGCTGTGACAGGAGACGATCGGCACGAGCATTTGCCTCCTCCAACATCCCAGTCCGTTCCTGCACCAGCTTTTCCAGGTTGTTGGCGTACTGTAGAAAGGGTGGAGTTTAGCGAAAGGACAGTTTCTTGATACCTGCTCCATCATTCGCATCATTTGGTCGACCAGAGAGCCTTTGCTAAAACGGAGTGCCATTAGTGCTTTTGGAGGCTATCAGTGGCTAAGCTTAGGCTTAGGCTTAGGCTTAGCTGAGGACTAGCTTAGGCTTAGCTTAGTTTTTGCTTAAGATTAGCTTAGGCTTAGCTAACAATTAGGCTTAGCTTAGGCTCAGGCTTAGGCTTAGCTGAGTTCTAGGCTCAGGACAGCAATTTTTAGCAAATCTTCCTAGGTCGTCTCTACGAATCCGCTGTTTTCCAAAAAGCGCCCTGCTACCGTAGCCCACTCACACTTTCAGATAGGTCTCAATGTTGAGCTTGATCCTCCGGACCGACGGTCTCATCTCCGGTGTGTTATTCCAGCAATCGGTGATTAGGTTCGACAAGTCGTAGTGCAACACCTGAAAGGAGATTTTTTAGAGATCGGAAGGGATCAAATGGTCTTATGGATCCTTGGCTTCACAGCTCCTTTAAAACCCTTTTGTGTACCTTCTCATTCTGAATTCCCGGCTTGACGATGCGCTCTCCGCTGGTGATCTGGTCGACGAGGGCTGGAAATCAACAAATTTTAACTTTAAAGGGGAAAGGGATGGTGCCACCAGGATCCCCAAAGCCCTCCCCAATGGTCTCTGCTAGCCCTCCTCAATGGTCTCTGCTAGCCCTCCTCAATGGTCTCTGCTAGCCCTCCCCAATGGTCTCTGCTAGCCCTCCCCAATGGTCTCTGCTAGCCCTCCCCAATGGTCTCTGCTAGCCCTCCCCAATGGCCTCTGCTAGCCCTCCCCAATGGTCTCTGCTAGCCCTCCCCAATGGTCTCTGCTAGCCCTCCCCAATGGTCTCTGCTAGCCCTCCCCAATGGTCTCTGCTAGCCCTCCCCAATGGTCTCTGCTAGCCCTCCCCAATGGTCTCTGCTAGCCCTCCCCAATGGTCTCTGCTAGCCCTCCCCAATGGTCTCTGCTAGCCCTCCCCAATGGTCTCTGCTAGCCCTCCCCAATGGTCTCTGCTAGCCCTCCCCAATGGTCTCTGCTAGCCCTCCTCAATGGTCTCTGCTAGCCCTCCCCAATGGTCTCTGCTAGCCCTCCTCAATGGTCTCTGCTAGCCCTCCCCAATGGTCTCTGCTAGCCCTCCCCAATGGTCTCTGCTAGCCCTCCCCAATGGTCTCTGCTAGCCCTCCCCAATGGTCTCTGCTAGCCCTCCTCAATGGTCTCTGCTAGCCCTCCCCAATGGTCTCTGCTAGCCCTCCCCAATGGTCTCTGCTAGCCCTCCCCAATGGTCTCTGCTAGCCCTCCCCAATGGTCTCTGCTAGCCCTCCCCAATGGTCTCTGCTAGCCCTCCTCCAATGGTCTCTGCTAGCCCTCCCCAATGGTCTCTGCTAGCATATATTATTAGGAGTACGCAACACCTACCATTAATGTCGGTATTCTCGGGATAGGGCAACGCGCGGAACATGATCTCGTAGAACACCATCCCGAACGCGTAGATATCGCCGAGTTGGCGGCGGGCCTAAAAACAGGTTTTGGCACGGATATTTCGAAAAACCTGTGATTGTCTGGTCCAATCCTGATCCATTCGGCGTTCTTTATTCTTTTGGCGCATTTTTAGCATTTCCGGCGAGTCGTAGAGGGCGGCTAAAGTTTCGAATTCGGTAGCTCTCTCTCTCTCTCTCTCTCTCTGTCTCTCTCTCTGTCTCTATCTCTCCTCCTTACATGTCTTCTGTGTTGCCTGGCTTCTATCCTCCTTCTCCTCCGTATCCTTGAAATCGTCCTTCGACAGCACCTGTGACTTTTCCCATCTCTCCAGCGGCTCGGCCACCCCTGAATTCAGAATATTCCCTTATAATCCGCGGATCCCCTACCGTAATCCGTCAATTTCACCATCCAATTTCGATCGATAAGACATGCCCACGGGGTCAGAGAGCCGTGATAGCCGATTGTCGACGCGTGCAGATATTCGAGACCCTAAAAAAATCGATAAATCACTTTTTCGTTGACCCGTTTTACAAAAAATTACTATTTTGCCTAAAAGAGCTTCAATGAATTTATTTTCACCTTAAAATACCTACCGTGATAATGTCGCGGACAAAGGCCCCGTGGAATTTGGCGTCGAGCGTGATCGAGTCGTTGTAGATGATGTCTTGCAGTGAGCCCCTGATTTGCATTAGGTTTCCCGCGGTTTTTGGGTCTTTTAGAGCAACGCGTAGCGCTTAAAGGGATTGAGAAGGCGCGGCTTTACTTAGGATACTTTTGGGGGCGCGAAACGCAACGCCCGGGCCTTCTCTTTGCTTCTGATCGCGGGCGCGTTGCGTGTCGCGGAAGCGCGGGGAGAAGTCGATCTTCCATAGTCGAAAATTCCATAATTTTGCCTTGACGGCTCCTTTAAAACTTGGAAGTAGGCATTATTAACAAAATAATAGCATAAAAATAAAATTATTTCAATTTCATCTTACTTTGCTTTAATTTTGTAAAGTACGTGTTAATAAATTTCAGCTAATTTTAACTTTTTACTGAATTAAATTTAAAAATTAATTTGACTCCAGTTTCTTTCCCTTCAGCGGCCTTTTAAAGGCCCGTAGTTACGGAGCCGAATCTCACCTGGAGCAGAATTTCCACACGAGCAGCACCTCCTCCTTTTCGTTGAACGAGATGCCGAGGAACGTGTTGATGTTGTCGTGCACCGATTGTTTCATCTACATTAATTCGGTAAATTTAAATTAAATCAAATGGCATTTGAATCTATTTTTCGGTGCCAGAATTTTGCGAAAAGCTTCGAATGAAACGTACTGAGGACAGCAGCCCCTTGTCGAAACGGCTGAACACGATCGGGCGCCGCTGGACGTATCTGGAAAAAAACGCGTAAAATCATCTAAAGGGGTTGAGAAGCTGAAAATACCGACATCTAGAATGCTGAAGCTAAAATACCGACACCCCCGAATACACTGCTCGCGGCAAGCTAAAGTATCGACCAGAAAGTATCGACAAACGATCGACCGATCGGTAGGATTGTTATAATGCCGACACTCAAATACGGTGGTCTCCAACAATACCGACAAGTCGATCTTACGCTCGAGAATGCCGATAACTTAAAGAGGCAAGATAAGTTTGGCCTGTCGAAAATTCGGGTTATTTTTGTCGACATTTTGTTGTAAGTATTTCGACATGCCCATTTATCGGCATTTAGAGCTGTCCGATTCTGCCTTCCGGACCTATGCTTGTCGGCATTTCCCCAGAAAATATTTTTTGCTTCGGCCAAATTTTTGGGTATCGGCATTTCTCTAGCCGGCATTTTTCGAGTCGTCGGTGTTTCTCGAATCATGGGCAATTTACATACTTATGGTATACGCAATGCGTATTCGTGCCAAGGATTGCGTGGTTCTTCTGCGAGCTGTACTGCATGTTGCTCAGTTTGGTCCTCGTGCTCCCCAGGGATAGCTGAAAAATTCAAAAATAGCGTCGAAAATGGTCGGTAAATCACTGCCCGGCTTCTAGGCCAAAAAGCAAAAAGTTACGTCGCGGCCGAGATTCGACCCCGGACCCTTCACCCGGTAGGCTTTGCCAATCGGCCATCCTCGATTTCTACGAGATTTCGATTTCCGGCAGTTTTTTTTATTTTTTACTGTCATAATCCGCTTAGAAATACAACTATTACCCTACCATACTCTTCACTTGGTCCTCGTCAATCAGCTGCAGATCGTCGCGGAAAATACGGAACGCCATCCGGTTCAGCGCGCGTTTTTCGCTGAAAATGATGGATTTGGAGCGCTTTAAACGGGTTTTTAAAACTGCCCAACTGGCACAACGCCTCGAAACGTACCAAACATCGTGAAGGATGTAGGCCGTCACGATGGAGATGATCAGCAACAGCACCAGGATCGAACCTGAGTTAAATTTGCTTTAAGGTTTAACTGCCGAGACCAGTTTTTTGTGCTGTTCACGAATTTGACATCAGTTTTTAGATTTGAGCCGCCATATACGAGATAGAGACGATTTTATAGTTTTCAAGACGATTTTTCCAATTTTCGAGCCAACCCTAACAAAATTCGTTAAATTGTTCACTTTGTAACCTTTAATCGCCAATTTTCATACCATTTTTTGCGGTATTTTCGAATCTGCAACCGATTTTAAAAATAGAGCTATTGTTTTTGAGTTACGACGATTTCTTGAGAAGGGATCGATTTTCGCCGAAAAATGCTCATAGCTCAAAATCTGAGCATTGTAGCCAGAAACCACGTGCAGATTCGGAATCACCGCAAAAAATGGGTCTCGAAACCGTCGGGATACGGTAGCTATGACCACGATTTACCAATGATAATGAGGGTGTAATCGCATCGCTCGCCACGATATCCGCACACCGGCTCCTCCCTGGGCATTTGATTGTCGACACTTGGCCAGAAGTTCTTCATCATGTCAGTGACCACCTAGAAGACGGCGGAAATTATTGATCTTCGGCATTATTGATTTATTATCGACCAGCGGGGGAGGAGCCGCTTCGCGACTCTCCCCCGCTGGACCCCGTCTAGGCCCTAAGAATCGAGCGCCCTTCCACATAAAGTTACCCTGAAGAAAGAAAAACGCATTCCCATGCAAACCTATTTGTATTGACATGCGGCGCAAGCTTAAATTGCTAGTGTCGTTATTAGGGCTGCGGCGCATGCTTGATCGGCTAGGTCCTGCGGCCCAAGCTTGAGGGATTGCCTCATTTTTTGGTCTGCGGCGCCAGCTTGAGCGGTTAAGACCTTCTTTAGCCTGCGGCGCCAGCTTGAACGGCTGGCTTCGTTCTAAAGCCTGCGGCGCTAGCTTCAATGGCTGGCTTCGGTCCAAAGCCTGCGGCGCTAGCTTGAGCGGCTGGCTTCGGTCCAAAGCCTGCGGCGCTAGCTTGAGCGGCTGGCTTCGGTCCAAAGCCTGCGGCGCCAGCTTGAACGGCTGGCTTCGTTCTGAAGCCTGCGGCGCCAGCTTCAATGGCTGGCTTCGGTCCAAAGCCTGCGGCGCTAGCTTGAGCGGCTGGCTTCGTTCTGAAGCCTGCGGCGCCAGCTTGAACGGCTGGCTTCGTTCTAAAGCCTGCGGCGCTAGCTTGAGCGGCTGGCTTCGTTCCAAAGCCTGCGGCGCTAGCTTGAGCGGCTGGCTTCGTTCTAAAGCCTGCGGCGCTAGCTTGAGCGGCTGGCTTCGTTCTAAAGCCTGCGGCGCTAGCTTCGAGTGGCTGGCTTCGGTCCTAAAGCCTGCGGCGCCCTGGAACGGCTGGCTTCGTTCTAAAGCCTGCGGCGCTAGCTTGAGCGGCTGGCTTCGTTCTAAAGCCTGCGGCGCTAGCTTGAGCGGCTGGCTTCGGTTCCAAAGCCTGCGGCGCTAGCTTGAGCGGCTGGCTTCGTTCTGAAGCCTGCGGCGCCAGCTTGAGCGGCTGGCTTCGTTCTAAAGCCTGCGGCGCTAGCTTCAATGGCTGGCTTCGGTCCAAAGCCTGCGGCGCTAGCTTGAGCGGCTGGCTTCGTTCTGAAGCCTGCGGCGCCAGCTTGAACGGCTGGCTTCGTTCTAAAGCCTGCGGCGCTAGCTTGAGCGGCTGGCTTCGTTCTGAAGCCTGCGGCGCTAGCTTGAGCGGCTGGCTTCGTTCTAAAGCCTGCGGCGCTAGCTTGAGCGCCTGTCTTCGTTCTAAAGCCTGCGGCGCTAGCTTCAATGGCTGGCTTCGGTCCAAAGCCTGCGGCGCTAGCTTGAGCGGCTGGCTTCGTTCTGAAGCCTGCGGCGCCAGCTTGAACGGCTGGCTTCGTTCTAAAGCCTGCGGCGCTAGCTTGAGCGGCTGGCTTCGTTCTGAAGCCTGCGGCGCTAGCTTGAGCGGCTGGCTTCGTTCTAAAGCCTGCGGCGCTAGCTTCAATGGCTGGCTTCGGTCCAAAGCCTGCGGCGCTAGCTTGAGCGGCTGGCTTCGTTCTAAAGCCTGCGGCGCTAGCTTCAATGGCTGGCTTCGGTCCAAAGCCTGCGGCGCTAGCTTGAGCGGCTGGCTTCGTTCTAAAAGCCTGCGGCGCTAGCTTCAATGGCTGGCTTCGGTCCAAAGCCTGCGGCGCTAGCTTGAGCGGCTGGCTTCGGTCCAAAGCCTGCGGCGCTAGCTTGAGCGGCTGGCTTCGTTCTGAAGCCTGCGGCGCCAGCTTGAACGGCTGGCTTCGTTCTGAAGCCTGCGGCGCCAGCTTGAACGGCTGGCTTCGTTCTGAAGCCTGCGGCGCAAGCTTAAGCGGCTGGCTTCGTTCTAAAGCCTGCGGCGCTAGCTTGAGCGGCTGGCTTCGTTCTGAAGCCTGCGGCGCTAGCTTGAGCGGCTGGCTTGGTTCTAAAGCCTGCGGCGCTAGCTTGAGCGGCTGGCTTCGGTCCAAAGCCTGCGGCGCTAGCTTGAGCGGCTGGCTTCGGTCCAAAGCCTGCGGCGCTAGCTTGAGCGGCTGGCTTCGTTCTGAAGCCTGCGGCGCCAGCTTGAACGGCTGGCTTCGATCTGAAGCCTGCGGCGCTAGCTTGAGCGGCTGGCTTCGTTCTAAAGCCTGCGGCGCTAGCTTGAGCGGCTGGCTTCGATTTGAAGCCTGCGGCGCTAGCTTGAGCGGCTGGCTTCGTTCTGAAAGCCTGCGGCGCTAGCTTGAGCGGCTGGCTTCGTTCTGAAGCCTGCGGCGCTAGCTTGAGCGGCTAGCTTCGTTCTAAAGCCTACGGCGCAAGCTTGTGAGGTTAGCTTCATAGTTAAGCCTGCGGCGCAAGCTTAAGCGGCTGGCTTCGTTCTAAAGCCTGCGGCGCTAGCTTGAGCGGCTGGCTTCGTTCTAAAGCCTGCGGCGCTAGCTTCAATGGCTGGCTTCGGTCCAAAGCCTGCGGCGCTAGCTTGAGCGGCTGGCTTCGTTCTAAAGCCTGCGGCGCTAGCTTGAGCGGCTGGCTTCGATTTGAAGCCTGCGGCGCTAGCTTGAGCGGCTGGCTTCGTTCTGAAGCCTGCGGCGCTAGCTTGAGCGGCTGGCTTCGTTCTGAAGCCTGCGGCGCTAGCTTTAGCGGCTGGCTTCGTTCTAAAGCCTGCGGCGCTAGCTTGAGCGGCTGGCTTCGTTCTAAAGCCTGCGGCGCTAGCTTCAATGGCTGGCTTCGGTCCAAAGCCTGCGGCGCTAGCTTGAACGGCTGGCTTCGTTCTAAAGCCTGCGGCGCTAGCTTGAGCGGCTGGCTTCGTTCTGAAGCCTGCGGCGCTAGCTTGAGCGGCTGGCTTCGTTCTAAAGCCTGCGGCGCTAGCTTGAGCGCCTGTCTTCGTTCTAAAGCCTGCGGCGCTAGCTTCAATGGCTGGCTTCGGTCCAAAGCCTGCGGCGCTAGCTTGAGCGGCTGGCTTCGTTCTGAAGCCTGCGGCGCCAGCTTGAACGGCTGGCTTCGTTCTAAAGCCTGCGGCGCTAGCTTGAGCGGCTGGCTTCGTTCTGAAGCCTGCGGCGCTAGCTTGAGCGGCTGGCTTCGTTCTAAAAGCCTGCGGCGCTAGCTTCAATGGCTGGCTTCGGTCCAAAGCCTGCGGCGCTAGCTTGAGCGGCTGGCTTCGTTCTAAAGCCTGCGGCGCTAGCTTCAATGGCTGGCTTCGGTCCAAAGCCTGCGGCGCTAGCTTGAGCGGCTGGCTTCGTTCTAAAGCCTGCGGCGCTAGCTTCAATGGCTGGCTTCGGTCCAAAGCCTGCGGCGCTAGCTTGAGCGGCTGGCTTCGGTCAAAGCCTCGGCGCTAGCTCGCGAGCGGCTGGCTTCGTTCAAAGCCTGCGGCGCTAGCTTGAGCGGCTGGCTTCGTTCTGAAGCCTGCGGCGCCAGCTTGAACGGCTGGCTTCGTTCTGAAGCCTGCGGCGCCAGCTTGAACGGCTGGCTTCGTTCTGAAGCCTGCGGCGCAAGCTTAAGCGGCTGGCTTCGTTCTAAAGCCTGCGGCGCTAGCTTGAGCGGCTGGCTTCGTTCTGAAAGCCTGCGGCGCTAGCTTGAGCGGCTGGCTTCGTTCTGAAAGCCTGCGGCGCTAGCGAGCGGCTGGCTTCGTTCTAAAGCCTGCGGCGCTAGCTTGAGCGGCTGGCTTCGGTCCAAAGCCTGCGGCGCTAGCTTGAGCGGCTGGCTTCGGTCCAAAGCCTGCGGCGCTAGCTTGAGCGGCTGGCTTCGTTCTGAAGCCTGCGGCGCCAGCTTGAACGGCTGGCTTCGTTCTGAAGCCTGCGGCGCCAGCTTGAACGGCTGGCTTCGATCTGAAGCCTGCGGCGCTAGCTTGAGCGGCTGGCTTCGTTCTAAAGCCTGCGGCGCTAGCGAGCGGCTGGCTTCGTTCTAAAGCCTGCGGCGCTGGCGAGGGCTGGCTTCGTTCTAAGCCTGCGGCGCGGCGAGCGGCTGGCTTCGTTCTGAAGCCTGCGGCGCTGGCGAGCGGCTGGCTCTCCGGGGGGGCCTGCGGCGCTAGCTTGAGCGGCTGGCTTCGATTTGAAGCCTGCGGCGCTAGCTTGAGCGGCTGGCTTCGTTCTGAAGCCTGCGGCGCTAGCTTGAGCGGCTGGCTTCGTTCTGAAGCCTGCGGCGCTAGCTTGAGCGGCTAGCTTCGTTCTAAAGCCTACGGCGCAAGCTTGTGAGGTTAGCTTCATAGTTAAGCCTGCGGCGCAAGCTTAAGCGGCTGGCTTCGTTCTAAAGCCTGCGGCGCTAGCTTGAGCGGCTGGCTTCGTTCTGAAGCCTGCGGCGCTAGCTTGAGCGGCTGGCTTCGTTCTAAAGCCTGCGGCGCTAGCTTCAATGGCTGGCTTCGGTCCAAAGCCTGCGGCGCTAGCTTGAGCGGCTGGCTTCGTTCTGAAGCCTGCGGCGCTAGCTTGAGCGGCTGGCTTCGTTCTGAAAGCCTGCGGCGCTAGCTTGAGCGGCTGGCTTCGTTCTGAAGCCTGCGGCGCTAGCTTGAGCGGCTGGCTTCGTTCTGAAAGCCTGCGGCGCTAGCTTTAGCGGCTGGCTTCGTTCTAAAGCCTGCGGCGCTAGCTTGAGCGGCTGGCTTCGTTCTAAAGCCTGCGGCGCTAGCTTGAACGGCTGGCTTCGTTCTAAAGCCTGCGGCGCTAGCTTGAACGGCTGGCTTCGTTCTAAAGCCTGCGGCGCTAGCTTGAGCGGCTGGCTTCGATCTGAAGCCTGCGGCGCTAGCTTGAGCGGCTGGCTTCGTTCTAAAGCCTGCGGCGCTAGCTTGAGCGGCTGGCTTCGTTCTAAAGCCTGCGGCGCTAGCTTGAGCGGCTGGCTTCGTTCTGAAGCCTGCGGCGCTAGCTTGAGCGGCTGGCTTCGTTCTAAAGCCTGCGGCGCTAGCTTGAGCGGCTGGCTTCGTTCTGAAGCCTGCGGCGCTAGCTTGAGCGGCTGGCTTCGTTCTAAAGCCTGCGACGCTAGCTTCAATGGCTGGCTTCGGTCCCAAAGCCTGCGGCGCTAGCTTGAGCGGCTGGCTTCGTTCTGAAGCCTGCGGCGCCAGCTTGAACGGCTGGCTTCGTTCTAAAGCCTGCGGCGCTAGCTTGAGCGGCTGGCTTCGTTCTGAAGCCTGCGGCGCTAGCTTGAGCGGCTGGCTTCGATTTGAAGCCTGCGGCGCTAGCTTGAGCGGCTGGCTTCGTTCTGAAGCCTGCGGCGCTAGCTTGAGCGGCTGGCTTCGTTCTGAAGCCTGCGGCGCTAGCTTGAGCGGCTAGCTTCGTTCTAAAGCCTACGGCGCAAGCTTGTGAGGTTAGCTTCATAGTTAAGCCTGCGGCGCAAGCTTAAGCGGCTGGCTTCGTTCTAAAGTCTGCGGCGCTAGCTTGAACGGCTGGCTTCGTTCTGAAGCCTGCGGCGGAAGCTTGAGCGGCTGGCTTCATACTTAAGCCTGCGGCGCAAGCTTGAGCCTCCTTATCCCGCGGCGCAGTTTTGAAGGGCTAGCTCTGACCTTGGGCCCGCGGCGCTAGCGTGCCCGGCTAACTTCCTTCCGAAGCCTACGGCGCTAGTTGCAGGGGCCGGCCTGAGCCTTTAGCCTGCGGCGCTAGTTTCATCGGCTAGCGTCGTTCCAAAGTCTGCCGCGCTAGCTTGAGCAGTTAGCTTGATTCCTTGGCCTGCGGCGCATGCTTGAGAGGGTAGCTTCATTCTAACTTCATAATAACGTCCCTACACGGAAATCTATTCCGAAACGCACTTTCCGAGCAAAAAGCAAAACAACAAAAATATCCGAGGATCGAACCATCAATGGTTGGATTAGCAGGGCGGAGCGCTAACCACTACACCATGCAATGCTTGGCAGCACGCGCCAAACACCCCTTTTATGTCTCAAGGGGGCTGCCCGGGCGGGGGAAGGAAAGGCATCGAGAGGCAGATCCAAAGAGACGACCAAACTCGCGAGTGCAACTGGCAAGAATGAGGAAATTTGTATTTTTCACATTATGCAAATTAGCCCTCCCGGACCCCCAAAAATCAATAAAACCGGCTTTAACTTTGTAAACTTAGATTTTATCGGGATTATGAAAGCGCCATCGGAAAGAGGAGGGTCGATTCCCCCCGGGTGACGGAGAATTAGGGCATTTTATACACGGGAAGGCCCTCAAATCGGGCCTCGAAAGTGACATCCACACACACACACACACACACACACAGAGATACACTCCAAAATTATATAAGGTAGGATTCAATGTCGATTTTTGTGCCCGTAAAAACCGACCACTTCATAGCATCCGGTGCCGTTGATCAGATAGTCGCAGTTGTCGAGGAACGTCGGCTCCATGTGAACCATTGGCATTACCTAAACATTGAAGGTATTTCTAGGGGAATGGATATCATAATGTCGAAAATGAAAAGAAAAAGAAAAAATGGCGTAATTTCGTAATTTCGAAATTTCATAATCGCGAAATTTCAGTTCGAAATTTCAAAATTTCGAAATTCAGAATGTCGAACGTCCGAGTGTCGAATTTTTTGCATTTCAAGGTCCCTTGAAATATGCTTAAAATCATCTACAAGAGGCGGAAAAGGCCATTTGCTTGAAATGCCGAAAACCAAGATGCCGACACCACGGTTGCACTAATCCCGGCGGTTTAAAGTGTCGACTACAATAATAGCGACACTATATTTTGGTATTACAATAATAGCTAAGATGCCGACAACTCGATTACACAAATGTCGACACCCTCAGGCGCCTAGCAAAATATCGACAATCGACCGACGGATGCAACCTGCATAATGCCGAAACCCAAATGTCAGGGGTTTCGGAAAATACCAACAAGTCTGATTTGCGAAATGAGGATGCCGACAAAAATGACGAGAATGCCGACAGCATGGGGGACGTAAAATATTTAGCCTGTCAAAAATGCGGGGTTGCTTTGTCAGCGGTAATCAGGATGCCCATAATCGGTATTATGTCGGCATTAAAGGGATGCCGACGGCATAGTCAATCGGTTACGCGCGGAAAAGAAAATGTCTCTGCGCCTCTCCCCTGGGCACGCTCTCTCCCCTGTTGGCTACTTGCCAATTTGTTGATGAGGGGGGATCGACACATGCCGTCGGCAGCCCTTTAACGCTTCGGACGTTAGTGGTGGGATCCGTTACTGTATTCTCCGCTTTTCAAGGATCAAAAAACTTAGTTTAGGCTATGGCTTTGCCTTCCAAATACCTTTAAAACCTTCGGTCATACCTGATCCTGGCTGGGCGAGATGAAGAAACCACGGTATAGCGGCGCCCGTTCACCCCGATCGTCCATGGTCACTTTTCCGGACGCGATTCCGGACGTGCCGACCATTCCTGAACGGGTTTTTCTATTGAATTTTTCCAGGAAATGGTCTTTGCTAGCCTACGGTTGCTCCAACCCCCCCCCCCTTTGAAAGGTAGTGTGACACCAACTTTCCAGTCCCTTTAAAACTCACCCAAAAATGTTCGACGCCTCATTTTATTCCATATGGCCCGCCCATCAAGCAGCGAATCCGGATTGCCGGTCTCATTCAACAGGGCTCTCGCCGCCATGGCGTACAGCTTGAGCGCGTCGAATAGATACAGGTACCCGTAGACGTTCGCCTGAGTCATACTGTTCTTTAGCTGTCAATTAATGTATTACCAGATCGACATCCTGCTGCTTCAGCCCCACATCCTTCACCTTTTCGAGGAACGGGCCAACGATCGAGTTGTCGAACCCGTTCACGTCGTCGATCTGGAGCAACGAAATTAATTCCGGCAGTCGGCAAATTCGGCGTTCGGCAAATGCCGACACAATGCCGACACTACCTACAAAAATACTGGATTGATAAAGATGTATCGCACAATACAGATAGGTCAAAACCCAACCCCCCCCCCCCCCCCTGAAGAATGCCGACAGGAGAAAATGCCATATCTCCTGCGCCAGAGTAGAGGAAGGTAAAATACCGACAGGTCGTCACGGACGCAAGAAATCCCGAAAAAAAACTGGACGGATAAGGTTGTCGCTGGCACGATCCCGAGGATTCTGAACCCAACCCTTCCAAATACCGGCAAATTAGAATGCCGACAGATCAAAATGAAAGCAAAAAAACGCCGACAAACCGAATACTCAAAAAATGCCGACAATATGAGGTAAGAAAAATGTGAAAGTTTGTAATTTTGTGCGAAAAATACCGGAAAATTGGCGGTAGACCATCTCTCCTCTCTCCCCTCTCTCTCACTCTCCCTTTCTCTGTCTCTCTCTCGCTCTCTCTCTCTATTGCTCAATCTCTCACTTCCTCCTTCTATGGCCAGCTCACTCGCTCACTGGCTCTCAGTCACTCTCACTCCCTCGCTCTCTCCTTCTCTCACTCCTCTCCCTCTCTCTCCCCTCTCTCACTCTCTCTCCCTCCCTCTCTCTCCCTCCCTCTCTCTCTGCCTTCAACCCACAATAATCGCATTAGCATATTGATCCTTGACATTCTGCAGCATCTCTCCATCAGCCCCCGTCCACGGCGACGTATCCTTCGACCCATCCTATAGCAGAAAATCTGTCTCTCATCCCCAGACAAGAAATAGAAAACAACTCACACCATTCCCTGACTGCATCCATCCGAGATATCTGAATCTTACCACGGCAACTCGATCCTCTGGGGAATACCGTATTTTAAAGGCGAATGCAATGGGCCCTTACCGTCTGAAAATGGCGATAGACTACAGACTACGGACTACAAAACACACCTGTAGCCAGGGGAGGATATAGGCAAATTCGTTCATCCCCATACCAGCTGTTGTAGCTGCCGTCATGAATTCGCGGGATTGCTCACGCGTGTTTGAGAACACCATGATGATTACTGGAATTGGGGCGGGATAGCGGAGATTATTTGGGATTTCTGACGAAGCAGGCAAGCTAGCAGAAATTTTTTAGGAAATATTTGCTGATAAAAACTATGACAAGCGGTGGCAAAGACGTTTCAAGGCAGGCTAGCAGGGGTTTTTTTGGGAGTGCTGACCAGCGGGCAAGCTAGCAGAGATTTTTGAGGAAGTTTTACCCAACCAGGCTAGCAAAGCAGACTTAAGGACGGATTTCTACGAAGGTAAACTACTGTATTAGGTGAGTATTCCCAAATGACCTCGGCTAGCCTGCTCACCGGTGTCCCTGTCCCTTTAACCCCTCAAAAAACGCACTCCTCGCCGTGTTGCTGATGTCCTGTAGCTGTCCGCTGTTGTACATATCCTTTGCCTTTGCACTCTCGTCGAACATCACCTAAAATCGAGCATTTAAAGGGACGTTGAAGGCAAGAGCCGACCTTCTTGACGACCTGTACACCACGCTGGCGGAATACTTCTTCGAAGGCTGTTGCTCGCTCGTACGCAACGGCTCCCACGTTTGTCACAAGGGCTACCTGAGAGAGAATTCGATTGGGAGCTGGGAGCCGCGACGCAACCAGACGCAGTGACTTCGTTTAGACACTTCAAAGTCCGACCTAGGCTACGCTTGGCGAAACTTCGAGTTAGGCTTGGCTTAGGCTTAGCTTAGGCTTAGCTTAGGCTTGACTTAGGCTTAGCTTAGGCTTAGCTTAGGCTTAGCCTAGGCTTGGCTTAGGCTTCGCTTAGGCTTAGCCTTCGGCTTAGCTTAGGCTTAGCTTCGGCTTAGCTTAGGCTTAGCTTAGGCATAGCTTAGGCTTAGCTTCGGCTTAACCTTAAGCTGCTGCATTACGCTGCTCACCCGATTCCATTGATAATGACGCAGCAGGGCACATGTCGCTTCGGCAATGGAAGAGGTGGATCGCATCGAGACCCGAGCCAGGGTACGGTATTGGTTCTTATCAGCCAACGAGGCTGAAGCGGCCATGTATCCGATGATTGGGATATTCCAGAATGAAGCCATCCGGGCGACCGCATCAATTTCCGCCGCGCAGTACGGGCCGATGAAGGCTTTCACTTTCTGCAATTAGAAAAGGTAGGTATTGAAGAAATTTGAACGCTCGCTGATGTTTTTCCAACCTGTAAATGGTACATATCGGCAGCGACGGCGACTCCCTCGTACGATTCTCCGCATCCGTTTTGTGAGACGAGCCTAGGAAAGGAGCATAGTCCGTAGTTTGTGGCCTCCCGTACTCAATGTCGAAATCATCATCAAGAATCCCTTCTTGGTGAAGGGACTTTCGGGAGGCAGACAGCACGACCTCATCGTTCCGAAGCGCGTTCAGTGCTCCGATGTGGCCGACACGGATTCGGATGCGACCTGTCATAAATTGCCATGCGTCCGATACCTTTCACTGACCATTTTTGTCGACAAGCTCTTGCCCGGCTCCTTCTTTGTCGGAATAAATCGAAGTTACGGTGGATGAGTCCATTTTCCGATTTACCTGAAGAAAGTTGGATAATCATTTATCTGGATTTTTTTTAGATTCTCAATGGCATGCCGATTAGTTCCTCAAGAATCTCTGCTAGCCTGCCCTCTCCCAGTTCCTCAAAGAATCTCTGTTAGCCGGCCCTCTGGCAGTTCCTCAAAGAATATATGCTAGCCTGCCCTCTCCCAATTCCTCAAAGAATCTATGCTAGCCTGCTGTTCCTAAAGGCTAAAGACCTCTGCTAGCTTTCCAATTGCAGATTTACCAACCGTATCGAGAAACGAGTCCAATCTGTCAGTCTCCTCCTGATCGGCCCTCAATGGAGCGGCAAGAAGTAGAAGCCAAGTGAGAACAGCCGCCGGCTTCATCTTCACTCCAATCCGGGCCACCATCCCCTACAAAATAAAAATAAAATCACTATGTGATTTGAAAAATCAGAACGCGCAATGAAAAAGAAATTACACTACGCCACAGTACTCTACGATACTTTTCGCCACGTTAGAGTACGCTATCGCACGCTAATGTACTCTACGGTGCTCTATGGCCCCCTGTCATGCGTCATTTTAGGCTATGATGCGCTACGTCACGTTACGGTACGCTATGGTACGCTAGGGTAAGCCCAGGAACGCTACGGGACGCTAGGCGTCGATACGCAACAATACGTTACGCTACGCAACGCTACTATCGTCTAACATACGTCAATACTCTGCGTAACTACGCTACGATACGCTATTATAAACTAGGTTGCGTATTCCATTAATTTTTTGGTTATCGTTATCATTGGCCTACCACAAAAATACTAAAATAAAAATTAGCTTTTTGATTCATTGATTTTTTTTTCTAGAATCTGGCCCAACGAATATGCGGCAAAAATGGTCGATATGTCGATATTTAAATACGATCGTTTCCATTAAAAATTAGAGCTACCGTAGCCGCGACCATTTACTTGGAACGTATAGAAAATGAAGAAAATGGCAGGGCGGGCCGCCGAAATCCGGGTTTTTGTCCCGCCTACCGTAACCCCCCGGCTCCTAGAGCGAATTATGGGACGGCAAAAATTTTGTGGCTGATCCGGCCACAATCCGGCGATCCGGCCAATCTTCTGGACGGTATCCCCGGAAGCGGCAATCGAGCACAATATAGTGGGTTATAGCCGAGGAGAGGGGCTGAGGTATGACACATGCCGCTAGACGATCATAATTATCCATCCATTCCCGCTCCGAGACCCGCCGAGGGGATACGGTAATCCGGGTATTTGTCGGCTCAGCCCGGCGTCGTGAAGCCGACGGCGCGAAATCTCCTGAAGATTTGATGACTATGGAGGCGAATCTGGAGGCTTTAGCCAAATTGCTTTCTCAGGCGCTCAAGATTTTGCGGATTTTGCGCTTGGCCAAAATGGTGCTCATCGTGTGGAGATCAAAGGAACTGGCTAGGCTGGAGATTTATGGAAATATTCGAATTGGGGGTTGTCAAAAATTCGGCTTGGCTTTCTGTCTCTCTCTCTATCTCGCTCACACTCTCTCTATCGCTCTGTCTATCTCTCTCTCCCTTTCTCGGATGCTCTGTCTTCTTCTGTCGCTCTCTCTCGCTCTATTTCTTTCGCTCTCTCTCTCTCTCGAATGCTCTATCTCTCTTTATCTCTCTCACTCATTCTCTCTCGCCCATTCTCACCCCTTTTTCTCACGCTCACGCTCTCTCGCTCTCTCTCTCGCATGCTCTCTCTCTCTCTTTCTCTCGCAGTCTATTTATCTATCTTCCTGTCACTGTTTTCAAAGCCATTTTCACTAATATACCACTAGGAGTTGCGATAGTTTACACATTTGGGCTGTCGCTCGAAGGGCCGGCTGGTCCATCTCGTTCTCAGAGCATAAGAAACGGGGCAGCTGGGGGCCATGCTGCAAGAAGAGGGAGCTGGGGTCTCTCTTTGGGGCCAGCTAGGCCTCTGTTACACCACAAATCTCAGCCAATCCCGGAATCGATCCGGAGTCGCACTCCAATCGGGCGATCTGGGACTAATGAGTCACATTTAAGTTAGGGTTTTAATGCTGAACTAAAGCTTCGGATTGATTTTTCCAGCTGTCTCTCACCTCGTTATCTCTCGCTAGTTCTACCACTTTAGGCCTCTCACCCTACTCTCTCTCACTCTCTCTCTCTCTCTCTCTATCTCTCTCTCGCTTGCCATCTCTTGCTCGCACCTCTCGCTTTCCTTCGTTTCGTTTCCATCGAAGCATTAAGGAGATGCACCCGTCTCTCCTCTTCCTGGCCCTGGGGGTGGGCGCTGTGTTCGGAATGACGGGCTCTCACGCCGTGCATGTCTACCATCCATCCGCCTATCAGAGCAGTCAGTCATCGGTTTAGTAGAATTTAGCGCCCTTTCCCAGATGATCTCTGCGCGGCGCGTGGCTGCAAAGAGGGGTCCGTGTGCTTTTTGGCCGTCGGAAAGGCAATTTGCGTGAAGCGGGATGTTGCTCGGTAGGTTTTCGTCTTTAGCGAGAGAGAGAGAGAGAGGGGAGAGAGAGAGAGAGCGAAACAGAGAGAGACAGACAGAGAAAGATATAGAGAAAGTTCGATAACTATTTTCTATCCCTTTAAGGCATCCTAATTTAAAATTTTTAGCGAAAAGCTCGGTAAGCACAAATTCGTTGAGCATGGCACCGATGACGAGCTGTTGCGCAAGAAACATCAGGTAATTCTGCTAAAAAATATCTAAGTTTACCGCAATCTGGCGCTTTCGCATTATCGGGGGAGAGGGGTCGGTTTTACGGGGTAAACGTAGTTTTGAAGGCGGTGCAGAAATGCTTAGTAACCGACTAGTGTTTTTAATAAAATTTCCGCTATAGTTCACTGGAAAAATATCCAAAAAATTTTAACAATTTTAGAAATAGAAATTTTGCTCGGAAATCGGTCACTTTGGTCCAAACATCGGCATTTTGTAAATTTTATAAAGATTGGAAAAGTTTTGGGTAAAGAATTAGTAAAAACAATTAAGAAACAATGAATCCACTTATATTTGGAACATTTGGTACCAAAAAAGACTAAAAAAAGGTTCGGTAAACTCCTTAATCCCCACCCCCCACCCCCGATAATGCAAAAGAACCGGCCTTGACGATTGCGTACATCAACTACATCAACTTTTATTTTTTGCATAGGTTTCGGGGACTTTTTCCGGAAAATTCGGCACCTCGACATTAGGAAATTTCGACTAAGATTCTCGACAATTTGAAAAACCTTTTATCCGAACGGAAATAATGAATTTTTTGCTTGTCCGGAAATGCTGAAACTTTTCACGATTTTTCGGGGTCTTCCACCTACCGGTGGGCAAATGGAGACCGACCCCTTTGGCGGCACATCAGTCTCAATTCACCGCTCCTTACCGGCCTGATTTACGGCTTAGGCCCTGGATTTTATTTGATGCCCCTTTCGGGTACCGTACCCCCCATAACTCTTGAATTCCTTTCAGCACGATCTGCTCACCGAGACGGCCAAGCACGAGAAACACGAGAAGCACTGTGGGTTTTTGAGAAGTTTGTGTACAAATGACTCATCCGGGATACGGTAGTGTGGAGAAATCTGCGGATACGGTAGCCTTAAGATGTTGCGCCGACCATTTGGAAATTCAATTTTTGAATGGAAACTAGCAAAGAATATTTGCGGAAAATTTGCTTGGATTGGGCAAGCTAGCATGGAGCATTTGAGGACATCAACAGCGCATCATCTAGGAAGGCTAGCAAAGATCATTTAGGAGCAGGTTTTGAGGTAAACAGGCTAGCTAAGGACAGGACATGGAACAGGGCATTTGAGACAAACAAGCTAGCAGAGGTTATTTGAGACTTTTCCAGTGGCCAAGCTAGCAGAGGCCGTTTAGAAACATCCGTTTATGCTTGGCAAACTAGCAGAGATCATTTACGGCGAAATAATGGTGTGAGACCTTGGGTACAGAATTCCATGTTTCTTAAAATTCAAAAATTCAATGAAATTTATCAATGAAAAACAAGAATATAAAATATCGCATTTGTTACCCGCATTTTAAATCAACACCGCATTTTGTGGGTTTTTGGGGGATAAGAAGGCTTGGAATGTAATAGAGAGAGAGAGAGAGAGACAGACAGATCGAGAGAGAGAACAAGAAATTAAACACAATCTGTATACTACAAACTACAAAGACTACAGACTACAAAGTACAACAACCCTTTGCAGCCTGCGCCCGAGGGGAGCTCGACTCGATCGGTGGCCGACTTGTCCAGTGGTTCAGCGATATGCACCGTGTCCATGGCGAGGGAAGGGACGTGTCATTGAAAAGTCAGTTTCACGGGTTTTAAAGGGTTTCAAGGTCGGGGAAAAATACGGTATAGAAGAACAAAATATCACAATATGCATATCCCGCTTCAATATCGTTTCACGTCCAGCGGTTTCCCGAGTCGGACGGCTTCCTAAAAATGGTGTAATTAATTATTCGGGCATTTTGGAGCGTTTAAGTGCCCTTAAGGGGGCGAGCAAGACATGTCTTTTGATGGCCTTCTTTTGCTATCTCTCGGGAGAGAGAAAGCGAGAGACCGAGAGAGAGAGCGACAGAGCGAGTGAGAGAGACAGGGAAAGAACCCTTCAACATTTTAATTCGCCCGTAAACTTCCTTTCCTCCCACATCGTCAAACCCCAAAAATTCACCTCATAACTTGGCGGGGCCGCGGAGGGCGTGTGATTTGAATACGGCGCCAGATGAGGTAATTGTTGAACAGGGTACGGGGGCGGTTGATGAACAGGCGGAAAGTGGACCGGGAGTACGGGAGGCTCCGAAGGGGTACCGCCGAATTTTCGCATATATCTGAATTCGAGAGCCGATTACGTACTGCATAGTGCTTCTCGTATAGTGCTTCATACCGTTTCCTTGGAGCTACTAGAGCAAGCTAGCCAAGTTCTTTGAGGGATAGGGCTCACCTTGCCAAAAAGTACAGGAAAATGAAGAAGAATATGGCGCCGGCGAACCCGTTGGCCAATTGGTCTTGGTGCATCTGAAAGGATTTCGGGAATTAGAGGGTGAGAGAGAGCGGGAGAGAGCGAGAGAGAGAGCGAGAGATCGAGATAGAGAGAGCGAGAGAGAGAGAGCGAGAGATCGAGATAGAGAGAGCGATACAGTCCTCACAAAGAATTCGTGCTCGAAATCCAGGCTATTGAACCTCATTTCGGGGTCAGGCGGATCGAGCTGCTCCTCAGCAATGGGTGGAGCTCCGCGGCTCTACCCCTCCTCCCCACTCACATAAATAGGCTACGCCATGTAAATTGCAATCCCGCCCGGCCCAAAGACGTTTAGAAATAGAGAGATAGAGATAGAGAGAGATAGAGAGAGAGAGAGAGAGAGAGAGAGAGAGAGAGAGAGAGGACGACCTCTGGCCCCCTTAAAACTGATCTCTAATTTTTCATAATCGTGAATGGGAATGGTTTTGAAGGTGGAAAACAAGCCGCCGCGTCAATAAAAGGAGGGCGCCCGATTTTGAAGGCGATAAAAATGAAAGGGCATTGTGGGGAGGGAGGACAAATGCTGCTCACACATCATTCAAAAATATAGAAAGAAAATAATAGAAAATAGACCAAGATTTTGAAAACTCCGATTTTGCTGTTCCGACGTTTCATCAAAATTGGAAAACTAGTCATCAGGGATTGCTGAATTAAATCTAGCCAGCAGAAATAATTCGGGCATTTTGAGCCACAAGGCAGGCTAGCAGAGATCATTTAGGGCTTTAAGCGCTAAGTATGCTAACAGAGGTTCCTTAGGATTCGTAGGGTATGGGCGTCTAGCTGAGGACCTTACGGAAGCTCAGTGAGGGCATTCTAGCAGAGATTGTTTAGGAATTTGAAGAGTAAAACAGTGTAGCGGAGGATTTTTGAAACTTATTGTTTCTGAGAGAAAATTACTGCAAGGCATCTTAGCAGAGTTTCTTTGGGGAATGGGGTTGGCGAGCTAGCAGGAGTGCTTTGGGGAATTTTAGGGTCACTAGAAGAGGTCGTTTACGAAGCTAAAGAGTAGGGCTAGGTAGCAGAGATTCTTTAGGAAGCGCCGGAGTAGGGCAGTTTAGCAGAGATCCTTTGAGAGCTTAATGAGTAAATCTGAGATTTTTCAGGAAAAGGTGCGAGCAGGTTAGCAGAGATTCTGGTGGAACTTGTCGACGGTTTTGGTATAAGGGCTTTTTCAAACATTCTAGCCAAAAAAGCCACGTATTTGCGTGAGGATGATGCGGTATCATGAGGCAGAGATGGGTCCATTTCGGGATTGCTGACTGTCAACGATCCATAGAAAATCGAGGGAGAGAGGAGAAACCGTCGGCAACCTCGAGTCTCGGGATGAGGGAGGGAAATGTACAGGCAAAAGGGAGGGAGTGGGGGCAAGATTGACATGGACAAAACTCGTCCGAAGGTCATCTGGGATTTAGGGTATTTCAAGTATCGAATTTGTTATTATTTAATTGGTACAAGTGACTTGATGGATTGTTCAACATTTTGACTTCCCTGACCCTTTAAAATAAAGTGTTTCTTCCGCGCTTATACTTTTCCAAAGCGGAAGTAAGGCTGTCTGGCGGAAGCCCTTTGATCAGACAGTCTAGCATGAATTATTTGCGGAAACCGAATGAGTCGTTTGTTTGGAGCAAGCTAGCAGAAATTCTTTAGGATTCGAGGCCGAACGAAAGATTTTTGTCGTGGCGGGCTAGCAGAGATGATTTAGCAATCCAGGGGAAAGAGTTATGGATCCTAGCAACCTAGCAGAGATAATTGAGGAAAAACATGCTCGCAGTAATTATTTGGGAGATTTTAACTGGTTCAAAGCCTAAGCAAGCCAGCAGAGATCATTTAGGAATCAGGCAAGCCAGCAGGGATCATTGACAAATCAAGAGATGCAAATATTTTTTATTATGGCAAGCTAGCAGCGATTGTTTGAGGAACCTTCAACTCGCTTAGGAAATAAGCTGGCCCAAAATCGAGGCAGGCTAGCAGAAACCTTGGCGGAATCGCAGTGGACTATCTAATAAAAATATTTTTGAAGTCAAAACTCGGAAACCACCTGACCACTCTGTCCATCCCTGCCTAGTACATAAGAATCAAATGGACCACAGAATCCAACCTGTTCGCTCGTGCCAAAATGCAAATTTTGTGGCCGGGCTGCGGTGGTAGCCACAACGGGGGACAGTGAATCACCCGGCGGACAAGGCAACACAAAGGAATACCGCCGCTAGATTGACGTCAGAAAGAAACGTAGTTAGGAGTTGGGTGGAATCCAAGATTGGGAAACGATAGAAATGGGTGAAACCGAATTTCATGACTCTAGGAGGCTAGCAGAGGTTTTTGGGGAGCCGCTAAGTCAATCCAAGACCGGGCAAGCTAGCAGAAGTTATTGAGGAATCGGCGGAGATAATTTGGGTTGTAAGGAAAGCGGAAAAAAGTATACTAACGAGAGAGAGAGAGAGAGGGGGGGGAGAGAGAGGAGAGAGAGAGAGAGAGAGAGGAGAGAGACAGAGGTGGAGAGAGCGAAATATAGGGCGAGAGCGAGAGAGCGGGAGATTGAGAGCGCGAGAGTGAGAGAGACATAAAAATCGCTAGACTTAATTAAATAGCAAGAGAAGCTAGATAAACAGAGAGAGTGAGAGAGAAACAGAGAGAGAGAGAGAGAGAGAGAGAGAGAGAGAGCTCATTTTCATAAAATTTGGCGCGCCGTTCGCAGTCGCTAGATGAAATTTTTGAAATTCTACAGGGCCACTGCGATGAGATTAGGATCAAGATCCAGGGGGGGCTACGTGTATTTTTGGCGCGAAAATCCTCGAGAAAACAGGGGGCCGTGCCCCCTCGTGCTCGCATTACCAGGGTAAGTGCACAGCGTGGCCAGCGGAAAATGGCAATCTTGAAATTGGCGCCCAAAATAAATAAGATGCAGAGGTTTGCTGGGGCTCATAAAATGTAGACTGCTTCTAGGAGTGGGAAGGAGTGACGCCAAAACATCGGAGAAAAGCTTGCAAATGTAGGTAGCATTGAGGAGTAATAGTAGGGGTAGTACCGATTCGTGAGGGGGAGTGGAATGGAAAAGACAAGGTGGAAGGAAAAGAAAAGCACGTTCGCATAAAAAGGAGGTGGAGAAAGAGAGGGTAGGGTGAGAGAGAGAGAGAGAGAGAGAGAGAGAGAGAGAGAGAGAGGGAAAGAGATCCGGCTGGCTGGCCTTGGGAAGAAGCGGAAAGCGGAATTAATTTGGCGCTAATGGATGGTCTGACCCCCCGGGGAGGAGTATTGGGATGAGCCTGGGAAAATGCAGGTGTCGATTACCCCACAATTCCATTAGTGCGTGAATACAGAATTATTGTACCTTTAAAATGCTTTACTTCCAAGTTTCGAACCGGATTTTTGTCTAGTTAAATTTTACAGATTTGCTCTAAGCCCCGGAAACACTTTAGTTTTGATGGCTGGAAAAAGACAGCAACGCAACACGCTCGTAAGCAAATTTTGCCGCTTTGAAACCAAAATTTCCATAGCAAGCCTTGTAGAGCCCTTTAAAGGGGACAAGAAGCGGATGGAGGGAATTCCGCGAGGCTACTGCATACGGTTTGCGGCCCCTGAGGGTTGAGGGTCGTTGATCGATTGGACAGTCTGCCTCCGCCTGTCGCTCTCTCTGTCTTTTATGTGCAGGGAAAAGAGGCCGATCCTCCTCCTCCTGCTCCTCCTCCCTCCCCTCGACCCTCATTTTGCGCGAGAAATCCGGGATGGTGGTGGATGAGATGCCGCTACGAGATAGTCCTATCCACGCACTTTCCAAACCCTGAAACTCTTGCAGAGAAAACCTCGCCGAACTCGACCAATCACGAGATTTTGATCTGGGGATGTGAACGGGTGTAGGAAAAGGCGCTTCGAGAAACCACCCCCCCCCGATAATGCCAAAGCTCTCTACTGGCAAAATTGCTAGTAATGTTTAGAAGGCGAGCGAGCAAAGCTTTTTTGAAAATGTGGAGCTGGCGGATGGATTTTTGCAGAAAAGCGGAGAAAATTTCTGCGGGCAAGCTAGCAGAGATCCTTAGAGGAATGATAATCCCCCTGAGGTCCTCACGCTAATAGTATGATAAAATCAGCCCCCGTATCGCAGCTCCAATCAACGCTCACATGACCGGAAGGGGATTAGGGTGGCGAAGAGTACTGGAACACAGCAATTACATAGCGTAATGACAATGGTAAAAGACCAAAAACAGCCTTCCAAGTCCCTTTAAAGGCTTAAATGGAATTTGTTAATTTTCAGAGCACAAAATCGTGTGCCGGCCGGATGTGGCCTGGATGTTCGAGCAATGGGACGGCGACGAGAATGGTCAATTGACGCAGAAGGGTACGGTAGAAGCTTGAAAATTGATATGAATGATTTTTGCTTTTAGAACTGGCCCCGATTGAGGGAAACATGAAGGAGAAGTGTCTGCCTCATTTCCTGGACCTTTGCGGTATGGTAATTTAGAGAGTGAGAGTGAGAGAGAGGGTGAGAGAGAGGGAAATAGAGAGAGACAGATAGAGAGTGAGAGCGAGAGAGAGTGAGCGCGAGAGAGAGAGTGAGAGCCAGAGAGAGAGAGAAAGGGAGCGAGAGAGAGATAATTTAACCGGAAACCTCGATGCGTTGTGAATTCCAACTTCCCCGCCCTTTAAAAGCCAAAAAAAAACGCTAGTTTTTAGACGATATGGTGATCGATGGTGAGATCTCGGTGGATGAGTGGTGTGATTGTTTCTCGTATTCTGCTGACTACCGCCACGAGCCACCCTGCCACCGCCAGAAGCACCACGCTGACCCCCATCTTCTCGGTATGCAATTTTGGCAGTTTTTTTGCTACCTAAAATACGACCCGAAGATGCACTAGTATGGCGTAAATTTTCCGGGCCAATCTGATGGTAGTCGGGCGGCGCAGCGCAAAATCAGAGCTCATAAAGCTGTCATAAATGATGAATATCAGCAAGACCCGGGGAGACGAATGTTGATAAACAACCCCCCGATTCCGTTCCACTCCCTGATTCCGGCGCCTAAATATGGCCGTTCCCTAGAGCGCCGGAAAGCGGTCGCGTATCATTCATTCCGCCCCGATCCTATCGACATCAATTTCGCATAAACAGCCACCGGGTGGTAGTGATTGCAAACGATGCATACTATCAATCAACCGGGATGAATCGGGACACTTTAAAGGAACCCGCGGGGCAAAATATAAATTTATGGCGCGGATGTACGCACTCGACATTCTATTCTAATTAAATAAACTATAATTTACAGGCGTCTTCATCCCGCGCTGCGACCTGGAGGGCTTCTTCCAGCCCGAGCAGTGCCATTCCGGTCACTGCTGGTGCGTCGACAAGTACGGTCGTGAATTCGACCAAAGCCGCGTCGAGGGCGAGCTGCCCGACTGCGGACAGTACGGTTGGTACTAACATAAGCTCCGGATTTCGCTGGCCGCTTTCGACGGAAGGCGGCGTGGCAAAAAACTCCTAATATCCATGATTTTTAGGCGCCGAGTTGACTGAGGAGGAAGAAGAAGATCTGCATTCCCGCATTTAAAAACGTGCTCCATATTTCCATTTTTGTAATCAATTGCGCTGTGCTTTCCTTAAAATCCAGCTTTTTCGGTCCCCTCCACTGCCATTCTCATAAAATAAATATTTATTACAACCGAATAAGAGTGATTAACTGGTCGTCGACCTGGCCTGGCGTCCTTCGTTGCTCTTGTCGCCGAGGCTTTTCGTAGCTCTCTCGATCACGGTGCTCTAAAAAGCAAAGTGGAGATAAATGCGAAAAAACACGTGCAGCAGAATTTTCGACGTTTTTTTTTATTTTTATGGGTCCTCAGTGCTGATCAAAAATTTGGACCCGAGCGATAGACGGCGGCCAAATGTCGCCGAGGTTTTTGGGCTCCGTCACATTTTCAAAATCCGTGCCTCGTCACCCTAAAAAACCATCTTCAGCTAAGGCGCCTGCCTCTTCATCACGTCGGGACGGATCGGCGCTGCTACCGGTTTGTCTTGCGACCTAAGTCAGTCAATTGTCTGTATCCAAAACTCTGATTCTTCCACTTTTATTCTTGGAACGTGGTGGTATCTCACTTCTGTCTTCAGCTGCCTGCCTTTCCGGATCGCTACTCAGGACGCTGTTATAATACGCGCATAGGATCCACAAGTCCGTCGCTCTCTCATATTACGCTTTAGACCGTGTCGAAGATGGTTTGTGCTTGTGTCAGCAGCCACCAACGTTGTTTGCCACAATGCTCATGTTGTCTCTACCTCTGTAGCCGATTTGCCTGCCACTCATTTCATTCTTTTCAAACAGTTTATTCCCGGTTCTAATTCATCTGGTTCTCCTTTCCAAGGCGGGCTTCGGCAGCCGCAGCGGCTCCTCGTTCGGCCTTCGTCTAGAGCGGACCTGTATATTTAAAGTCAAGTACCATTGTGGAAGAAGCGCTGATGCTTCCGGAAGTCGGCTGGGGGGGAGGGGCAGGGTCATCTTGCAGCGGGTGATTGTCCTCTCCTTCGACGTGTCCGTCGGGCCCCAGGTTGCCATGGGTGCAGTGTCCGGCGTCGTCTTTCCCTCAAAAGCAAAGTGGAGATAAATGCGAAAAACTTGCTTGTGCAGCCGAATTTACAAAGTATAATATCGTAAAACAATACAGTTTTAGCAAAATTGCTGTTTATTTTGCCGATTTCACTGAGATTTTGACGGATTTCGACCTCGAAATCCTTACCAAAAAGAAAGAGGGCAGTCTCCTCTATTCGGGGTTTTCGTTTGATGAAAATCGTTAAAATGAGGCCTTTTAATCGCCTTTTTGCCATCAAAACCATCAGAAACTGGCCCGAAAATGACCACTTTTCGGGAAATTACTCAAAGTTAGCATGCTAATAGTAGTAAAAGCGTCCCAACATTTCAAAAAACTTAGGCTTATGCTTAGGACCCGAGCGGGTTTTTGGGCATACTGTAGGTTAACGCCAAGTACCTGCTCAATGCCGATTTCGGCCCGTTCAACCGGAGCATCGACGGTCACCTTCTTCGGCTTCTCGCCCGGGTAGAAATCCTGAAAAGCAAAGTGGAGTTAAATGCGAAAAACTTACATAGACGGGGGCAGGGACGCTTTTAGGCAACGGCTCTTCCTCTATGCCGTCAAAGTTGAGGTGGCCGTGCTCGTATTTGAGGATACGGATGGCCTCTTCGACCTACAAAACCATCTTCAGCTAAGCCACGAAATTATACTTTCTGGTTCACGTCGATCAGCTCCAGGTCGAGACGGGTCTGATGTGCGGTCGCGAGGGTAAACTGTAAGTTTTGGTACCTCTGAAGGATTGCTAGATCAAATGACCGCCTGATCCTTTTTCGACTTAATTGTTATATGGCAAAGACAAATAAAAATTTACTTCGTGCATCAGCGCCTCCAACTCCTTGACCGCACTGTTCACAATCGTCTCAAAACCCTTCACGCGGCCGTACATCGACTCAACGATCGGCGTCACCTAAATGCAAAAACTCATCGGTAAATATGGCGCGTTGCACTGTTAGGGGGGGGGGGCAGCCTGGACTATTGCACCTTACCTTCTCGCCGATCACGGCGTGATCGCGCCTGCCCGTCAGACTTGTGGATGCCAGTTCTGTCGCTTTCCTCATCCAATCGTCAGCACCCCCTTCGAGCCTCTCTTCTTTCAGCAAAAGCCGGGCAGGCAATTTGTGATTGTATTTACGGTAGACGGTAGCCACGTGATGGTGCCGGGCTTCGGCCTAGACAAGGTTTATAATGATCAGGGCTAGCAATCAGGACCCGATTCTGGTGGTTGGAGGGGGGGTTGGACGAAAAGCAAAGGTTGCCTGGCCTCTTAAAGGGATGCCGACGGCATAGTCAATCAGTTACGCGCTGAAAAGAAAATGTCTCCCAGGGCGCGCTCACTGCCCTGTTGGCTACTCGTCATTTCTGTCGACAGATTTTTGAGCACTTGAGGCGCGCAATCCTAAATGTAGGGCGCAATCCTAATTCTAAATTTAATTTAACCCTCTCTACAGAATTAAAGTATCGATTATTCGATAACAGCCGCTTACAGCGGCTGGACTTCCGGCTACCACCCTGCGTCCCGCCATGTGCTCCCTCCCCTCGCCGAAGCGCGCACGACCTGGCTCACTATCCCCAAACATGCAAATAGCCGTTTTTACTACCAAATTACTAAAATCTATTTCTAAATATGAAAATGCCGTTTTTAGATTCTGTTCTTGGTCAGCTAGGGGTTTCTGACCGCGCTCTATCCGAATCCGAAGAGATCACCGCTCTAGCTCCTTCCACCTTCGAGTTGAATTCGGCTTCACATGGACGGACCGATGCCCCAGCCCGTTTATTATAGTTGATGATTGTCAGAAAACAATAGCTCACTTTAGAAAAGAACCGTCGGAGGCGGCTAAGTAGAAACGCATAATCGGATAAATCCTGCTTCGAATCGCAGGAATTCAACCAAAATGTTAATGAAAGATGGAAATCAACTATCAAATGCCGCTTTTCTTGCTTTGCTGACACCTTGCGTACTCGAGACGTGACCCGATTTTCGGCTGCGCTTTCGGCAGCTGTACGTGGTCTCAGAACCTATCCTTACTGCACTGTGCGCAGAATTTCGCTACTGCATGATTCAATTGACCTCGAAACGAACCACAGACCGAAAATCCATCCCCGTGAGGGCAGATTTTGAGTGGAGTATTCATTTAATCAGTATTTTATTTTCATTCAAAATAGAACAAAAATCTATCATGTTGCTTGAGCTTGGTGTCCTCGTCGGCCTTGGCGATGGAGAACACGGGATTGATGCTGAAAATTCATATTTTGAGTGGATTCTATGATAACCGACCGGTAGATCTTGTTATCCGAGCATTTGAACTTGAAGGCGCGGCGCTTCCCGGGATTCTTGATGACGAGGACCTGCTCGCCAGCAGCATCCGTCCGTCCACTTCATGGTCTCGGGCTCCGCCGTTGGCTCTAAAAAGAAAAATAGAGGAAGGTCTTCAACTACCCACTTCCATCCTCCTTCTTGGCTTCTCGTCCTCTTCCTTTTCTTCCTTCTTCTTTTCCTTAAAAAAATATGATGCTGACGCTGTACGCATTATACCTTGGTCTTGGACCGCGCTTCGCGCGATCCTCTGCTACGCCGCCCTTTCACATTGCTGTCCTTGCTCTGCTTGCTCTTCCTCTAAAAAAAAACATTTCTACAACGAAATTCTAAAGAAACCAGGGTTGAAAAGCCGCTTCGCGTCTTTTCAACCCTGGCCCCCGTCTAGCGTCATAATATGCTTCATTTTGCATAATTCTCGCGAATTGCGTTGAAAAAAAAAATGAAAATCTGTCCCTCCGCCCATTATATAGGCTTGCGCCATTTCCGGCATATGCTAATTGATTCCTAACAAAGTGGGTGCTCCATTTTCTAACAAAAACTTAATTTTAACGTTGAAAATCGCATAATTTGCAAAATCTGTTGTGTGTGCAGTCATCTCAGCGCCATTACGCACCTAATGACGTATCATACGTTGCTTAAAACCCTTTCCCTCTCGAGATATCCTCCGGACACCCTGACGGAAGTTGCATGCAAAGTTGCACACACACACACACACAAACACACAGACACTATTTTTTTATATATAGTAGGATAATGTTGCAAGCAATACGGACCCTCACTTCGGCCACAATCGCGCTCTTCTTTAGGATCTGCTCCTGCATCACGGCCGTGCCCTCGATGGCACACTTGCAGCACGCTGCACCTAAATTTTTTCTAATTGGCAAGGAAAGGCGGTCGGTTCTTTACGTCGCAGCGAGTGAAGCATGCGCGGGTCGGATCCGCGGAGTTCGTACAGGTAGACGAACCATCCTTCCCAATACCAGGTCTTCTCGGGAGGCAGGATAAATCCCGTCCTGTGGCCAACTCCTCTTCTAAAATGAATTGGGCTGTAATTCTTCCGATAAAACGATGGGAAGAGAGCTGGCTCAGCAAAACTGACCCCCACTTGCCCTCGTGGCCCCGGCAGACTGGGACCTTGTTAGCGAACCCGTCGGCTGGGTCGGTCTAACAAAAATAGGGGTACTTATCAAGTTGGGGGGAGGGGGGAGGGCACTTTGGGAATCTATTAGGGGACCCGTTTTATCGCTCTTTGGAGTTTTTATGTGGTAAGTTTTTAAACTGAGGCGAAACGAGTCGAGCAGCATGCGAAACCGATGGGTTTATCCAGAAAAAATGTACTTATGCACAATTTGAGGCTTGCCGCATTGTCAGGCAAGGCGGCCATCGGTTAACAAACGTTTAGAGAATTGTGTTTTACTGCTCTGATTTTGTTAAATTCGAAACCAGCACAAAAGACTGACCTAACTCAAAAAGTCGACAACCAAAGTGCCCCCCCCAATAGGAGTCAGGCTAAATTTGTGCGTGAAAACGATGCAAATTTCAAGGAACATAATCGAGCTTGATCAGCTAAATGCTAGCTTGCGCCTGCTAACCGTGTATAGTTCCGAGCGTCAATGTTGTGTTGACGCGCTAATTCTTCAAATGCCCGGACAGTTCGAGAAAATAAAACCTTTTATTACTAGACAAGTTCTAGCAAATCGAATGGAATATGAACAAGGGGCGAGAGAGACACCCAACCATAACGATTATAAAATACGTGTAGCATCATCTTACAAAGCGATACCCAACGTTAGAAGGAGGGACGGGGTGTTCGGGGATGGGCTGAAGAAGGATCGTGAGGGGGTAGATTATACAAAACAATTAAGACACAGCTATGAGATTCCGGGGCCCTCGGGATGTTGTGAGGTGCAGGGGGTGGGCCGGGTTTCAGCCAGGGGAACGCCGGTGAAGCTCAGGGAGATACACAAAGAAATATAAGGAGTTAAATACAACAAGGCGTTGGATCGAGACGAGAGTGGGCTTGCTGATGGTGGGCAAAATGCATGTACGAGTTGTGCTTGCTATGAGGTGAGAGCTTAATGTTGGAAGACGATCAAGTGGGTGAAAAGTAGTAGCACATACACGCAGTTAGGATAACGGCCGGCGTCAAGTCTGAATCAACAACCAATCGATTCGTCTGGATGGTTTGCATTCTCGGAGGGCCATTCGGTTTAATTTTAAGAGTCTTATCGAGTGTTTGAAGGTGCTGGGCTTCTCGGATGTAAAGAACATCTAGAACGTCCTAAATCGCCTTTCCTTTTCTGCGCTCACCACCATCAAACACCCGATATTCGGAATCAATTAGATAAACAGCCCGCAGAGAGCATAACATCCACAGAATCGACAATCCGCAAAAGTAAACCCTAGTGTTAAATCACAACACAGCCACAGGACACTCAAAACCTACCCAAAGAGTAGGCCAGTGGGGTTTCTCTGCGCTTGGTGCGAGCGGTGCATATTAGTGCCGGGCTTATTATGGACAAAAAAGGGGTGGTATATTTGAGGGGGTGGGGGGAGGGCTCGGATCGGTGTGGGGGGTAATAAACTAAGTTTGGTCTTGAAGAGGAGGGGCAAAAACACGGGGGTCGTGAGGAGCGATCGCTTTGCGAACGTATCAACGACTGTTTCGATACATCTTCACAATCCCGCTAGAGAGGTGATGGTGGGTCTGAGGTGGGAGGCTGACCCCGTCTGGGAAAGGTAACAACACGCTCACAACGTTTTGTACAGGTGATTGGGTGGGAGGAGAGCAGAGGAGATGTCGTTCTCAAGAGGCGATGAAGTGCATTCGGGATTAGCCGATTAGTACAACACCTTGCCAATTGACAGCGCGGGGGTAATGAGGGCGTAAACCGTAACAACAGCAGCCTAGCTTGTTACCAGAAGGAGCGCTACGGGGGGACCAAGAAATACAGGATGAGAAATGCCGTATTTTGATGAGTTAATACGCTCAAAATCACAGGTATGAACAAGGAACAATGAACAGAAAGGGAGGGGGTGACGATGGTGGTTTGTGTGTTCGGGTGGTGGAGCGGCTTCGAGGTGGCTTATCGACCGAAGCTAAAATTGAGAATTGTAAGTCTGGGAGGCTTGACGTACTTGAGTTGACCAAACGACTGCGGTCCGGAGTAGAGCGAGTTCAGGCCCAGCGGTTGATGGTTGTTATTGGCAGCCTAAACATAGTCTTCCAAAAAGAGGCAGAAAAATACCTTTGAGTTATGGTGCTGCTGCTGGTGTGATGTCGGGATGATGGCGTATTGGGCCATTATCGGTATATGATCGGACGGGACATGCGGATGGGGGAAGCCTAAACACACAAAATAGACCATTATTGTCGATCCTTACCAATGATCTTGTTGTGCTGTACCCATTGCATGTCAAACGGACCCAGAACGCCAAGTCTTGCCAGCGACTGTGGCGTGGAAAAGATGTAGTCGATAACGCCCTTGAAGTCGAGCCTAAAAATAAGAATAAAATACACAAAGGCTTCACGTGAAAAATCGAGAGTACGCTAAACTAATCAACAACACTCAGCAAAAAGTACTCACGTGTAGTTGGTAAACGGCACCGATGAGGTGTCCACGGAGGAGTCCAAGCGTAGGGTATGTCCAACTTGAGATGGGTCGTTCGAAACGGAGAATCTATACGCAGCCATTATTGCAACTGGGTAAGTGGACTAACTTGTCCAGGATAGAGTCGTCCTTGAACTGCTTGAAGTCAGGATGCTGCCGCGCAACGTGACCCTTCGACAGGAACTCGAAAACACCTAAAAAGGGAGCATTTCATGAAGGACGGTGACGAACCAGAATCTGGAAGCGAGTTCAAATCACCGCAGATGAGCACCGGGATCTGGCTCTGTTGCATACGGAACCTATCCGAAACCTAAAACAGTAAGTAAAGCTATAGTATAAAACGAGAAAACGAACCTCTTGTAACAGCCGGTTCAATTCCGACGTCAGCATGAGCGTTTGCACCAATTTGACATCGCAAAATTCGGGATCCCAGTGAATGTGAGCTGTGCAGACAACGAGAGGGCATCCAACGACCGATTCACCGGGGGTCATCGAGACACGTCCTATGTTTCTTATTCAAAAATGTTTAGAGAAACGTACTGTTGTTGTATACGCTCTCTTTCACCCGTAGCACGGCACACAGCGCAATGTTGTCCTGAAAAAGCGTTTTGAACCTTACAGAATATATATACCCTTGGCATCACACGGTTCAGCATGTGCTCAGAAGACTTGGCCTTCTGAATCGCCACCTGGGTGAACTCGATCAGTTGCTCCTTTTCGAGTTCGAACCTAGAAATAGTAGTTTGAGAGAAAATAACCGGTGAGGGTCCGGAAGGGCTAGGTTCCCACTTCTCGGCTTTCCAAAAAATCGCACAACCATCGACGTATTTCTTCTCTTCGTCATTCATCGTCTTCGCGCGGGACTTTGGAGAAAAGACCGACGAATATCTAAAAAAAGGATTGAGCATCCGCGGCCTAACGATACCCCAGCTGCTTCAATTCGGGATTGAAGAGAAGCTTGAACTGTTCCGTTTCCACCTCTTGCAGCGTAATGATGTCGGCTTCATAATTGCGGATCTCTTTCATGATCGACTAAATTTGGGGGATAATTGTTGGACCATAGGGAGCAAACATTTTTCCGGTATTCCCAATTCAACGCCCAACTCGGGCAGTAGCTGTAGGCTTGCGCTGTCGCATATTTGTCGCATAAGACGTTGTAGCAGAGGACAGTGAAGGTCGCTAAAACGGGAAGTTCTGGCATAAAAAAATTTTTCTCGTACCAATTGGCCTGTCCAAATCGGCGTGTCTGATCATCATCCAGCTGCGGTCGGGCGGCGGAACCGTGTTAACTAAAAATAGTAATTAAAAAAGATTAATATTATATACTTAAATAAGATTCGCCCGGGCGCCCTACAGCAAGGATAATCGTTTTGGAAAAGAACAAGGTCTTTTGACACTTTTTTGCATTTTAATTCTGAGTCCTTGCTTGCGTCTACCCCGATTCTAAACCGCTCACGCCGGATTCTAGTGTTTTGATCGTCTAATCGTCATTTAACTAGTTTTTCGTCAAAGCCAGGATTTCAGAGATATTGCGTGTCGCACGGCAGCCCTCACCGATTACGGATTCCATGAAGCCTAACGAGGCACCTCAATCCGTTCGACCTCTCGCCTAGATTGGCTAATGAGCCGCATGGGAAAACGCTTTTTTACATCTTCGATCCCCCAGGAGAGAGAGACCCCCTCCGTTTCTGGCCTGGAGCCGTTCTTTCAAGCGACGTATTTGCTTGGGCGCCGCGAAGAACATGGTTCGGATTCGTCTGGGGAAAGACAGCTGTGCTTCAAGGACGGCGTTTCCAATAAATAAACACGATTGGGAACTAGACAGGGGGGAAGGGCCACACAATGGTTACGGCGGCTGCGGCGGCGCGAGGACGGGGAGACCGCGCATGCGCCCCCGGATGCGGGCGAGGGAACGGGGGAACCAAGGAGAGCGCCCGACGGTAAAGGGCAACCGGAGAGGAAACGAACGGACGGGGGGACTCCCCCGAAAAATAGATGCAAACAACGCCAACAGTCCTTATTGAGCCAAATGGAACGAGAGGCCGTGCCGAAATACGCGAAAAAAAACGTTTGTCTGATTCTTGACCCGGAGATCCGAAAAAAATAACTCGCCTTTAGGCAGATCGTTTTCCCAGGAGAAAGACGGCAGTGGCGGAGGTGGCATGCGGAAAGAAAGGCGCTCGCCCAAAATGGGCTTCGAAGCGCCACGAGCCGAGAATGAAAATTGCGCCTGGTCGTCAGATTCAGAATTCCGGCTTGAGACACTCGTCGAGAGAGAATCCCCGTCACTCAACAAATTCACGTTAGACAATTCGGAGGCTAATAAGTTCATTGAAGTAAAATCACGCGCATCCGGGGCGGGCCTGGAATATTTAGGGTGGGATAGGCGGGGGTAGACGATGATCTCGGGCGTAGTGTGCAATACCGAGACCCGCGTCTGCTGCCCATAATCGTTGATGGTACTCTGGGCGGCGACAAAAGATTGTGTATGGTCGCTAGGGAACAGTACGGGGATTTCCCGGTGCTGGGGCTGAAGCAGAGAATAGGATAGGGAGCGATGAGCCCGTAGGCTGGCATGATGGGGGTTTCGCGACGGCTCGGCCAGCGTGTCGGCGGCGTACGGCAATACGCCGGTTGTCAGCTGGCACAGCTCGACCACGTCGTAGAAATGGGGCTGTAGGGGTAGCTCGTCGGCCAGTTCGAATTTCAGCGAGGTGCGCGCATTCTGGCGCCGCTGTTGCAGTTCCGCCCAGCGCTTGGCGCGGCGGGCGAAGCGCTTGCCAGAGTTTTTCGGATCGAGCCGTCGGTAGGAGGCGTCACAGGCGGCGGCAGCGCCGAGCTGCTCAGGGCACGACTGCTGCCGGTCGATGCGGGGTTTCGGCAGTTGTCGCCCACATCCATCCCACATTACATCAACATATCGCGACAGGGTGAAAAAATAAAAGGCGGGTGTGAATTATAGGGGGGAAGGATTTGGCGCGGCAGATTAGTTGAGGTGGGTAGGGCCCCGGAATCGTGCCGGGTAGTAGAACGGACAGAGGGGACCGGCCACGGCTGCGAAAGGCGATGAGAGGGGGGATGGCAGGTGAATTTGCCCCGCGGTGCCTGTGCTCAAGCAGCCAGAGACGGGGGGAGGGGTGTGCGGACGAACACCGCGGAGAGGTGGCCGAGAAAGCGGTGGGAAGAGGCGCGCACAAATCCGACAAAGATGGAACTCGCTAGCGCCGCCCACCAAAATATCCCCCCCCCAACCTCCCCATTACGCAAACCCCAGAAGTGCAAAAAGGTTTCCAGTTTTTCCTCCCTCCCCACAACCATAAAGCCTCAATTTTTGCTGACGTCAATGCCAAGGATCATACTGTAATTTAGGCAGATAACCGTACGGCTAAGATTGCCGGTTTGGGATGGCCATTTCACCATGGCTTAATCTCCTTTCGCCCATTTTTCTCGGGTTGTACCAACGCCTCCCTCTTCTGGGAACTCGTGCCAAATATAAACGCAAAAATCCGGGGGCAGCAACCCCACCCTGCCTTTTTGAGGCGCTTAGATTATCCGAGATTAGCCGCCGGCGGATCGATTTTCGGATTTGTGCGCAAGCGGTGCTCCGGCAGGCTGAAGAACTGGGGGGCAACGAGGGGAGGAGGGCTTTGGCATGGCCGGCTCAAAACGCGATGCAGAACGCTAAAGAGCGCGGGGGCAAAAAGCGAAATGGTGGCATGGCAGTGGCGAACGGGGGAAGAGTTCTAAGGCGTCGAACTCGATGTTGTTCCATCGAATGGGCACAGCGAGCGAGATTGGAGGGGAGTATGAAGAGGGTATTATGAAGAGTCATCGTGCCATTCATAATTTTTAGAGGTAACCTAGAGGAAAGAGGTATGTTAGAGGTGAGAGGTCGGATTTTCGTTAGATGTAAGCCTGTATTAGATAAATTTTAGATAAAACAATTGTGGGGGTATGGTAATGGTTAAACGGTTTTGCTTAAACCTATATATCTGGTGAAAAAAATGAAAGACATACGAAACTGAATTTCGGGGTAGCTGCCAACGTTAGACAAATTTCCGGATAAAAATAGGGTTTTTCAGCCCTCTGGGAAATCTCTAGTATCTAAAGGGCTGATTCGCACGTGGGCGACAACAGTAAACACTAGCAAATTGGAAAATTGCTGGCTTCAGGGAAACATCAAATTACTGTAGCAAAATGGCCTCTTTCTTGCCAGCCACAGGTGCGCAACATCGATAAAGGCGCGATAACTAGAAAATTGCTGAATTCCGGGGGGAAAACCAAATTTTAGAGCAAAAATGGTCTCTTTCTTGCCAACCCGCCATCGTTTACGCACGACCTCAACCTCCTCCCCCTCCGAACAATTTTACGCATTTTCGCCGACGCTATTCAGACCTAGGTTATTGCGCGTGCCCCGACCGGTGATCAACGGTATCGTCAATCTATCATCGTCGGCCGGGTGGTGCTCGGGCGACTCATGTGTGTGCTTGTCGAGAATCGTGCCTTTTCCTTCTCACTTCGCGCCGTGCTGAAGGGGACGAGCGGGATCGGCGTGTGCCACGAGTAGGGGCAGAAACGAGTTGTGCGTGAAGAGGGCGCCCATCGAGTGGAGAATAGGGGAAGCGCGCGCGAGCCGGGACCGCCCGAGGACATGTCACACATGTGCTTGAAACAACACATAACATTATTGTCGCTTGGATCCAACAGCACAAGCAAATTCTCGCAGCCCCCACCCAAGAGCCACCGTATCCACCTTGGATCCGGATTATGAGGGAGCGTGAAAAAGACTGAAATCCCAACACGATCATCCCCGCTAGCGGTTGCCCCAGGCGAGAACAAGGATCGAATCCAATTCCTGCTTACTGGCTAAGTGATCGAGAAGGAACTGCAGAAGCTTTTGTTGGCCATTCGTTTCCTGGTAGATTTTGGCAATCTCCGGCGACAGTGGGTTCCCTCCGAGACCTGGAAATAAAGTGAGTCAACCACTGGCAAAAAGGGACTAAGGACCGGAGCTTGTGTTTCAAAACAAAAGGAGTGAAAGCATTTCAGTTGCGTGTCCAGAAATGGCTTACCTAGCGTATGTAACCGGAACAGCTTCCCCAGCTCGAACGGCAAAACACGTAGCTGGTTGTTGTTCAGGTAGAGTGAGCATAATGAGATCATGTCCCCTAGCTCCACCGGCAGCGATTTCAATTTATTGTGCGACAAGTCGAGGAGGGTCAGGTTGCTCAGCTAAACGAGAAGCGATTAATCGCAAAAAAGGCGTTACTGAGGAAATTTCCGGCGGAATTCGTGTCAGCTGGTTGCCGTTCATGAAAAGGGCCGTGATGTGGCTGTAGTTGTTGAACATGCTTGGCGCCAGATTCCGAACTCGTCCTGTATGTGGGTTGGCATTCAAGTGTCGACCTTACTGCCAGAAAATAGCGGACAAAACAAACCGTGTATTTCCAACTCCATCCACCGTGTCGACTTCCCCTGGTTCAGCTCTTCTTCGGTTAAAATCCGATGGACACGTTGCATCCCATTGGTCAGTTGTTTCTTCCCGTCGCTACCCTCCATCTAAATAAGGCGTTTTAGCAGGTTAGACACTGGAACCTTCGTAACGGGTAGCCCTACGCCGACGTAGACTTCTCGCTCTTTATAATCTTCTCGCGTCACCTCCCCATTGAGTTTTCCTAAAAACAATTTTTATAACACAAGCTATTTGTTACCTTTTTGCCCATCACGGTCATGTGGGCCGGGACGCTTGAGCATAGAGGCAGATGGTCCTGCAAAAACAATTATAGGCGAGAGAAAAAAGGCTCAACGCGACGATGGAACGAGAAATGAAACCCCAGCAAAGTGCAAAAAAGCAGACAGGTGTTGATAAAATCTAATTTGTTATATAAAGTGTCGATGCTTCATATCGTTATTCGGAAAGCGAAACAACGACATTGTACAGAATTTATTAGGGAACAATTGTAGCAATCGGTTTTCAAACATATTCCAATTTGATAGAGGAAACAAGCCCGTCCGAACTGACAGCACATTTCTGCGCCACAAATAACGCTCGAGATTTTCCTGTTATCGATATTTTCTAAAGTTTTCGAACAAAACGAGCTACAAAACCCTAGATAGAAAACTGGGCCACATTTCCCGTCGACGCGTCTCGTCCAAACCAGAGTTGGACGATTTTTTGGAAATCATCAGCCCCTATCACACGCAGGGCTCAGCTGGGGGTCAACAGGAAATCGCGGAGAAAGTAGTTGATACGCGCCTGGGATATGTTGACCTTTTGCCTGATCGGGGGCAAAACAATTGCCCGGGCTAGGTGATCTAGTTTGTAGCCGCCGGGTCGCCCTCATTGGCTGGTTGTATGCGCTCTGGGGGTGTGCTTCACGGCACCGGACACAGTATTGGAGTCTACCCGCCGACCCGGGTCCTTTTCGGCTAATCGCTAGCAGCGCGGGGGGACAAGGTATAGCGAGCGTACACTATTTGCTTGTCTCGTCAGCAGAACCGTCTAGGCAATGATACACGCGAAAGTTGGCAGCATTGTTTTTCCAAATCTAAGTTTAAGCGATGGGCAACTAAACCGTGATGGCCTTACTTTGAAAAATTGTTTTAAAATTTGAAAGCGAAAATTAGAAACACACACTTGAAATTCGCGACAACGAAAGGAACCGCTGCACGCTCTACGTTCTTAGGAAAAAACGGAATGACAGATTTTTTCGGGTTTACTTTTTACAGCTACGCTTTTTCATTACAATTTTCGCTATTTTTGTGTTCTGCCTTCTTCTACCTCTGCTGCTTATTGAACTTCTACCTTTTCCAGGACATCGGGCCGTTCGATGTCGGCTCCAACGCCGCCACAGCCGTCCAGAGCCGGCTTTCCTCAGGCGCCCACCAATGGCAACTACCAGATGAACAACAACTTTCCGTCAGTTTTTGACAATAGAATTGCTCGGAACGCTGCGGTTGTTGTAGCATACCTACTTTTTCAGGCAGTACGGTGGCTTACCACAGCCAAATCAATTTCCGCCGGCGGCCACATCGACGTTCCCAGGATCAGCCCCGAATTTCCCGGCTCCCGGCCAATTTCCGTCGTATCCTCAACAGGCGACTGCCGGCTTCCCGGCTCCAGCCCCGGCGGTGAATGGGTACCCAGCCAGCTTTCCGCCTCCACAGCCTCAGCTGACCAACGGAGGTGTCCACCCACCTCACTTCCCTTCTTCGGCTCAACCTGCTGCCCCTCAGCATTACCAGCCGGTATCTAGAAATTAATTAAATTAATTCTTTTTTTCTTAGCAGCAACCGCCTGGGCACGCGAAGGGGCCGCCTGTCGGGGATGGGGGTAGGTGTTTCTTGTTTCGCCCTCATACTTTCCTAGGGGCATTTGCTGCATACAGACCGCCTTCTACGTCGAATGCGCCGTCGCCATTTCCTGCTACATCTATGCCGGTAACGTAAAAATTGTTTTTTTTTGTACCGGTTCTGTTCCAGAATGTCCCCAACAACTTGCCAGCCGCACACCATCCGTTCCCAGCTACCCCCGCGACGTCTAGCGCTCCGTTTCCGAATGCCTATCCGGTAATTAAACTCCCTAATCTCGTTTACCTCATATTTTTGTTCAATTTAGCCGGCTCCTCAAACTCCGGCATATCCGAATACCCACCCACCGGTCCCCAGCGGCGGCTATCAGCAGCAACCAATGCAGCAGCCACCTGGTAGACATGTTATGCTCTCCAAAAATTTCGTATTTAGTGGCTCAACCCTACCCGCAATCACACTCCCAATATGCCGCTCCGATGCCGCAAGCAAATGTATGGATTGGGCAGAAAGGCCATACTTTCTTGTATCTTTTCAGCCGTCCTATGGGGGAATGCCGGGCGCTCCGCCAATGCAAAACCAAGTAAACTACATGCAGCAGGGAATGCAGAATATGGTGCGTTTCCCTGCATCTCTAGTTCACCCTTTTTCAGGTGGTTTCTGGGCAGTCATACGATGTCGTCGATATCATGGCTGAGAAAAACGTGATCACGACGGGTTTCGAGGACGTTCCGGTACGTTCTATTTAGAAGCGTTACAATTTTTCTGTTTTAGTATACGCTTCCTCTCTCCGTGGCAAATCCGGACGCAAGGATGGATACTGGGTTGGGATTCATAAAAAAATTGTTATGTTTTTTCTTAGTGTCTTCCGCAGCACCATCAACGCCGTTCCACAAAACGAAGAGCTGCTCAAGAAAAGCCGACTGCCCTTCGGACTGACGTTGCATCCATTCAGGGATCTGAAGGTATTCATCGCATTTTGGATCATACTTTATTGGTTAGAATCTGAACATCATCCAAACGGCTTCTATCGTGCGCTGTCGCTACTGCCGGACGTACATCAATCCATACGTCGTCATCCCCGACAATCGACACTGGAAGTGCAACTTGTGCAGCCGCTCCAATGACTGTTCGTGTTTAAACTCTTCTTCAATACATGGCAACAAGTTTTGACTGTCTTGAAAATAATTTTCCAGTGCCTGACGATTTCTCCTGGGACCCCAGCACGAAAACATTCGGCGACCCCAAGCTGCGCCCCGAGATTCGCTACGCCACCGTCGAGTTCATCGCCCCATCGGAGTACACGGTACGTAATATTTCACCCCTTCCCATTGCCTCTGGATTTTCAGCCAGTGCGCAAGAATCGGGCAGGCGTGAACGAAGTGCGTTTCTTCTAAACTTGTTGCCCCGTTGTTCGCTGCTTGTAGAGTTGTCCAATGGCGCGAAATTTACCCCCGGGGTCTTGCGTACGATGTGTCGTATCGAGTGCTGTCACAAGGTCCATTTTCAGCTCCGGCCGCCACAGGAATGCCTCTACGTATTCGTGCTGGATTTGAGTTTGCCGGCTTTGGAAAGTGGTCAGTCTTTGCAACTAGGCGTGTTCCTTATACGCGGTCGTTTCCTGGTGATAATGGAGTTTTGCAAGAATTTTACATGGTTATTGTAGTTCGGTAAAATCGGTCCGTTCAGAGCAATTTTGCGAAGGGAAGACTTTCATCGTGCAGCGGGTTTTGAAATATAATGGAATTGCAAGATTTTGGGCCTAATTGAATGAGCTATGCGAACTCGTTAAAAGCCAATATCACCTAGAAACCCCCCCTTGTTAGATTTGTGGTGTTGCTGAAGGAACTTTTTCCATCTATGCTGATCCTTCTTTTCAGGCTATCTGGAGACACTCAGCGAGCAGTTGCTGATCAACATCGATCAGATTCCTGGTGACAACCGTACTTTGGTATTGAGTCTTGATTCACTTGTTTTAATTGTCATTTAGATTGGCTTCGTCGGTGTCGACACGTCTCTGCACTTCTTCCAATTCATTTCGACGACGAAATTGCCGAGGCACATGGTTGTCGATGATGTTGACGGTACTTGCTTTAGATCTAAATTTTTATGGTCCGAAAAAATTTTGAAACTTCCAGGCGCGAGCCACGGTTCTTGTCCACTAAAATCTTGCTCTTTCAGAACCGTTCGTCCCGACGAATGTCGGAATTCTGGTCAACCTGCAGAAGTACCGCGAGGCGATCGGCAAATTCCTGAGAAGTCTTCCAACGCTCTTCACCGCTAACGGCTTCAACTCGGCTGGTCTTCCAGCTGTCACCGGGAACTGCTTGGGCTCCGCGCTGCAGATGGTCCACGAGTTGGTGGTGGGTGATTTTTCCGCTTGCAATATTCTTTTGCATCTAGGTGGATATTGGCGGTCGGATCAGTGTATTCCAAGCCACACTCCCGACACTGGGTTCCGGTAAATTGGAGAGCCGCGAGGATCCGAACAATCGGGCGGGCAAAGATGTCACCCACCTCGGCCCTGCCTCCGACTTCTACAAGGCATTGGCTTTAGAATGCACCGGTCATCAGGTATTGTTTGGGGCTTGGGCGCGTTATTATCGTGACTTTGGCTTGAAATAATTTAAAATGAAAATTCGGCCGTCAAGTTGTCCGAAATAGATATCCGCCAAATCAACGTAAAACGCTATAATAATATTACAGGTGTGCCTCGATCTTTTCTTGATCAACTCGCAATACTCGGATCTGGCAACTTTATGTAAGACAACTGTTCATGCTCGTTAATTCTGTCCATTCAGCGGAAATCGCCAAGTTCAGCAGCGGATGTGTGTACCACTTCCCCAATTTCCACATCAACAACGAGCCACTACAGGTTTGTTGCAAAATTTCTATACTCGAAATTGTTTTGTTTTAGGTGAAACGCTTCGAGCGCATTCTGTGCCGATACTTGACCCGGAAACTCGGGCTGGAGGCGGTGCTTCGGATACGATGCTCGCGCGGGCTGGCCATTTCCGCATTCTACGGCAACTTCTTCGTCCGGTCCACCGATCTGCTCTCGATGGCGAATATCAATCCCGATGCGGCCGTCGGCGTACAGGTTTGAAAGTGTTATATTAGCGCATAGTTTCGTTAAGATTAATTACGAAGAAAAGTTGCCGGGAAATGTGGCCTCATTCCAAGCTGCGCTGCTCTACACTTCCAGCAAAGGTATATGAAACTTCTGGATGTTTTTGACTGCGGACGAACTGATTTCTGGTTGCAAGCGTCTAGTTCTGTTGTATTCCGTTGAGCTGTCCAATCCCTTGTAGCCCAGCTATTTTTTGTGCTGCAGCACTGTAAAGTACCAGCCGATTACAGCCGCTTCGCGACTGTAATCGACTGGCCTTCGGGCTCCACTTCATATTCGACACCACCACATCCCTTGCTATTTTCATCAATACATATACTGATGGTTTCAGAAAACCCTCATAGCCGAAATCCCTTTCAAACACTACTTCGATACCCTCCTGATGGCTTCAGATACCCCCCATGGCTGAAACCCCCTTCAAAAACTACCTAAATACCCTCCTGATGGCTTCAGATACCCCACATGGCTGAAACCCCCTTCAAAAACTACCTAAATACCCTCCTGATGGCTTCAGATACCCCCCATAGCCGAAATCCCCTTCAAAAACTACCTAAATACCTTGCTCATGGCCAGATACCCCCATGGCTGAAACCCCTTCAAAAACTACCTAAATACCTTGCTCATGGCTTCAGATACCCCCATGGCTGAAACCCCTTCAAAAACTACCTAAATACCCCCTGATGGCTTCAGATACCCCCATGGCTGAAACCCCCTTCAAAAACTACCTAAATACTTGCTCATGGCTTCAGATACCCCCATGGCTGAAACCCCTTCAAAACTACCTAAATACCCTCCTGATGGCTTCAGATACCCCACATGGCTGAAACCCCTTCAAAAACTACCTAAATACCCTCCTGATGGCTTCAGATACCCCACATGGCTGAAACCCCTTCAAAAACTACCTAAATACCCTCCTGATGGCTTCAGATACCCCCCATGGCTGAAACCCCTTCAAAAACTACCTAAATACCTTGCTCATGGCTTCAGATACCCCCATGGCTGAAACCCCTTCAAAAACTACCTAAATACCCCCTGATGGCTTCAGATACCCCACATGGCTGAAACCCCCTTCAAAAACTACCTAAATACCCTCCTGATGGCTTCAGATACCCCCATGGCTGAAACCCCCTTCAAAAACTACCTAAATACTTGCTCATGGCTTCAGATACCCCCATGGCTGAAACCCCTTCAAAAACTACCTAAATACCCTCCTGATGGCTTCAGATACCCCACATGGCTGAAACCCCTTCAAAAACTACCTAAATACCCTCCTGATGGCTTCAGATACCCACATGGCTGAAACCCCTTCAAAAACTACCTAAATACCCTCCTGATGGCTTAGATACCCCCATGGCTGAAACCCCTTCAAAAACTACCTAAATACTTGCCATGGCTTCAGATACCCCCATGGCTGAAACCCCTTCAAAAACTACCTAAATACCCTCCTGATGGCTTCAGATACCCCACATGGCTGAAACCCCTTCAAAAACTACCTAAATACCCTCCTGATGGCTTCAGATACCCCACATGGCTGAAACCCCTTCAAAAACTACCTAAATACCCTCCTGATGGCTTCAGATACCCCACATGGCTGAAACCCCCTTCAAAAACTACCTAAATACCCTCCTGATGGCTTCAGATACCCCCATGGCTGAAACCCCCTTCAAAAACTACCTAAATACCCCCTGATGGCTTCAGATACCCCACATGGCTGAAACCCCTTCAAAAACTACCTAAATACCTTCCTGATGGCTTAGATACCCCCTAGGCGAATGCCCCTTAAAAAACTAAAATAACGACCGACCGGATACGTGGGAGAAAAATAGAAATGAAATGGCTCCCGTGAAAATTTTCATCCAGGGAACGCACGCCACCTGGCTCACTATGTACAAAATCACCCCAACCTCCATCCCCTCCCCTTTTACTAAGGAAAAAACTTTCAAAGTTAATTTTAATAATTTAAACTAAAAGTTTTTCATAATTTTTTTATCAGTTTGGGGGTTTCCGAGCACGCTCTATCCGAATCCGAAGAGAGCTAAGCTCTAGCTCCTTTCCCCTTCGAGTTGAATTCGGCTTCAGACGGACGGACAGACGCGTCAAGAAAATTATTATAGTTGATAGTTGATGCCAGGTTAATCGCATTTCTGTAGAGAAAAATACAAGAAATTTGTGACTTGGGACTAGACTAGTCTTAAATATCGTGTTTTGGCTTTTACCTGTATCCGACAAGGCTAATCGCTGATTTCCAGGAGATCGTCGCATCCGTGTGCACACACTGTGCCTGCCTATCGTCTCCGATCTGACGACCATCTATTCCAGCTTCGACCTGAAGGCTGCCACGTCGTTGATCGTGAAAATGGGTATTTTGCGATGGATTTTCGACTTGACTTTTCCTAGGTGTCGATCGTTGCCTGTCGGGCAGCCCGTTGACGGATGCGCGTGAAGCTACGATCAATGCGGTGGTGGATGCGCTGTCGGCGTATCGCAAGACTATCGGCACCGTAATACTAACATTTTTTTGCGCTTAAACTTGTTCAGGGGCGACCAGGAATCGCGGCGCCCAGGGCTGGCCACCTTCGCCTCTTCCCGCTCTTTGCGCTTGCTGTTTTGAAACATGTGAGTGTTTGCAAGGGTTTTTCTGATTTTTAATGGACTTAAAATTTTCTCATTTATGATTATTCATTAAATTTTCAAATCTGAAATCGTTTGTATTTATATATTTTTTTTTATCAGACGGCGTTCTCCTCATCCGGTCGAAGTATCCGGCTCGACGACAGGGCAGCGGCGATGCTAATGTTGAGGTAAATTATTTATTACCTATCCAAACATCCGACTTTTCCAGATTCTGCCCGCTCGACCAAATCCTCTCCGAGATCTACCCACAACTGTACTCCGTCAGCGAGCTGTTGGCGGTATTTTATTCTGCGCCCGGCTTTTCACGTATTGTTTAGATTCCGGAGCCCCAGCTGCCGCAAGCTCTGCCGCTGTCCTTTGAACACATTTCTCGGCACGGCATCTACATTCTTGAAGCGGGCACATATTTGTAAGTTTGTAGCCCAAATTCGGTTAATAGCTTCTTTAGGTACATCTACGTGCCGCAGGACGCCGATCAGCAGTTGCTCGTCGACATCTTCGGGGTCCCGTACCAGCAGCTCGACGGGGTAGCTTGACACTCATTGAATCGGTCTATGCGATTTTCAGAGCCGCTTCAAGGAGCTCGATAACCCCGCGTCCAGGCGTGTCCACGACTTCATCAGGCACATCTCGCACCTCAAGGCCTACATGTCCCCGCCAATCATTGTTCGGTAAGTCAAAGGATTTTGAAACTACGGGATGTCTCAAAGCATACAAAAGGCTCGATATGTTTTCTTCTGAGACAGCCTATAACTATTTCAATTTTAGGGAAGACTCCCCGCTGCGCGAGGCTTTTGTGCGTCGACTGATCGAAGACCGGACCGACTCGTCGTTCAGCTACTACGAATTCCTGAAGCACGTCCAGCAGGAGATTAAGGCATAGCCCGCCCCCCAGCATCCATTCCCCACTCGCTGTGTGATATCAAATTAATACAAACAAAGTGCCCCGCCGCCCTGTAATTCGTTTTTGCTCTGTAAGGTTTTTTTTGTGTGGTGTCGATTTGATGCGTTGCTCGAATTATATGCCCCTTCTCCTTCCCCTTCCCTTCATCTCGATGCGGCTAAACAGAGTTGATCCCAAGCCCAGCTAGTCGCCATCATTTTGGCCCTCGTTCCTCTTCTAGCTGTATTCCCGCCCTCTTTTACCTCTGTGATAAGCCCGCGTGCGGGTCCCCCGGCCCCCGGTCCTCGACATTGTTTTTCCGGGATGACCCCACCTCGCATCGGCCAGCTGTCCCATCGTGTGTGTGTACGCCGCGTGATTTTGAGAAACTTAACGGTTCTTGCCCAATACTTTGCACCCAAAACAGGGCGCGGTTCTGGTTTGTTATCGGGGGAGGGGGATTGTCCCGGGGTTTTTTCGTTATTTTGGCCTTTTTCGAGGATTGTTTGAACGCGATCCGCTAGAGCAGCAAAAAGATACCAAAATTTTTAATTGCACCTCAAAATAATGTCAACTAAAAAAGGGAATAAAGATGGGCGATCGACAAAAATCCCCCCCACCGCTAACGAACCAGAACCCGACGAGCTACCAAATGAAAACAAAGGTGATCCCCGATTTTTCTTTGGTGCACCTTGTCGTTCTCCCCCGCGTAGACCGGTCGCCAGGCTGTGAACCCTCTTAGAATAATCAATTTTTTTGATGCAATAGGTTTCATCGATTATTGGAAACGGCAGTGCCCCCCCACCGTACGGAAATTTGTTAGTGTGCCGAGGTAATTCCCCCTGTTTTGTCAGCTCAATTGTGCCCTCTTATACTCGAGTACGCGTGGGTCCAGCCATTTTCTTTCATACTATTGGATTTTTTTCTAGCATAAAGATTGTGTCTATTTTCTGCGCAACGTGGTCATTCGATGTTTGCGACGGGTTGTTTCTGATCCAAGATTATTCTATGACTGTTCTTTTGGCGCTCGTATGGCAAGGAATTAGTTTTTATAGTCTCCCCAGATGTCTCAACTAGGAATCAACGTGACCGATGGGCTCGAAAGCCAGTACTATGAAGTCTTTGACGAGATGACATTAGAAGATCTCAAGTGCATTGCATTCGCGGATTTCGGTTCGATATTTTCACCATGATATCTATTCGCTGATAGGGAAAGATGGCGATGAGGTGGTCAACGTTACGCTGATACGAGAGCAACAGCCCCTTGACGGTGACAATGCCTCGCTGAAAGTGCTTGGCCTGAAAAGCGGAGATATGTTGCTGTATCGTCGCAAGCGACTTGAAGCGTATGTCACGCCGTTGTCTAACTAAAATAAATTTTAGACGACGAGCACAAGCGCCGGCGGCGGCGCCCTCGACCTCGGCCGCGATCCCGGTAGTCGATCCGACTGCTCAAGCTAGGATGGCGGAACTTATCAAATCCATGACAGTACTGGCCTGTTTTGGGCGAAAATAATGAATTTTAGATTCCGAAGAATCTGAAGCCGAAGCCGAAGGCCCCAGCGCAGGACCCATTCACCGTTCAGGTTAGAATAATTTAATTACTAAGACTTCCTACCCCCTGGGCGCTTCGTCAAATTTTCCGGCTGTCAACTCGATGTTTATTTGTTTTCAGGCTCGTCAAATGTATGAAAAAATGTCTCAACCGCAATTCCAAGCTCGTTTCAACGAGATGCGCCCCGAGCTGGTCGAACACTACAAGGCCAACCCGCAAGATTGGGGTATTTTTGTAAACTACTTTCCATTTAATTCAATCTTAGAGGGTTTCCTCAAGCTCTTCAAGGCCTGGTTCGAGGATGAAGCCAGGAAGCAGGCGCTGATGAATGATCCAAACAGCGAGGAGGGGCAACGCTTGCTGGCGGAGAAGATTCGACAGCAGAACATTGATCATCAGTACGGCTTGGTAGGCGTGAAAACTTTTATTGCTATCTTTTTTTTTCAGGCGATGGAACACACTCCGGAGGCCTACGTGCCAATCCATATGCTCTACATCCATATGACCATCAACGGACACCCGGTGAAGGCCTTTGTCGACTCCGGGGCCCAAGTGTCTGTGATGTCGATGGAATGTGCGAAGCGGTGTGACTTGGAGCATCTTCTCGATAGGAGGTTGGATTTGTTGCTTTTTTTGCTTATGAATGTGATTGTGTAGGTGGACTGGCGTTGTGCACGGTGTCGGTGGGAAGCAGAATTTCGTTGGCAAGATTCATATGTGTAAGTTTTAGGCCTATTACTCAAAGTAAAGTTTTCTAGGCAAGGTTCAAGTGGAGGACCATATTTTCCCGTGCAATTTTGATGTGCTGGGCGATCAAAACATTGATTTGCTCCTCGGGTTGAACATTTTGCGCCGCCATCAATGCTCGATCGACTTGAGGACTAATCAGTGGGTTTTGTGGCTAAAATTGTATTTTGTTTTTAGGCTGATATTTGGGGACGGTACAGCGACCAGGTTCCTCACCGAGACCGAGATCGAGACGTTCAAGCTCGACGCGCACAACGATTTAGGTAAAGTTCCTTTCATCGTCCATGCCCACTTGTTTAGCAATTGAGCCAAGCCCGACGATGGTCGCCGAGATGCTTGGCATGGGCATTGACGAGGCTGTGGCCAAGGAGGCGCTCGTTTCGACCGGGTAAGAACACGCCCATCGGTCGACAACATTGATTTTTAGTAATAACCTGGAAGCGGCTATTGAGAAGGCGATCGCGGCTCAGACGAAAGAAGAGCCGATGGATCAGAAGTGATGCGTGTAACTTTCGTGACCCACACCACCGTTTTGCCCATCACCTGCCCTTTGGTACCAACTCGTGCATTTTTTTGGTTTTTCTATACGGATATGACGCAGGCCTTCATAGCGTTTTTGACTCGATAAATACGTGTCGCGACTGGAAACGGCTTTGCAGGGTGAACACAGACAGACATGCTGCGCTGCCCGACGGGGTCAGCCCAGGATTAAGCCAATTCCCGGGGGCGATCCAGAGGTTTTTGCGGACCTAGCGTTGACCGAGGACGAGAACGGCCGATTTTGAATAGGCTGTCGAATGCTCTCGAAAACCTCAAAATTCAAGCCTCTACCGAATAATGAACGACGCGGGGGTGGCGTGTGCCTTGGGGGTGATTGCCGTGTATCATCCGGCTTTCACTCGAGCTCGTGCCCCCTCATCCTCCCTTCCTCTCCCCTCATCCAGCCTCCGATCACCAGCAGCACCATTGATTTGATTTTGATAGCCGGCGGCGTGGCTTGCCCGCAACTTGTTTTAGGCCTTGGGGTTGCAAAATTTTACGCTGGTATGAAAATTTGTATCACATTTTTGATTTTTTTTGGACGTCATTTCTTACAGCTATTTTCCGGCTCTTTTACCTTCTTAGAACGAAGCACTTGTATTAAAATCTGGCATATAGGTATCTCAGGTTGGTGGATTCCGAGAAGGCGCGGTAGACCAACGTACAAAGTCCAATTGTCCCCACTTTTGCATGATTTTGGCAGTGTCCTGTGAAATTTCTCTCTCTCTCTCTCTCTCTCTCTCTCTCTCTCTCTCTCTTTCTCTATCGCGCTCTCGCTCTCTCTCTCTCTCACTCGCTCTCTCTCAACGTACCTTTTCTACGTTCAATCTTGGTGGTTCGGAGGCTCGACGGCTCACGTTTTGACCGTTGGGTTCCGGTCCGATGGTCTGCTAAGAGGGGTCTTGGACATGACGTGATGAACCGGGATTGCTCTGACGCCTCGGACACAGTTTGAGTCCGACCATTAGCGGGAGTAGAGGCGGCGCGGGGTATCGTTTAGTCATCAGCTGTTTATTGCCTAGCTTCTTCTTTCCTCCTTTTGCACCCCTTTTGCCCGGGGGGGGGAATCAACCAAATGTGGCATTCGCTTTCACGACGCTGTAGTGGGCTCGAAAAAATTTGCTGCTTACACTGCACAGAAAAGGACACTGCTTCGCCCCCCTCACCCCCCCCCCCACCCCCAAAGTACAAATCGCTTCAAGTTGATTCTGCGAACTTTGGCGTCGGTGGTGCGGACGAGCGGGTGGGCCCCCCCCGAAACGGTCGGGGCCCAAAAATTCATAAGGGGGGACCCTATGATTTTATTTTTCAAAATTGTGCCTGCGGCGCTATTTTCACATTTTACTGCATTATAGAGCTATGTAGCCTTTTTCCAAAATTTTTCGCCTGGGCGCTGTTTTTCGTTAATTTTTTGAGTTTTCGGAAAAAATTTTTCGGGCCCCGAAATTTTTCTGGCTACGCCCCTGGTGGTGCGGCAAATCCCGCGTGTAAGCGCCGACCGGTCGACTCGCAGCACCCTCAAATCCACCTTGTAGCAGCAGCCGTTGACCCAAAGGAGGAAATTGGGGAAGGAGCAGATCGACCGCTCACACTTCTTCAACAGGTCCACACCACACCACACCTCAAGGTCTACCTCAATTCTCCAAAACGCGACACACGCTCCGGAAATTTGGAGATTCAAGTGGTTGGAAGAGATGAAGTCTTTTTTGTGAAAGCCGATGATTTGAAGGGAGGGCCATGTGTCGCCACGGCCTTTCGCACACGTATTTAAAGGGCTAAAGCTGTGTTTAGCTACCGTACATCTCTCTTCCCATAGCGTTTTTGCTCAAAATTCATCAAATGAGTACAGTCCTTTGTTTAGTCATTTCTAATGCTCGACCAGCTCCTCCTTCTCTTATCGACACTAACTTTAACCCAAGCAGCCAGCAATGCGACAAATTCCAACGCCCATTTCGAGGTATTTTAAAATTAATTACGGGATTTAATTAATTTTCAGATACTCTCGTTCGATTTTGCGGCCGTCGAGACGCCGTTCGTCGTCGCTTCTTGGCTCGCGATAGCAAGCGGCGTAAAAATCCGTAAGTGTTGCTTAAATAGCGTAGCTTACCTACCGTAAATTGTTGCAGTTTTTCACTTCATCCGCCCGCTGTCTTCCTATTTTCCCGACAGCTCACTGCTCGTCGTTGTCGGGCTTATTTTAGGATGGATTTTGCATTATGGTAGCTCTTTTTTCGAAACCTCACTTCAACATTTTAGGGATCGACACGATCAAAGCCGAGTATTACCAGCTCGAATCCGTCTATTTCTTCCATTTTCTACTCCCACCTATTATTTTTGATGCGGGTGGGGCTGTTCTGATTTTTACTGAACTTTTTTCTAGGTTATTTCATGCCAAATCGAGCGCTCTTCGAGAATTTCGGCTCGGTGATGGTGTTTGCCGTGATCGGGACCGTGTGGAACACATTGGCTATCGGTTCGTTGGTAGTTTTAGATGAAGATCTGATTCAGGCGGCTGTCTCTATGCGCTATCCACCTGGGGATGGTTCAGCGTGCCGTTCACTGCCTTCGAGGTGCTCACCTTTACTTCTCTAATCTCGGCCGTCGATCCCGTTGCAGTGATTGCTGGTGCGTCAAGTTTCGGACCAGCTTTTAAGAGGCAATAAAACGCCGCATATTTCGAAGGGTAGCGGCAGTCTTTGGATAATAAGCAAAGTTGAAATGAAATATGATAGATGCTAGGGAGCAGTTTTTTTTATCAGGATACTTTATGGCTAAAACCAGTGCTGCTAGGATGTAAATACCATTCGATAATAGTATTGTGGTATTCGTAGTGTGCTATTAGCAACATGGCAGTAAGACACCACAAGCTCAAAAAGATCTTTGTGCACTCCCGGGGGAATGCGTTCCAAAATTTGTTCGAGACACTGTTGGTAGGTCTCGGGGTTAATGCTAACCTCAAACTTGGGTAATTAAACCGAAGCTTCGGAGGGGTGTGTGCTTTTCTGACCTATGCAATGCACAGACGGGTGTCTTTTGACGGGCAAGCACGCAGCGAGCGATCACTGGTCGTCTGCGTCTCCGGGGAGTGTAGCGGACTCGCTCCTTCCGCTTTGCGTCTCCTCTCCACTCTGCCACCCTACATCAAGTACCGAGTGTGTATGGCCCTCCCCGGAGACGCAGACGACCAGTGATCGCTCGCTGTGAGCTTGCCCGTCAAAAGACACCCGTCTGTGCATTGCATAGGTCAGAAAAGCACACACCCCTCCGAAGCTTCGGTTTAATTACCCAAGTTTGAGGTTAGCATTAACCCCGAGACCTACCAACAGTGTCTCGAACAAATTTTGGAACGCATTCCCCCAGGGAGTGCACAAATATTCGAAAAGTACGGTTAAAAAAAGCGGCTTTTCAACGGCCACTGTCCCCCGTCGCAACAATCAAAAACTCGCAGCCTAGTTTTCGAGGAGGTGCACGTCAACGAGTTCCTCTTCATCAATGTCTTCGGCGAGGCGCTGTTCAACGACGCCGTGTCGGTGGTGCTGTACAAGATGTTCAGGAACTTTTATGATATTGGGGCACCGAATGTGCAGGTAGGCTGTGGGGTGGCGACACAAGCTTGTCGTTACAGGCCAGCGACTACGGGAAGGGCGTCGTGTCGTTCTTCGCGATTGCGCTGGGTGGAACGCTGGTCGGCGTCGTGTTCGCGCTGCTAGTCTCGATCATCACCAAGTGGGTTTTTGGTTTTGGCTGCAAGAAACCTTCTATAACTCGGTTTATTGACCTTGTTCAGGCACGCTGACCACATGCGGATTTTGGCCCCAATTTTCGTCTTCGTCCTCCCGTACATCTCCTATCTCTTGGCCGACTCGCTCGGCATGTCGGCGATTATGGCGTGGGTTTTTTGGCTGTGGAAATTAGCCTAAAAACGGTTATTGCCAAAAGCTACTAAAAGGTTTTAGTATCTCTGTCTGCGGCATCGTGATGAAGCAGTACGTCAAGGGAAACATCACCCCCGCCGCCGCCAACTCGGTCAAGTACTTTACAAAGATGTTGGCACTGGGAGCGGAAACGGTAGGTGGATTTTGCGGGCATTTGATAGCCGATTTTTAGCTGCTGTTCATGTTCCTCGGCGTCTCGGCCATCGTCACGCCGCACCACTTGGATTGGGCGTTCATCTCGTTCACCATCGCTGCCTGCTTGATTTTTAGGACGGTTGGTATGTTGTTTGATTGGTTAGACGGATAGTTTAGTATTTCCCGTGTGATTCCGAAATTTGGGTGGAAAATCTGTTTGGAAAACCTTAAAAGTCAAAATCGAGTATTTTTGGTAAAAAAATTGCTATTTTTGTATTTTTCATACATTGTTGTAAGTTTTTTGTTTAGGCATCCTGCAAATCAGTTCAAAAACAATTCCTCTATTTATCGGAGGACAATTAGAACCTAAAAAAATTTTCGATCGTCAGACAGCACTAAAATTTAAATCTTTAGACATTTATCCAGCTGTTGCGAATTTTAATATCCTGAATTTAGGCGTTGTCGTGCAGTGCTTCGTCCTCAATCGTTTCCGCAAGAAGAAGTTTTCAATGGTAAGCCCAAAAAGGTCCACTTTTTGCTTTCATATTTACCGAAAACTCCCCCATTTCCAGGTGGACCAATTCATCCTCTCCTACGGCGGCCTGCGCGGCGCGATCGCGTTCGGGTTGGCCGTCTCGCTACCGGATTCGATGCCGGCAAAGAACATGTTTGTCACCACCACGATAGCCGTCATTTATTTCACAGTATTATTACAGGTACAGGGCATTTACTTTAGATTAGAGAGCCAAAAAACCCGATTTCTCTTAAATTCGCTTTTTCAGGGCATCACCATCCGACCGATCGTAAATTGGCTGAAGGTCGAGCGTTCCGAAGGGCGACTAAGGACGATGACCGAGAGCGTGTTCATAAAGGTAGTATTGTTTTGTTCTCGGATCTGACGAAATTTTTAGTATATCGACTACACAATGTCGGGCGTCGAGGAGATTTTCGGGATTCGGGGCGAGCACTACATCAGGGACAAGTGAGTTTTAGGTTTTTAAGGTTCTTGCGGGCTAATATTGTGCCTAGTATCTTTTGCTCTCTTTTTGAAGCCAAAAAATTTCAAAAAATGTGGAATAATGTTTGGAAACTCGACATTTTGGTGGTTTTGGTGAAAAAGAAGTTTAGACCTATAAGCTAACTTTTTAATTGAAAGTTACAGGTTTAAAGCTTACAAACATGTACCAATTTGACATTGAAAGCAATGAAAAGCATTAAAAACACTTTGTTTACCTGACGCCTTACCAATGTTCCAGCTTTGAACGCCTGAACGCGAAAGTGTTGCGCCCGATTCTGATGCGCAACGTGGAGCGCAAAGATTTTGATGCTTCCGGTAACAACCAAAAGTCTGCTCACAAAATGGCTATTGCAGTAATCGTCCGCGCCTACGCCAAGATCACGCTTCAGGAGGCGCTCGAGCTCAAATCAAAGTTGCCACTCGGGCGCAAGCAGAAAAAGTTTGTGCTAAACAAATTTGAAACTTTTGTGAATCAAAAATCAGGCTCGAACTTTTCGACTCTTCAACGAACAGCGAGCGGAGCCCAGAAAGGAGGAGAAAGGAGACGATGGCCACGGTTGGTGCTTCTTATGGAATTGGTAGTTGTCTAGCGGGTGATTTTATGGTTTAAAAGCATCAAATTCTCTTCTTTTCCAGTTGGTGGAAGACCCGGCATCGGTGGAGGTGCTGTACTCGCTCTTCTCGGAGATGTTGGAGCGAAAAATGGCCGAATTGGGCCGGGGCAAACGGTTGAGGCTGATGGCCGAGCCGGAAGAGCTGCAAGACGATTACATGGCACAGATGACTGTCACGGTGGGCGAGATTTGACGGAGTACGGGGCAAGCTAGCCAAGGCAATTTCGGAAAATGCTATGACAGCCCAGCTCGAGGGGCTCTAGCAACGACATTTTGCGGAAAAAGGCGCAAAGCCGCCATACAATTTCAGCCCCGATCGATTGGCCAGCCGGGAAAGACTATTTAGGAAACCAGATTGCGCTTTTATTAAAAGTACAAAACATAAAACTAAACCATCATTACGGCTGCATTTTTAGAATCTAAAAGCACTGCAGTCGACGCCTTCAACGAGTACGTCAAGTCTCCAACAGGTGAGCGTGTGTAGAACACCATCATCAACAACACGCCCACCTCAGACACGACAATACTCCGCCCCGTTCTCCGCCAACCAGGTGCACCCGCGGCTCGAGCTCGGACGGCGGAACAGCGAGGGCAGCACGAAAAAACAGGGTCCAATCGTGTAATGAATAAATGAACAAATATTTTTGGAACATCCACTTGACAAAAACGCTTTATCGAGTCACACCATTCATTAATAGTTCGATTCATCAGTTGATACGACAGATCATTAAACTTTTTAATTGCGTCGAGTGGGCGCGCGGAGACGTCCCCTCAGGGATCACTCGTTGTTGTTGTGGTCCTGCTGGGTCTGGTCCTCGCATTGCCTCTGGAAATCGGCCTTTTCGTTTCGTTAGTTAGTTCGATGGGTTTTGCAAGTTCACCTTAGTAAACGGTGGGATCCCATCGCCAATGCACTCGGCGCTGGGCTGAAACTTGCGCCCAGTCTCCCAGTCCAGCGGCGCGAACGGGTCCAGATGGTTGATCTACAAAGCTCGTCAACACGTGCTCTTTTTAGTCAAAGGTAACTCGGAAAAAGTTAGCAAAAGCTTGATGAAAGAAAAACGACATTTTTAACAAAAAAAAGCGAAATTTTGGCAACTCACCATAAATGTGTCCCGGATCGTGCCAAAGATGTAAGTGTAGTCGGGCACGTCGTAGTACTCGAGGTCGTCCAGGTAGCGCATGATGCGCACGTACGTTTCCTTCGGGCAGCCCTTCATCGCCCTGAAAAAGCGTCGAATACTTCGCGCGTAGCTCAGGAATCAAGACCACGATGTCAAGCTAATGTTTTTTGCTTTTTCCGACTGGTTTGACCAACTGGTTGAGGAGGGTCTCGTTGGTGCGCAGCTCCTTCTTCTGCGCCTCGACCTTGGCCTTGTCCTTTCCCTTTTCTCGTTTCCACGGCAATCCGCCCGATGTCCATTCCATCACCTGAAAAATATGGGTTTTTCGAACGGCAGTTAGCCGGGAAAGATACAAAAAGCCTCAATAAAAAGAATCCCTAGAAACCGACCACGTAAAGCCAACTTTCCAGATCGTCCTTCCGGCTCTGATCCTTCTCGGTCAGCGCGGCCAGAGAAGCGTATCTGACCAAAAAGTCAGGCTTTTCTAGGCTTCGCTACCGAGTCGTCCCACGATAACTGGCCCGTTCGCGCTGCGGGCGCAGCTCCCTCTGAAAAGTTGGGCGAAATAAGTAGAGGGACATCTCCTCTCAACCACTACTCCAAAAACACACCTCTCCCCACGTGTAACAGCGCGACAGGCCAAAGTCGATGATGTGCACGTTGTGGGGGCGCGAGGGCGGGCCGAGCGCAAAGTTCCCCGGCTTCACGTCACGATGCAGGTAGCCGAGCTGAAGGAGTAGCAGTAAGAACAACCATATAATGAATACCCGGTGGAGCTGCTCGATGGCCAGCAGTGTCTGTTCGGCCATTTGGAGTGCCGTGGACAGGCTGAAGCGGTGGCAGCCGCGCTCGACGCGCACCTCCCACAGGTTTTTGCCGAGCTAAAAAAAATCGCGATTTAGGTCAAAGTTTAGTTTAGTTAAGTTTATATCGTATATTTTTGCTTGCTAGAAAATTATAAAAACACATTTTTAAATATTTAGAAAATGCCTAGATTTCGAGAAAAACAAAAATATTCGAAAATTGCTATAAATTTTCTATGTTTGTTATATCTAAAAACAGTGCGAAAATCTATCAAAAAACAATGCGACGTAGGAATGTACCGGATTTAAAAGGGGAAATCCCCACCCCCGTTAAACGGAAAGTACCGCGACCGTGGAGGGCCAAAAAAACTACAACCCACTCACCACATTCATGACGACAAAGCTGAAGTGATTCTCGACGACGCCCGCATCGACCAGACTGCAGACGCGCGACATCTGATGCTCCCGCGCGTCGAGCATCACCTTCTTTTCGAGTAAGATTACCTGAAAAGAACAGTCAAATAAATCTTATTAGCTTACCTTCTTTTTTGCGGTCAACGTCTCGCACTTGATGGCCAGCCGCTCGTTGTCGGTGGAGCGACGCGACTCGAACACGGCCCCGTAGCCGCCCTTGCCCAAGATGCCGCAAATCTGGAATCGATAAAGTATATAGTCGGACTCGAGAATAATAGCTAACCTTAAAGAATTTCATGCAAAAAGCTTGCCTTGTACACCGTCTTGTTAAAGGTGGTGATCTCCTCGCCGCGCCGCGGGAGCAACGGGTCCATCTCCTCGCTGCATTCAGTCGGTATCAAGACGACCGTCATCAGGAATGGCCGTGGACTGTGTTTTTCCTCCTGTACTGTCTGCGGAAATTCAAAACGCTAATTTGCAAATATCGACGACGAAGAAGGGCTTGGGAGCTAGTTTTAAGCTTTTTTCTGGCTTCCCAAAACTTACTAAAAAATCAAAAACTACGCCGAGCTGTCTAGATTTCGTAAAATTCTTCAGCGGAGCATGAGGTCAATCTTAGGGTGACGCCATTGAGCAGCCACGTGACCCGGAAAACGGAAATTGGGAGAACCTAAGTACCATTTGCATTAACACTCTAAATATCCTCGGACGCGCTTCCACGTTTCCCCAAATTCCCCAAATATAAGGCAAAACTCGACGGCCGTCATTCATTTTTTCACTAACCACCATTACTGACCCACCACCACTAACTTCTATGTGCAAAGTACGCCGGCCTGCGCCCCGCAAGCGCGCACGATCCCCAGAAGGATGCTATGGCGCAGAGTCGGACGCCGACCTCGAGACGCTCACCGGATCTCCTATCGTTGGAAAATATTTTTTACTCTTATAAAGAGAAGCTTAGACTTCGCCCATCCGTCGCTACCGAAACCGTCACACCTCCGAGCAACATCCGCTCATGCCGGCTGAACGCCGGAAAGGAGTCGGTCATTTCGGAGAGGCAAATATCAAGAAATTTTTGTATAACTATACTTAACTATCCCTTTTTAGCCGATCTATCTTCTCTCTTGGCTGCTCCCGTTGCACTTGTCCCAGTCGCGGTTCGGCGACCGGCCGGAGCCCTCGAACGCGTGCACCATCATCTCGTTGCACATGATCGACCTCGTGCACAGGTGTGCCACAGACGGAATAATAACCCCAATAACCTCAGAAATGACGTCCAGCTCCCCTACCATCGTGCCAACCTCGACTGGGAGCTGCCACCGCCGAAGAAGTCGCCCTTCCCCAGCCCCGAGCTGCACAACGCCCACAAACTAGTGGGGGCGCGCCACTTTTCAAAAAATCAGCACCGGGCTTACAGTTGAAGACGCTGCCCGAGGATATGCTATGGGTGCTGGTCAACGGTATCATCAGCGGCAACCAGACGCACGAGGCTGCTGTGACGGCGCGCCATGGCAGACAGGCCGACGGGGTCAAGGGCTTGTTCACCGTTCCCGACGCCATCAGAGCCGTCAAAGCGTGTAGTGGCGGCGACATCTACGAGATCGACTATGCGGCCGTGTTGGTCGGTTCTTCCGGGGACTTTTTCACATCATGGGCGAAGTCGGGCTCTCGGCTTACCTTGAACAAAAAAACTGCATAAATTGATTCATTTTTCAATTGACTCAATTCAGAAAACGTAAAAAAAAAATCGAAAAATTGATTTTCTGGAGCCAAGATGACAAAATTATCCACTTTCTACTGAAAATATAGCTAAAACTTACTGAAAACAATGTAAAATGCCCCAGCTAATTCTAAAGTACCCGAGATACCAACGTTGGTGATCAGGTATGTGATAAACTGTCTTACGTTTTTCTCTATTCTTCTACCCCACCCTTTCAGGCGCCATTCGCTCGTACGTTTCCGCGGCTGATCCGCCGCGCCATCGCCAGCTCCGCCCATTGCCACCTGTCGCGCCTTTACTTTGTGCTGCTGTACGCGCAACGCGCCGTGATGGTCGTCTACGACCGCAACACGCAGATGTTGGCCCTGTTCGACTCGCACACCCATCGCACTTACGACGGTCGCAGACAAAGTGGGGGCTCATTTATTGAAACCCTTAGCGACGTATCCTAGGACAAGTTGGCGGCGCGGTCGGCACTGCGCACATCGACCAACTGGCCAGCTTCACGACGTGGATCGGCCTGATGATCTTCCCGGAAAGCAGAAAGGGATCGCAGGTACGTTCGCTCTGTTTCACTAGCGGGAAGGGGCGACTTAGCTGGGGAAAAACTTTTTCTACGCGTTCTTTACCATCTTTTAATTGTTGGCTTGCGCCGAAATAAAGTTCGTTCCCCCCACTAATGAATCAGCCCCTCTCAGACCGCGAATTTGCAGTTGTACGAGATCTCGTGCGTGCAGGTGCTGGGCCCACGGAGTCGTCAAGATGCGCCGACAGTGGTGTACAATGATATTGTGCGCAAACCGGTACGGCAGAGAGAGGGGTTTAGCCAAAACCCGTTGCAGATCTGGAGCCACAATCGTGCGTCACATCGCATCTACCCAGGGGACCCGATCTACGACCCGGAAGGTGAGGCTTTGCCAACAACAAAATATGAGCATCACCGTTTTAGAGAGCGACAGCGGTTATGAGAGCGCACCCGACGGCTAGCCCGAACCCCCGAAAAGCATCGCCTCGAAAATCACTAATCATTCGCTCAAACGTTTGAAGACTATTCGATTTCGTACTCGCTATGTTGCCCGATTGTTGCTCATCAATAAATATTACCTCAACTTGCACCTCGCATTGGTGGAAAACAGGCCACAAGTCGTTTTCGGTTGTCGGGGCAGGTTCTAATGGGTTTATCACATTTCACAAGTCAAAATCACAAAATCTGATATGGTAAGGAATATCACAGAGAGTACCGAGCGTAAAAATTGGAAAGCACCAAAAGTCAGATGATCACAGAGAAGGAGAAGAGAGCACAGAATGTTGGGGGATTATCAACATGTATCGTATATATTTGGCATTATTGCACATCACAAAACGGGGAATTGTAATAATTAAGAGACGATTTCAAAGTTGTCGGCCTCGCTTTTCGCGCAGCAGATTACGTGGCCGCGGTGCACAATCAGGGTCTTCATTCCAGTTGGCAAAGACATTTCGCTTGGCCACAGCTCGGTTAGGTGGCATCACCGGAAGAGTCTGAAACGTCCGATACAGGTGCACCGGAAAGGAGTTCACGTACCTCGGGATACTTTGGGGCCCCGGGGGCTTCACAAGGGCACGTCCGGCTGCCGTTCTCGTCGCATTCCATGTGAATCAGGTGGCCACAACTGGGTTTTAAGGTTTTCGAATACAAATAGGCATTTTACCTAAACACATAAGCAGCTTTGTCGATCGACCCTCGACACTTGATACATGGCCCGCCAGCCAGTCGGGGCAAACGCTTCGTCGACAGCTGGGATAATTTCTGAAAAAAGGTATTCGGATCAATTTCCGCATAAATTAAACCACCATCATCGCATCGCTCATCTCCTCGTCTTGGCACGAGTGCAGCGAGGTGAGAATAGCTTTTTGATACGAGCAGGCCATCAGGATAGAGTCGAGAAGGGCGGCGTTCTCACTGAAAAAAGGAATGCTTGCCATTTCATTTAGCAAAAAATAATGCTATAAACCATACCCATATTTGGCTTCGGCAAAGAAAGGTGCTTCATAGAGAGCAGTAATAAGTTCGACGGCGATCGAAGTATCGGATTCCAGCATACGACGCGTCATCGACAGCAATCGGGAACGGACCCCTAAAATTATGATATCAATCCGCAATCCCCCAAAAACTCACCGAGATTATTATTCTGCCGATTCTGCGTCAACGCGATAACGTGGCGGAAGAGCGTCGGCATCCAACCTCCCGCCCTCGCCTCCTCAACGTGACAGCTGCAGAACTGGACACAACGGTCGATCTGTTGCACTGGAACAAACAAATTCTAGAAAAAAGGAAAGCACACGAACAAAGCGCCTCGTCGTTGATCTCGACCTTTGACGATTCCTCGACCAGCCGCTGCTTCAGCAACTCGAATGCACGTCCGCTGAAGCCGCGCGCCTCTAGAAGCAGCACACAGGCTTCGGTAGCCTCAACGGCCGATGCGGCATTGAGGCAGCGGTCGCTCCTCGAACCGAGCGGCAGCCAGTAACGGAGCCAGTCCTAAAATTCATAGTGGTTGCCGCTCAAACAGTTGCCAAACCGTGAGGATAGCGTCCAGCTTTTCGGAATAATCGTTGTGCTCATCGATGAGTCCGTGGAAGGTGAGGGAGAAGAGATCTTCGTCCAGCGCATCATCCATCGTCATCGCATGTTCGCCACGATCACGTCTGAAAGGGTGAGTTGACAATAGTTGTATTGATGCGCTGTCTTTTTCAACCAGTTAATAAAAATAAATGAACAGAAAGAAGGTGAGGAGAAAACCTCTGAAAGCAGATGAGCAGAAAATCGTGCTCTTCAAAATCGGTAAAACATACTTCAACTGGAAGCACTCCTTCAGCAGCGGGAAATGCGCCATCGAATCGCGTAGATCCGCGCCGGGCATTGGGCGAAGCCTGGCAAAATGGTCGATGAAGTGGTCGACGACCAGGGCGGCAGCGTCTTTTGGCGATAGGCTGGTTAGCTCCTAGGTTGAGAAATAAGAAAAATAACGCGAACTACTAACCTCCAAGTGTTCCTTCAAATATGTCGTCAGGTCCTTGTATTCGCCAGGGGTCAACTCGTAGCATAAGAAGCGGGTGATCACGGAAAACAGCTCGGTCTGAAAGGGGCGTTGAAAAAGAAATTCACGAGCGGCGTACCGTTGGCGCGCCATGGCGGAGGAAGCAGTCGATCAGTTCGATAAAACGGCGTTCTGTCGATAGAATATAGGTACAAGTCTTCGTCCTGCAAAAGGGATTTCAATGCGATCCCTAAGCAATAACCCACTTCAACGGGCTTCTTTGCGCCAATTGTAGAGGATGTTGAAGCGGGATTTCCGGCACTGCGCGCAACACATCAACGACAGCCGTTTCGGCGCTCTCGCTGAGGGTCGGCATCATCAGCAGGGCATGGACGGCCTAATAAAATGGTTGTAAGGGTATTGCAGAAAGGGCCTGCCTCTTCAAGCTTCGTCGTCTGTGGCAGTATGCGGGCATTGGCGGCAAGGTGAGCGATGCACAACAGCATCTGCTCCAGAATCGGCTCGTTCAACAGCTCGATGCATAGGGTGCACAAGATCTAAAAATGTCGTCGAATTCAGGTAGTGGCTAAAATCGGGGACGTCAAAAAGAAGAAAAATCTGGTAGGAGTCTTCACTCCCAAATTGCCAAAACTCACATCCAATAGCCGTTCTAACCGATTCTCCGCTGAAAACAGCGCAACACCGGCACATTGGCAAAGCACATGGAAGAACTGGAAAAACGTGTTTAGGCCCAAAACTACGACCAAACCTGCTGCGCATCGAATTGGAGCAATTGCCGCAGATATGGGTATCTCTCTTCGCTAGCGACGCCATCTTTGCCCCGCAATGAAGTGATGCAACGATAGACCTTTAAACCCGGAATAGAGCTGGGGAACGCCAAATCATACCTCTAGGGGAACCTTGTCGACGAGCTCTGGCGGGAGATCACCAAATGGATATGCCTGACCCGCCAGACAACAATAGAGGTAAAGCATCAGCTTGTTCCCTATGTCAATTTCGCTGTCTGCGCGCAGCTCGCGCTCCGAGAATAGCGACACGTTCGTCATCAGCTCCTAGCCACTTTTTAGAGCAAAATGGTGTCCCTAACCTCCAGCGGGCCAACGAAATCGTATAGCGCCTTGTTGGAAATGTATATGATGCCGTCGAAGAGGCGATTCTGACGGCACGTCGACATTACCCAATGTATATCGATGCAGTAGATTGGGAGACGAACGATGGCCGCTTGGAGTTGCGCAAAATGACCTGTGCATGAAAAGGTGTTTTAAAAACTCAGAATCGGCGCACCTTCATTTTGGAGGTTTTGCAAGTAATCTGCGACCAAAGAGGGTGGCGGGTCGACCAATGCCCCGTCCATGACAGCCTCGTCGAGCAGCTCGAACATCACCGCGCGGGCCAGCCCGTCTTGTTCGATTCTATCAACATCAAAATTGTAATGCTTCCAAAACAAATAATTATACCTTGGATACCCAATCGTATAAAAAAGGGCCATGCGGTCGGCCTGGTGGCAAACTTTTAGCAGCAGGTCGATGTATTTCTATAACGAATTCAATTTTTTTTAGCATGTGACAGCGGATACGAACCCGATAGTGCGCTACTAGGACCGCCACTTTCCCGCCTGGCAAACCATCCATAATCCATTCTACGAGAAGGTAGATGATTTCGTCCAGCTTCTTCTCGACTTTTGACCTGAATATAAGGTAAGCGTTTGAACGCCGGAATAACCGTATGCTTTGGCTTCGCGCCGCCTTCACTTTTCCCTTGACGATGTCCAAAGCATAAAGTGAGGCAGAGATGTGGTCTTTCCTGAAAGAAAAAAGTATAAATATTAAAATCAGAACAAAAACCTCGATAAAAAGTTGTCGATCAGCTCGATTGGACTCAGTAGGACAAACTTGTGGATCGCCGAGCCTAAAGCTGGCCATTCAAAACGTACATTTAATTCACCTAGCACCACGACCGTGCCACCATGTGATGAAACTGCGGGGTAGCAAGCCGTTTCGGATAAACAAGCCAACGCGGCTGAGACGCCAGCTCCAGTGGCCAAGCCCTACATAGAAATTTTCCAATATTGTAGCGACAAGCCTTGAAATCAGCCGTCGCGTAGATGATTTCGAGTGTTGGGGGCGTGAGCTGGGGTAAAGCGGTCCTAGTGTTCACGTCGTACACCCCAGGAGCCTCCTTGACGTCGAGATACCAAATGAACGATTCGGAGATGAAGCTGAATGAGATGAGCGGCACTGACGTCTGAAAAACGCTTTCTGAATGAGAACCCCCATCGGACAAACCTCGATGTTCGCAATCAGCTCTGCAGATTTTACGCCCTTGAGCGCGAGTCGGCCCGGGAAAACACGATAGACAAAGAGCTGGGTGCCACGGCCGAAGCACATGCGCACGGATTCACGACCCTCCTGAATAACACAAAAAATAGTAAGTAGCACAATTTTATAACCTTACCAGCCAGTAATCACACTGCGGGGGAGCGTCGGGTGCGCCTTCTAACTGAACACTGCACAACACCGCGCCGCCGTGGTTCGTAGAGACGACGAGCACCTGCGCATGTCATGCATGAACCAGGAAATTTCACTAACCTTTGTCAATGTAACGAGGACGAGGAGGTGATGAACCGGAACGTAGCGCATAAAAACAACTTCTCCATTGCACCCAGAGAATATACAGTTTATCTAGGAAATGAGTGGAAAGTTTAGGAGAAAGATATACCAATTCTTTCCGTTTTCCAGTTATCTTCCTTCGGAGTCGGATTTCGAAGACCGATCCTCCAGAATCCAGTGCAAGTAGAGTTCGTTGTCTAAAATCTAAATTACTGGTCCAAGGAATCGCGATACCTGGATAAGAATACCGTTTGTAGGATACCGCGGCCCGGCTGGCCAGCCTCGTGGATAATATAAACGCTGGATCCGGTAGACGCGTTGATGATCTGCGGAATCTGTTGGAGGAAACTTTCAAAACCATACCCGAACAGCGCCCTTACTATAGCCGATCGCTAGATGACTTCCATCCTCGGAAAACGCTGCACAGGAGCCGGAGCCCAGGCGCTCTTCGCCTTTCACCGAATGTAGAAGTGCTTCCGTCTAAAAAATGTGAAAATTAACGAATTTAATACCTTTGAATCAAAAAGCATGGTCACACCCTTCGAAGTGACCAAAGCCAAGCGTTCGATACAATACGCGAGGGCGCGAGCACGGCCATATTGAGACTCGACTGATTGCACCACGGCAGTGATCGAGTCTGTAAAAGAGTAATTAAAGGATGAACCTTGCCTACCACACTGACTGTAGCTGAGTGGGCATTCCAACGTGTATTGAAAGTTCGTGGAGGCATCGGCCGAGCTTCTTCCGCTGAAGATCTCGCCCCCGAGCGTCGAATCGTCATCAGCATAGAGTTGATCGTTCAAAAGCAGAGAATCGTCAAATTGATCGATCTACCAACAAAGTCAAATGACGTCGTCAAAAACACCTGTAATAGAGCCTCATCTAAAGATATTGATGGCAGCGACGTAGCATCGTCAACATCAAGCCAATGCTCATCATCATCATTGGTTGAGGCGGAGCCAATATGGCTCATCCTAGGTTCGTTTAGTGCTGCCTGGCTGCGCTCCACCGATAGCTGATATGCTCACGACATTACTTTGCATTTTCGAGGTTCTGCCAAGAATATTTACTCCCATGTTAAAGCGAAGAAGTTTAGATAGGTACATATTTTAAGCCTAAAACCCAGGATTAGTAGAGGTGAAAGATACAATCACAGATGACAAGGCCTCAAGCAAAAACATCACAGACGGATCGAAAGGGGTAAATGACACAATACACATAAAAGTGAAGTTTTCGACGGCATATAAAGGCAAAGTGGAATGCGAGGAATAACTGAACATTGAAACGAAATCTATTGGACCTGGCAAGTTGACTTAGGCTATCGGGGAAAGCCGTAGAACATTACATAATAATATCAGGCTCGGGTACGTTAACGGAAATGGACTTGTGAGGCAGGACTTGTGCGCCATTTAGGTACAATTCATCGTTGACGACGACATCATCACCCAGCACGCTGTTGTTTTCAATGCGAACCCATCGACCTGAAAAAGGACGAATTGGTTATGTAAAAAAAATATTACCTATTGAGCACTTCCGACCCACGATGCTCTTGTTCACCCAGGAATGGCTCTTCACAACAGAATCGGAAAGAATTGTGCACTGCCGTAGGCACACGCCGTCTTCGACCCGAACGTTGGGGCCGATCACCTGAAAGCAAAAACTTTACTGATAAATCACACAAAACAAAACTACTCTCTAGAAAACGTACCACGTTGGGACCGATTTTGCAATTGGTGCCAATGGTGGCGCTCGCGTCGACGAGCACATTGCCCTAAAAGCAAAATGAGGATTGAAAGGAATAATCGAAAATTGCCTGAATATGATCGCCGTGGGCTAACTCTTCTTGGTTCGTCTCGCGCTTATGTTTCAAGAAGAGTGTGGTCCCTAAAAGTAAGCTTAACGCAGTTTTATCAACGATACCAGTCAGAAAATCCTTGGGCTGGCCCACGTCCATCCAGAACCCGGGAAGGACGAACGCGTAGAGATTGTGATCGGACGCCATTTTCGGGAAAATCTGAAAGCAAATACAAGATTAATCGCCAATGATACCTCTTTTTCGATACTAGTCGGCTTCAGCGCAATTCTATTCAGGATCGCCGGGCTGAAGACGTAGAGACCCGCGTTAATTTTGTTGCCGACGTACTCTAAATTAATTCTTCAATAAAGAGTTTATTCAAAAACCTTGAGGCTTCTCTACAAAATCTCCAATCTGTCCAGTTTGCTCGTCAAAGACAACAACGCCGTACTTCGAAGGCTCTTCCACCTTGAAAAAGATATGTATAAAACTGAGATGAAAGCAAACCTTCGTGACGGCAATTGTCCCCTCGCACCCGTGCTGCTTATGAAAATCGATCATCGCTTGGAAGGGGAAATCACAGATGACATCGGAATTCAGGACGAAGAACGGCTCATCACCATCGAGGTGTTGCCTAAAATGCCAAGACTTGTCGAACCGAGATACACTTGCCTAGCGAGCGCCAATGGGCCGGCCGTTCCAAGCGGCTCTTCTTCCAGCGAGAAATGGATGCGCATCCCTAGGCGTTCGGCGTGGCATCGTATCTCGCGTTCCAGGTCTTCGGCGCGATAACTAAAAGAATATAAAAGAGGTAGGAATGATCAAACCTGACGGCTAGCACTAATGTCGTTACTCCAACTTTCGCCAGGGCTTCCATCTGATGGAGCATCATCGGTTTGTTGGCAAACTGGACGAGAGGCTTGGGCTGCGTGATTGTGAGGGGCCGAAGGCGCGTCCCATAGCCGCCCACCAGGATCAGGGCCTTCATCCCTACAAAAAATAATTTACTCGGCAAATTATGATACAAAAAAGAACACGGAAAACAAGAATGAGATGAGGTAACCCGATAAAGCACCAGAACACAGAATACACGAAAATTGTAAGCAAAATTACAGAGTTGGTCAAAATTCTTCGATCTCGCCGCTCTGCTGTGGGAAAACGCCGACCTTCACCGCATCCGGCCGAACAAATCCTCCGTGATTATCCGCACATGTGAAGTACTTGACTCCTTGGACCGAGCCGTTGTTCTTTCCCACAGCATCGTCGTATTTGATGCCCACCCAGGTCCCGGGGGCAAATTCAACCGCTCCAATAAATGCAACATTGCCCCGGCGTGGCATATTGCCAGGCAGCCGGACTTCACATCGGTCTCCAACGCTGAAGTCGACGGGTGTTTCTTCGTGTGTTTTCGCATTTCCTTCGAGTTTCTCGGCTAGCATCCGCTGCTTGAAAGCGCGTACACTATCGGTCCGTTGGGCGTAGGCGTCGTCAGACAGGGTATAACTCGCATCGCCCGTCTCGAGTGTTGCATTTTGTCCCGTAAGATCGGTGGCGTGGACTCGGTAGCCGTTGGAGATTCCATATTCTTGAAGGCTGGCCGCAGGGTTGGTCATGGCGCCAGATGACTTTCCTTGGGCATCGAAAAGCTCCAGCTGAATGTCCGCGGCGGCGGCGCCAACCACTAGTTCGAGTTTGTGCTTCAGCTCGCCGGTAGTCAGAAGTAATGGATACTTCTTCTCCAGGGGATGCTGGTTGACGTTGGTCGTGATGAAGAGATCGACAGTGTCGGGCATGTTCGACCTGAAAATGAGCATAAAATTATGAAATCGGTTTAGCTGAGATCAAGGGAAACAAGACACGACAAAAAATTGGTTTGCATCGATAGATAAAAAGTTATCCGGTTGAAATACACGACTACTGTCAGGGGACTAAAGCCGCTCCGGGACCCGTCGGAAAAAATGACACAGAATAGCATCGGGAAGCTTGCAAAAGAACTTTTCGCCGGGGTTTGAGTCAGCAGGTGGACAGTGGGCAGGTGAAAAAAAGGAATATTCTTGCGGAAACAATTATTTCCTGAAAATATTAAGATACTGGCGGGTTTCTAGCCATGCGAGAAGAACGTCATAGTAAAATGGCATTTCATAAACGTATAATGCCCTAATCAAAGTGGGTAGAGCACTTTGCATTGTACACGTGGCTGCAACCGACAGAAAAAGGGACCGGAGAGAGGGCCAAGAGCCGAGAGAGCCATACATCTACTCTGCGCCCCTCGGGGTCTCTTCAAATTTCCGTGTACATCCCCCACATTTCACCCCATATTAGCGTAGATAAACCGAATGGCTCGCCAAGAATTTTGGCAATAAACATCCGGTGCATTTGCTACCATATTTGATCGAAAATTCCCGCATAAGCACCGCCTCCTTGTCAAAAATACTAGTTTCGAACGGGTATATTTCTTGGGTTATCACGTTTCACAGACAAAATGCTGTAAAATGTTCGTCATGGTCCACTTTTTCAATATATCACCAAAAAAACTGTTAAGTTATCAAACCAGGCGCTTCGCCTCCGATTTCTCGGGCAAAAACCCGGGGCGATCGGATCGCCAACGGGCTACCGCTTGGCTCTTTCCTTGCTGTCTGCGTGACGTCCTTTTCTCGCGATGTCGAACTGTCCGGCCCCGATTTCCCGGTTTTCTCCACTCGCCCCCTTCAGGCGCCCGACGCGAAGATCCATCCTATCCCCCGGGCTATATCCATCTTTCTCCCCCTCCTTTTTGTATTCATGTAGACGCCGTTTTCAGAGCAAATTAATAGCATAATTCGCTTTTTCTAGTTTCTATTGCCTTTTCTGATTCCTGAAAAGCTTCCCTTTTTATGACCCATAAAAATCATTTTTTTTAGCCACGCTTGAATGGGATGCTTTCCCAAACAATACTGACCTTATTCTTGGGCCTCGCCTACCTCAGCCAACAGGTGGAAAGTGTCGGCTTTGCTGAGGAACTGTATTGTGGTCTCGAAAACTGCTATGACGGTAGGGCCTTGAACGCGAAAGTTATATTTGCTGTCAGTGTTGGAAATCGACCGCGGTGAGTTTGACAAGCAGAAATTATCGAAGCTCTACCGCACGGCCGCCAAGAAGCACCACCCGGATCGCGTGAGAACCAGTGATCCAGTAAGTAGGCATCTGACTAGCCCTAAAAGACTATTTTTAGGAGGTGAAAGCAGAGGCCGAGAAGAAGTTCCGACTGATCGCCACAGCCTACGAGACCCTAAAGGACGATGAAGTGCGCGAAGAATATAACTACTACCTGGATCACCCCGAAGAGCGCTTCTACAACTACTACCAGTATTATCGGTTGGTTTTTGTCAGTCAGTTACCTATAAAAACCATGTCGACTTCAGACGACGTGCCGCTCCAAAGGTTGATCTACGTTTGGTGATCCTTGGCACGATCGCGGCCATTTCCGTCTTCCAAGTGAGCTTTCCGACTCCGGCTATCGATTGTCCCATATAGTACTGGTCAGCCAAAAGCAAATACGCCGAAGCGCTCTCCTACGCGCTGACGGTCGGCAAATTCCGGAACCAGGCAATTGCCGAAGGAGTGCAGCGGGGTGAGCTCGAGATGGAAAAGGTTTGATCATTGAGAAATCCCCGATCCTTGCCATTTAGAGTGGAAAATTGAAGAAAGTTAAAGGACGCGACAATGAATTAGTCATCAAGCGGATAATCGAGGAAAACATGGATGTCAGGCAAGAAAGTCGCATCAACACCAAAGTTCCCTTTCAGAGGTGGCTACAAGAGGGAATCTATCTACGACACCCTAATCTGGCAGTGCATCGTTCTGCCGCTGAACACCTACCACTACATCATCTGGTTAGAACCGAGCTCAATGTGGACGGTATTTTAGGTATATCAAGTGGACGATGAAATATACCGTCCGACGTGAGGAATACGATGAAGAGGCCAAGCTATATCTAATCAGAAAGCACATGGGCATGGGCGAAAATCAATTCAATGTAAGTACTTCTAAATTAGCTCAACGCCTCACGTTAGTGCTTATCTGATGCGGAACACTACGAGTTTCTGGACGAGGAATTATGGGTCAAAGCAAACTACGACGAATGGAAAAAGCTCAAGGACCAAGAAGAGCGCGAGAAATTGGCGAAGAGCGGGAAGTAGGCAGTGCTCTCATTCATTGACAACACACGATCTAGGTACAAACGCTACAAGCGGTGGCTAAAGAACAACGAAGGCAGCACGATTTCTTTCCTAGACGAGGAAGACTAAAAGCGGGTACAAATAAGTTTCTGTGGTCTTTCTTTTGTTGTGATATTGGTCGGTGACGACTACTTACGCTGTACGCACGATATCAGATGAAGCATAAATATCCGTTTATTCATAGCACAAAACTCAACAGGTTCATTAATGAAAATTGAACGATAAATGACAAACCAGGTTATGTGAAGGCTGGCCCCGAGGGTAAATGGCCTTCGAAGGCGCCCATCGCCGATGGGGGTAAATTTGACGGAATTGAGGAAAAGAACCAACGTGTATTAAATGGTGGAGATCAGAGCCCTTGACCGCGGGAGGCCTAAAAAGGGACGTTATTCTAGCATTGAAAATGTCGTAGGAAAGGCTTACCGCTCCACGGCCCGGGATACAAAATAGTTCCTACCTGGAGGGACTAACCTTTAACAGGCGTTACCGCGGTAATGGAAGCCAGGGAAGCGTCATTTTATGGGGGACCACAATTTGAAGTTTATTCAAAACGCGGAGCCAAAAAAAAGATGCACAAACCGGCCCGCGACGCTCCACGTTAATGAAAATCACCTACCTGTTCTTGCTGGAATGAGACTAGCGATAACCGGACGGTCCGTTTTCTATCATCTGCAACCGGCGTTCTTCCTAAAATATAAGCGTTCAATGTGCAATCATAAATACTCACAAGTGAAATAGAATGATCATCCGGATGAATGATGCGCGTTTTGGCGCCGAGCTTGGATGGTGCAGGGGCGCTGGATGGTGGGGCAGCAGCTGCGGCGGGAGAATCGTACGGCTAGGGCTTCGTTAGAGGGAAATCCAAATGTTTACTACCTGATCGGCAGGCGGCCTGGCCGGCTCTCGCTGGTAATTCCAATCGCCTCCGGAAGGCGGCATCGGTGGATAAGCCGGGCCACCATAACCCGGCGGCCCCGACGGCATCGGTGGCATGTGACCATGATGATGATGATGCGCTAAAGTAGAAGAATGAATTAGAGAGGATAGAAGTAGAGAATTCGCAGGAAACTCGTATAGTTCGACTGTTCTATAATAAATCTATCAGCGAACTTATCAAGGGATTTGTATTACTTATTATACTTCTAAAAAATACTTCATGAGGTCGCTTGAAAGCCCGAAATATACAAGTCACCGTTTCGCGTGACATCTTTAGTGTATCGCAGCAAAGCTTACCGTATGCCCCGAATGATTCAGGTCCACGCGGAGGATATTGTGGCGGGCCATATGGGTTGCCCCCATATTGTGGCGGCATTGGTGGATAGCCACCGTACGAAGGGTGCTGCGGCGGGTATCCGTATCCGCCCGGGCCTGGTGGTGGAGCAGGGCCAGAGGGTGGCATAGGTGGCATTCCGTATGGATCATAACCGTCTTCTCTTTGCATCTTTGAAGCCGGTTCGTCGTCGTCCATGGCCCCTGGACAAAAAATAAATCTTGGAGCCCTGTACCCACTTCCACGAGTAGCTCCCGGCGGCACTCCTTCCATTCCGTAGATTGGCATATCGGTCGAATCTCTTCCCGGAATCGCGCATGGCACCTTCGTAACAGTTTCTTTATGCACCTGTAATGAAAGTTTTTGTGATAACACCATCTCTCATATGATTTCAAAAGCAAAAAAGCCTCCCTAACCTGCAAGCAGTGAATAGAAAGTCCGGAGCCAGAGAAGAGCTTCTTGTGGCAAATGTGGCATTTGAAGTGTTTGGCTTTCTGGTGTTGGATTAGAATCTTATCGTCATCAAACTCACGGTTGCAATACCTAAAATGGGCTATACGTAATCCATTAGAAAGAAACATACCAGCACCACGGCTTGTCAGCTCTCTTCTTCTTGCGACCCATTTTGGTCTGAATCTCTGGAGCTTCTTGGGAGTCGCTAAACGATGCGATTAATTAAGATAATGCCCGTAATCAAAATTACAGAGTAACGAGGTAAAAATTTAAAAGTCATAAGATTTCGAGGAAAATTTTGCTCAGGAATCGAGGCCTCCAGAAGTTTCAGACATCGATGGATATTCATCGTTTTGTTTCTGGCAGATATCGAGTCTATACAAAGATAGAAAGACTTTTACAAGGTTTTCAATAGTGAATAAAATAGAAAAAGGAAGAGGACACGAATCTTGCCAGATTCGGACCAAATTGATTCAAGAATGTCGTGCTACTCCGCTTACCGCGCGTTCTGAGGCGCGACGCGTACCTTGCATTTTCAAAACGTAAGCCCCGGAACAAAATTTCTTTTTTGAAAACTCGAAAGTCTTATTTTCCTCTTTCGTTTGTTATTTCTCAAAACCTCTTCTTTTTTCAGATGTGGCTCACCGCTCGCGAACTATCTGAAGCTGTATTGTCATTCAACGCTTTCGAAGATGAGACAGCCGTTGCCCAACTTCTAGACCTACTAAAGAAATATCAATGGAAACTCCAGAATGTGACGAAGAATTCGGTATGCAATCCTCGCCCCCGTCTTTATTTTGTTTGCAGGATAAGCCGGTCAGCGCCCTGGGCAAGCTTCAGAACGCCAACGGCTCCATCGAAATTGGGCCGAGCAAGCAAAAAGTGCAGTTGAATGCGAAGATGTGTGAGGAGGCGACGATTATGGGGCGCATTTTTTCCATGGAAGAAAAGGACGCTGTAGAGTTGGTGTTGACAGGTGGGCTGGAACACCGCCTTTCTTAAATACCAGATTAGGCGACTTACAAGTGCAGAACTTTGATGAAATCGGACGAGGCTTGACCGCAGTCGTCTGCTACTACGATGCGCACAAGCTGTTTGCACGGACACTGAAATGGTTTGAGTTTTTTGAATGACTCAATTTGTTTTATTCAGTATTTTGTCCTGGGATCGTGAGCAACTGCCGGTGGAACTGGAGAACTTTATTGCGCAGAACCTGGTCAAAGAAGCGGTTTTCCGTAGCCTTTTGGGTAAATTCGCTGCAGATCTCGCCAATGATACGCTTTAGAGGTCCAATCTCAATTCACGATGAGCCATGAATTCCAACGGCTTGTTGCTGAAGGTGTCAACGGTCTCGGCGGTGACTACCATCAGCAATTGGTTCGTGATTTTTTTTAATCGTCAACTGTTATTTGGAGGTTCGCTGTGCAATCGACGAGACGAGAAACTTGACCTCGGAGTGCGCCGTGTTACTTTGTTTGTGGGCTGGCGACAAGACACCGTTTTTGAACGACATACTTCGGACGTTGAAGGAAGAACTAAATGGCCCGGTCCGGCCGTTCCAGTTTCTTGCCTGGACGTGTTTGGCCCAGATTCTACACGACAAGTCCCTGCTGCAAAGTATGCGTTCAACAGGTTTCGGCAATACACCATTACTTTTAGCGGACAACCCGGCGAAGATTCTCAAGCAGTGCCACAACGAAATCAAGAACCAGGACGCATGGGTCACAAAGCCCATTCTGGGTGCCGTGGCTTTGGCGTTAGCCTCGGCGATAAATAGCATCTCTGTCAGCACGGCGCATCATAGCGGTCTGTTTTTCGGCCTGCCATCAGCAATTAGTATTTTTCAGCCATTAACGACTTGCCCGTGGACATCCAAGAAACGCTTGTCGAGATGAGTGTCAGCCACTCTGGATTTCATTACTTGGAACACTGTGTAACAACTTATGACGCGGCGGCTGTCCCTTATCAGGTACTCATCCGACACAACTTGACTTAACCCTCCATCTTTTCAGATTGAATCTGTCGACTATGCCCTGAAGAGATTCTGCTGCCAGTTCCCAGCGTTATTGACCGAATTGATGCGAAGCTGTATTGATGAATTGCTCGTGATCGACGAATGGCGTGGAGCAAAAGGTTCAGCCTGCCGTTATCATGCTAGCGGAATTTTTTTAGGTTACGCGCCTAAGCTACGACAAGATCATTTTCGAGTGATGCTGTCCATCTTTAGAAAGGTGCCGATTTTTTCCACGATTTTTCATGAGTACTTTTAGATCTACCACACCGACAAACGATTTGCTGCTGAATACTCTGCCACAAACGCTATGATGGATAAATTGAGCGAGGATTTTAGCCCCGAGGGGAACGTAACGGCTTTTTTGGTTTTTTATTTGACTTCTTTCATTTAGCTCCAGCTCTGCAACGCCTTTCTGGCACTTTTCCAAAAAGACGAACATAACGAGCAGACGGTGGAATTCATTCAGGTTCCCTTCCAGTTCGGATTGTAGAATTTTTTCCTAGACGCTGACCAATTTTTGCCGCAATGGTGCAACGGCATCTTTTGTCTTCAACATGTTCTGCAGCCTGCCGCTGAACATCCACTTTGGTACATCCTGGTTTCGACTTGAAATTTTTTTCATGTTTTCAGAAAACTGCAGCATGTGGTCAAAATTCTTCAGCGCGTTGAAGAGCTACGAAAAATTCTTCCGCAACATCCCGGATACGAATTTCAGCGAGCTGCTCAGTGGCCAAGGTACCGATGAGGTTAGTGGTTTTCTGGTACATTGACACGCGATTTCTAGATGACACGGGGGATCAATCCTGAAGAGCTAACTGGTCTCGTCTCATGGTGTCGACTAGTCGAGGCAGTGGCGCGACAGGCAAGGGATTCTGATGGCTAAAATTCTCTCGTAGGACCCGACGGCTGCGCAGGGATTTGCTTCGGAAACGAATTGGGGTGTCGTTGATGTTTCGATTTCTTTGGTTGGATGTAAACTACCGGGTGTACTCAAAGGTAAAATACTTGGAGCTTTGAACAACGATGAATCTTTTTAGGTGCCCTACTGAAGATGCTGGCCGCAATGGCGCGGCTTCCGATAGCTGCGGGTCGTATTTGGAAAGCTTTGGAAAAGACGCCGTTGTGCCACTACGACGAGAAGGGACAACTTGCCGGTCTTGTGGTAAGCCCTCACATCTTTGTAGCTCGTCGAAGGATTGTAGAATCATGGTTTATCTTCTACTTTTAGAATGAACTCGAGGAAAACGAATGCCCACAGAAGGAGTATGATTGCAGCCTCGGGATGCTGCAACTTCTTCGCCAGCTCTCTATCCACCGAGAATTCCCCGAGATTGTAAGTTTAGGAAATCTTTCCCGAAAACTGTGAAAGCATACCGTCTAAACTTTTTTGTAGATTCGGCCGTATCTCGAATACATTATCGCGCAAATTCTGGGTCCGTTGAACACACGGGCGTACTTGGACAATAATCAGATGGTACCATTTTCCACGATCATCAAAAAAATATGCTCTTTAGTGGGACCTCTGCGAAAACGGCTTATCGACGCTGTCGACGATTTTGGACAACAACGTGGTCGACTTCAGAGCATTGGAGAAGCGGGAGCCAGCCGTTGTCATCTTGCTTCAGCTTGCCAACCGTGACACACCGCTGTTCAAAAGCGTAATTCTGGAATCGCTGGCCCACATTGCATCGACCATTTTAGATTGGCTGGACGCTGTGCGAAGATGCTTACAGTTCAGCGGTTCGCTATCGTCCATCGGCCAATTCGTCCTTCCTGGCCCTGAAACTTCTGAAGAGGACTATGAGCTTGCTCGAAGTTTTGCGGTTCGTTTATGATTTTGGATACGACATTTTGTATTTAGGGAAGCAAAAATCGCATCCAGCCTGAGCGCCGTTGTATCTACGATCCCGGCTTTATTCCTGTCGCCCATCTCGCTGAACCAGCCGAGAAGCCTGTTTTCGATATTTTTCAAATACGCGTCACAGGTTAACCGGATTCCGCAACTGATCAACTGGTCCCTAGATGGCCGAGCATGGGGAGCACGCGTTGCTGAGTTTGGGCATTGTCGGCGAGATGTGCGCATTCCGACCGTCACTACAGCGAAATATGGTCGAGACTTTGTTGAGGGAGCCGACATTCGCGGCGCGTTTGCCCTACATTGGCTTCGTGATTTTTGACCCATTCGAGCTGCAATATACCATTGACGACGTCTACATGGACAGTGAGTTTTTTTTGGGCTTACCGACGCATGATTTTAGACAAGTCATCGATTCCCGAGTCGTGTGCCCACGTACGAGGCGAGCTGGCACGCCTTTTTGTGGAGGTAAATTGCTTCTGCTGACTTATTAAATGTCGAAAACTTGACATCTAACTTGATGCAATTTCCCAGAGAATATCTTTTGGGGAAATAGACTTCTATGTTACGAAATGCCGACATTATGAAATTTCAACGTTGTGAAAATGTTTGGAGCAAATAATGACACCTTTTCTTCAGATGCTAGCCGATTCCGTGGAGACTGATCCACGTGGCCCCAATCTCGGATACCTCTTCTGCGGCATCGATATGATGAATCCTAGTGACACCTCGTTCACTGAAGGTTTATTGATTTGCAAAGCGGTAATAACCGGTTTTAGTAAATCAAAGAACGGTCTTGCATCGCCTCCTGCCAACGATCGAAATGTTTTCGAAAGCCGAGAAGCCCTTTGCTCTCCAACACTCTGCCATCATCCAACCGGCATTTCGATTCTTGGTGCGTTTTTTTCGCGATAGGGTATTTTTTACCCTAGAACTTCGCTAGGGAAGAGCAAATAGGCCCAGAGTCAAACGGGCTGAAAATTGGCCTACAGCTAGAGTGGACCAGGCTGATCATCTCGTTCTAGCTCATGCGCAAATTTTTGCGTTGATCTGGGCCGATTTGGCCTTCCGTAATTTGCCTTTAATTTCATTTTTAGCGCGGACTGGTCTCGGTGGAGTGCCCGGTATCTCCAGCAATCCTTCGATTTCTACGTACGCACGATGCCATCCACATGTTGGCCACGTCTCCGTTCATGGGCTTCCATGCGGCATCCATGAAGGACGACTCGTCATCGACAAAATCGGCTCTGTCGGACATGGTTGCCGGCGACATTCTCCATCTGATCGCTTTGGAAATATCATCGCTCTTGCTGCAAAGTGGGTACACCTTCGCACTGCTAAGGATTTATCAAGGTTATGCCGAAAATCTTTAAAGTAGAAATAGATTTCACCGTATTCCTTAGTGAAATATCAACGTCCGAAATTGAATACTCGTACTTTTTATTCCATCAAAAAATTTGGTCGATTCATGGAGCTTATTATTACACCGAAATTTTTTAGTAGAGAATCGAATTTCTACATGGTGACATTTCTTAGTCGGTGTAACGAATTTCAGCGTAATGGATTTTCGCGCATTCGAAATTCGGTCTAATATTAAAATCCCGGAATTTTAGACCAATTTGTGGATCCACAACGGCTGCTCCGAGCCCTGCTCGAATCTGTGCAGGGCGGCGCTGACCCGGACATGAACACGATAGCTTTCACCAACATTCCGGAGGAGCGGTTTGTTCCCACGCGCTAGATGAATCCCTCGTTTTAGGAACGTTCTGTTCGCCTTGCTTTCCTCGGCAAGCGGCACCCTTCCCATGGAAGCTATTTCCCCTGCTACATGCGTGTATTTTGACGCTCACAAAGTTCAGGCGGTAAATTAAAATTTGGCTTCTAAATCATGGCGCTTCAGTTGGTGCAAGATTCTCTCTGCGGCTCGGTGTGGGGGATTCCAGTTTACGACGTCGACACCCTACACCAATTGCTGGATCGTGAGATTCGTGCGCTGGAATATGACGACAAGACGGCCCCTTCACTGGTGCCTTTTCCATACCCGACTTTTTCATTACTTCTGCAGGAAATGGAGAAAATCTTGGACTGGGTCGCAGTGGCCAACCAAAGTGAGCTCATCTCCCAGGCACACGCGACGCTGCTCTCCGGATGCTCGGCACTGATCAACGTGATTTGCTTGTTTACCCCGCTGCCATTTTTCTCTCATGGTCGGTTGTCTGGAAATTCGGAATAATTTTTGATTTAGAAGCTCAAATTGCTGTCCTCAGCGACGCCTGCTACGAGCTCATCACGGTTGCCTCAACACATGACGGCGACCTCGGCGACGAAATCTGCACCTCGATTCTGCGGGTCTGCAAGGCGCTCTGCAAGCTCATCACCGTCGGTCCGTATGACCTCAAAGAAAGACGGATTCTCATCGAGCGCCTGATTGCCCCAGTCTTTGAGCTTCTCGTCCAGCCGGGCAACCGAACATTGCGTTCAAAGGTGTGTTCGGTTTTCGGATTAAATTTTCCATGTAGACGTCGCTGTATCTTGCAACGTGCAGCCTCACTTCATCTTGCTATTCAGCCCCGACGAAGGGCGTCGAGAGCGCTGACTTCCGGAAGGTAATAACTTTTTGAGTCGTTCCTGATCCCTCGATTTTAGCCCGCATCCCTTGATGACACGACTTGGCTCTTCAAGCCGATTGAAACTGATGAAGACCCAATCAGGTACCGGAGCTTGGCTTTGTTGATCTCTGTTTTTAGGGCCCGCATCGACAGCTTGACGCAGGAGCTCTCAAGGTTTATCATCGACGACATTGCCGACTTGCCGAACAGTAGCAAGGTGTGCAAGTTGTCTTGCTGGAAATACTGGGCTTTAGTGTGCTCCGCTGTCCTTGCTCGCCGATCTGATTTGGGAGGATGGGCTTGGAACAAGAAAAACATGCGTCTTGGTCGCACGATCGGGTGTCGTTCGGTATGGAGCACTTATTTTCCGGAAATCAGTTTGTTTTAAGTTTCCTGTTGGATCTGCTGCAACAACTTGACATCAACTACGAGCAGCTCGCACAGGCCGATCCGAGCGCTTTGGAAACCCTGAAGCTTTTCAAGACGATCAATGTAAAGATACGGATGTGATTTTTGGATGCAGAACGTTTTAGGTCCTACTCACTCGGCTTTCATTTGTTGATGCCGGTTGGGTGGCGCTCACGGAAATTGGTACAATACAGGTATAGATCGGACACTTTCTTCAACGTGTCCTAGATTCTTTCCAAGCTGAAGTGCATATCCGATCCGCCCAAAGATCTCTACCTGAACCCCGCCTCGATCAACACGTTTGTGAAAGTGCGCAATTGACCCTGGTTTTTAGGGATCGCTCCATCGCATGGTATTACGGGAAAGTGCTGACTTCCTCGATGTGCCTTGTGTCGGCCCTTTTCTCAAATGCGTATTGGAGGAAGCTGTCGAAGGCGGTGCGTTTTTCTCTAATAAACCTAGGCTAGGGCTTTTTGGCCTTTTATGAAATTTTGACAAAAAAAACGGGGAGATAATAGATCCAATACGGTATGTCTTGTTTTCAGACGATCGACTTTATCCTGGCCCATGCGTTCATGTTCTCTCAGCTGTGTCGCGCCGAGGTGTCCACTCCCTCGCTCGATCAGGCTAGCAGCCTATTGCACTTCATCTATGAGCGAGGTATGCTATCTTCTAGGTCCTTATCGAGACGTACTTTAGACGATGTCCTTCACCGTGAAGCCATTGATGCATCGCCGTCCCTGAAGATGATCCGGAATCGCGCCGACAAGCTTTGAAGCCTAACCACCCAGCCCCTATCGCCCTCCTAGCCATAGCTTTATATTTGTTGATTTTTACGATTTCTCAACTATACACCGGTCCCATTCTTCCCGAGTTACGAACATTGTTATATGAGGATCTTCCGATAATGACCTCTTCCACAGATTTGTGATCTCATCTTGACTATGATAAATAGCGAAAATAGTACCGATTCATTGAAACACAACACCAACACGACGCTAGCCCGCCAGAACTTGACGCGTTTCAGCGCTGTCAAGCAAACGAGGATCGTATGTTAAGCGCGAAATTAGCATCCCTGCTGAGCGGAAACGGATGTCGGATTACATCCGATACGTGCTATAAAAGAAATTCGGCCCGTGTTTATAGTATTTTACTCCACCCATACCGACGGTTCGGTCAATTCAACAAGTAAGTCACTTTGGCAACCCATCACTGAAACTCGGCTTCAGATGTTGAGCTACGTCCTCTACTGGTGCGCCCTCATCTCCATCGGCTTGCTGACTATCTTCCAATGCAAGGGCTCCAAGAAAAAGGCCACCGACCCGAAGGCTGCAGCCGGAGCCAAGAAGCCTGGACAGTCTGTGATGCAGAAGCCTGCTGGTGAAGCGGGAGAAGCGAAGACCAAGAAGGAGGAGGTGAAGAAGGAAGGCGAAGAGAAGAAGGACGAGAAGAAGGAAGGCGAGGAAAAGAAGGAAGAAAAGAAGGAGGACGAGAAAAAGGATGATAAGAAAGACGAGAAGAAAGACGAGAAGAAAGAGGAAGAGAAAAAGGACGACAAGAAGGATGAGGAAAAGAAGGATGGTGAGAAGAAAGACGACGAGAAGAAGGAAGATGAGAAGAAAGACGATGAGAGTAGGGTTTTGAATATCTTCAGAAACTGACGTTTTTTCAGAGAAGGAGGGCAGCAAGAAGGAGGGCGGCTCGAAGAAGGAAGGCGGATCCAAGAAGGACGAAAAGAAGGAAGGATCGGTGGGCAATCCAGATTCACCTTCGATTTTATTGTTTTCAGAAAAAGGAGGGCAGTAAGAAGGAAGGGTCGAAAAAGAAGGAAGGAAGCAAGAAGGAGGGCTCGAAGAAGGAAGGCAGCAAGAAGGAAGGATCGAAGAAGGAGAAGGAGGGCAGCAAGAAGGACAAGAAGGAAGGCGACGACAAGAAGGAGGGCTCGAAGAAAGAGGGATCGAAAAAGGAAAAGTCTAAGGTATGAAGATTAAAGCGATAACATCAAATATGTTTTTAGTTGGACGAAAAGAAGGACGAGGAGAAGAAGGATGGTGATAAGAAGGAAGAAGAGAAAAAAGACGAGAAGAAGGACGACAAGAAGGAGGAGAAGAAAGACGACAAGAAGGAGGAGAAAAAGGAAGAGAAGAAGGATGAGAAGAAAGATGAGAAGAAGGACGAGAAGAAAGAGGATAAGAAAGACGGCGAGAAGAAGGAGGGCGATGATAAGAAGGACGGCGAGAAGAAGGAGGACGAGAAAAAGGATGAGGAGAAGAAAGATGAGAAGAAGGAAGAGCCCAAGAAGGAGGAGGCCAAGAAGGAGGACGGAAGTGGGCATTTCAAGATCCTTCTCTATTTTTCTTTTTAGAGCCAGCGACGGAGCCCGAGACCATGAAATGGACGGATGCTGCCGGCGAGCAGGTCCTCGTGATCAAGAATCCCGGGAAGCGCCGCGCCTTCAAGGTCAAATGCTCGGATAACAAGATCTACCGGTCGGTTATCACAGAATCCACTCAAAAATACGAATTTTCAGCATCAACCCCGTGTTCTCCATCGCCAAGGCCGATGAGGACACCAAGATCAGCATCAGCAGGATCGCCGCGCCCGTCAAGGAGGACCGCCTCGAGGTGAATAACGACTTCCACAATTAAAATCTCTTCTGTCAGATCGTCCACTACGAAGCGCCCGACGAGAAGGTCACCAAGGCCGAAGACATCTTCAAGGACAAGACCCTCAAGACCGAGACGATCATCGTCCCCACCGGCACTGGAATGTAGATAGACAATCGATGGAATCTTACTAACACCTTTTCAGCAAGCCAGCGCCCCCGGGGGCCAACGATCCTGCTGCTCAGACTGCTGCTCCGGGCGCGCCCAGCCCTGCACCTGCAGCTCCGGCCGCCAGTCCCGCCGCTGCCGCAAGTCCGGATGCTGCTCAAGGCTACACTCTGGAGCCGAAGAACATAGAGTTCCCGAAGCCGGCCGGCAAGCTGCAGATCAAGCTTACGAATACGACCGCCAAGCGAGCCGCCGTCAAAGTCAAGGTTTCCAACAACCAGATCTACAAGTAAGCATTTTCCAGCTACTTTCTAACAAATTCCAGGGTCAACCCCGTTTTCGGCTTCGTGGCCCCCGGCGCTGCTCACAGCATCGAGATCGAGCGTACCGGAACTGCAGCTGGAACCGGCGAGAAGATTGTCATCGTCTTCGCCAACGTAAGAAAACCAAACGTAATCCGATAAAGCCACTTCGACTTCAGTGCGACGATGCGGACAAGGATGCGGCCGCCGTCTTCAAGAAGGTGGCGCCAGCCGAGCAAAAGCAGTCCTCCCTGCCGGTCACTTTTGCTGCGTGAGTTTTCAGCTTCTACCATATCGCGCATCACTAGTCTGACACGAATTTAGCAAATAACGCCATCGACACGCCAACCGTCCGCTCGTTACATCCACTCGTCGCCACAAACGCCCTGCCATTGTATCATACGAAAGTATTACAGGGATTAATAAAGTTCTCCCACCATGTGCATTTGTTGACATTTTCGAACGGTTTTGTGTGTGGATATTCAGCCGTGTGAATGCCTGCTCGTCCTTGCCAGACGCCGTTCCCGCGGGAAAAAAGATTGCGTGTTTTCTAAAGTGCGCCACCCCTCACAGTAACTAACCAGCTACCTAACCTTGCAGCCAGCGTTCATCACTTTACTTTCAAGACCTTCTGCGCAATTTTCTGTTGTATAAGTATGTCATCACCGCATTACTTCCTCCCTTTTGTTCTCCCGGGTCAGGTTATGCTGCAGGCGCCCGCTATCGCCTCTACGCATTGTTTTTGTTGTGGAGAGGCTGCAATTTCTAGTCCTTTCCTCACTGCAGTTCCCGCCCGAAATCGCCCTCAAAGGGGCTATTGATTTTCGGATCTGACAGAACCGTTCCCGCGGCCCTCTAGACGAAAATGGGCCCACCGGTGTCATCATTTTGCTATTTATACGACTAGAAACATCTCATTTGCCACGTTTTCCATCTTGCTCTTACCCGCTTGGTGCCCCGATTTACACAGTCATTTCAGTTACCCGTTGCAAAATGTCCGAGCTGCTGAAAGGTGTCGAACTTCTCACGCACGATGGCAAGACGGTCAAAGCCGAAGAACATCTAAAGGGAAAGGTTGGTATTCCCTGATTCCTCAAAATGTTTTTATTTTAGCTAGTCGGCCTGTATTTCTCTGCCGGATGGTGTGGACCGTGCCGACAATTCACGCCGAAGCTGAAGAAGTTCTACGAGCACATCACCGGAGAGGCAAAGAAGGACTTCGAGGTATTGTCTCTGTCCAATTTTTCCACAATGCTGCAGATCGTATTCATCTCGCGGGATCGCGAAGAGGATGATATGCTCGAATACTTCAAGGAGAAGCACGGAGCCTGGACCGCGCTCGCTCTTGACGACCCACTAAGCGTGTAAGTTTTTTTTTGATGCCTGTTAAACTTGTCTAAATGATTTTAGCGAGCTTCAAGAGAAGTACGAAGTGAAAACGATCCCGGCTTTCCGTGTCGTCAAAGCTGATGGGACGGTACTGGTCAACGATGCTCGCACAGACGTTCAGGTAATTTTGCGCTTTTTTTCGTGGAATTTCGTTTAGGAGAAAGGCCAAGAAGACCCCGATGCGCTCTACGAAGAATGGGGAGCTTTTGACATGTGAGCGAAACAGCCGTTCTTCGACCTAACCTATTTTTCTTGTTCACTTTCCAACCTTGTGATTCTTACGTGTACTTTTTATTCACTTAAATTTACGACTGCCGAAATAAAGGTCTCTCTGCAACCAACCACGGGTCCCAATGAATTCCTCGCACTTTATCGATATCTCCAAATCGGACGCCGAGCAAACAATGGTTGAATGCGGCGTTCTCTCTTGCTTTGCCCTCGACAGGGTTGATACGGGGGCAAAGTACGCGCTGTGCAATAGGCGACTCTGTTCCACACAACAAACTTCACTTGGTGCACATGCATAAACATGACTAGACACTTCTTGACCGCATTTTTTGACCAGTAGACATCTCGGCAGCTTCCCTTCTAAATTTAATTGATCAAAAAGTTATTTTTGTTTAGGTGACGATGTCGGAAGTGATACAGAATTTCTTGGCTGGTGGTGTGGGAGGCTTGTTTTTCGTTAGGTCCACTTATTCTATTATTAGGAGCATGTACCGTCATCGTCGGCCACCCATTCGACACCGTCAAAGTGGGATTTTGCAGTGATTTCCTCAGTTCTGATCCTAGGTTCGACTTCAAACGATGCCAAGGCCTCCTCCCGGCCAACCGCCATTGTTCACGGGAGCCCTGGATTGTGCCAAGCAAACTGTCGCTCGGGTAGCTTCCCTAAAGAGTGATAAAATAATTTGTTTTCTCAGGAAGGCTTCAAAGCGCTGTACAAAGGAATGTCAGCACCGCTAGCCGGAGTTTCGCCCCTGTTCGCCGTCTTTTTCGGAGGATGTGCCGTCGGCAAATACATACAACAGAAGAATCCGGGTATGTTTTGACGACCGCTTCATCCCTGTTATTTAGAGGATGAGATGACCTTCGTGCAGAATATGAATAGCGGTGCCCTGGCCGGCGTGTTTACCACGGTCATCATGGCGCCAGGAGAGCGCATCAAATGTCTCCTCCAGGTAATTTTGTCGTTTCTTGCTTTTTATCGAATTTGTCAAGGTCCAATCGGCCGGTCACGGGCCATCTGGCGTCCATTATGATGGACCCCTGGACGTCGTGAAGAAGCTCTACAAACAGGGTGGCATTGCCTCCATCTACAAAGGGACCTGCGCGACACTCTTGCGCGGTATAATACTATTTCAGCTATCAGCAATTTTGCTCCTAGATATCCCGGCGTCGGCTGCCTATCTGTCCGTCTACGAATTTTTGAAGAAGTCGTTCAGCGGCGACACTGACAAGAAGCTCTCCCCGGGTGCGGTGCTCCTAGCCGGTGGATTGGCCGGAATCGCCAATTGGTCGGTTTCCGTTTTTTTGTTGACGACCAGAATTACGAACACGCCGCAACAAAATTTTGCAGAGCGTTGCATTGCTTTAGCTCCGGATGCACATTGCTTGAAAATCCATGCTTTTCTTTAGGTCTGTCTGCATTCCGGCCGACGTCCTGAAGTCGAGATTACAAACGGCTCCTGAGGGCAAATACCCGGATGGTATTCGTGGTGTCTTCAAGGAAGTGATGAGAGAAGAAGGGCCAAAGGGTCTCTTCAAGGTGCGTTTTCAGTTCTTTTCAAAAACTCGGCTCTAGGGTTTTACGCCCGTGATGCTACGTGCGTTCCCAGCAAATGCGGCCTGCTTCTTCGGGCTTGAGCTAACCCTCTACGTTTTCCAAATGTTCAAGTAAACCTAGCCGTGCTGTTAGGTATTTATTCGAGAACGGCGTTGTGGTGCATTCAAAGAAAAAGGGATGCAACCGTTTTTAGGCAGCTCTTTTTTTGTTCTCTCAACATTTTTTATAGCACCCAATTCCTAGTTTACCACCTTTCACGTGTACATGCTGCTTATATTGTGATTTGTCTTGGCGATATGTGATTGTATCATTCGTCTGCCTTACATAGAGGATAAATAAAGTTTTATGACTTTTTTGTACATATATTCGAAGCTCGAACAGTCACTAACCACAATTATTATCGCCTGAGATGCGTGGAATCGGGGGATTTAGCCCAGGAGACCTCCGGCTAGGCCGGTCGCGAATCCAGTGGGCACGCCAAGACCGACATTGGCTGCAGTTCCGACGCCACGACCTGAATAAAGTGGTTTCGGGCTTGTCTTTGTTGCTTACCGGCCCAATAACCTCCCGTCTGAGCACCGCGGCCCGGATACCAACCACCGCCTTGCTGACCGTAGCCCTGTTGACCGTAACCCTGCTGTCCGTAATATCCACCGCCCTGCTGACCGTAGTAACCTCCCCTCAAGCCTGCATTCGCATTTACGCCTCCTGGACCAGCTCCAAGGCCCACGTTCGAACCCACTAAATTTTCTTATTTTACTATTGATTTTTGTCTCAGAGCCCCAGGGGTTTGCTGGTCCAAACCGGCTTCCAGTGTTTGCGCAGGCCCCCCTGGTCCAAAACCACCTCCAGGCGACGCGCGTCAGATGTTATTGACAATTTGTCCAAACTTTTTCGACCACCTACTTTTTTCTAACTTTTTCAAAAATGCCTTTTGTAAACCTTTTGAGAGAAGCTGTTAAAAACTTATGAAGCTGGGCAGTGAGTACGCTGACAAGGCAGAAAGCGGCGACCAATCGGAGCATTGTAGAATGAGTTTGTAGTGGCTTGTTCAAATGATAGTTTTGCTCTCTTATATACCGATCTCGTGCCGACGGTCAATGGGTCATGTCTGTGACGTTGCGATTCGTTCCCCGAACCGCCACACAAACACCCGTTTGTCTCTCATCTCAGCGATTATTTTGGGTTTTCCTCCGTACAGCGAATACCCAGTTTCGTTCCTCGACACTTTTCTCTTCATCGTGCTCGCGGGATTGGCGCCGTCTAGGTGTGACGTGGGCATAGAACTTGATGTTCTTTGATCTGGTTAGCTTCAGGGATCGGATATTTGTTCACCAAATAGGGATGAACAACAGTCAATCGATATTATAGTGAGCATGATCAACCATCCTGATCTTTTATATCGGGATAGGGATTTTGTGCAACGAGTTTTGCGCAACGCAGCGAAGAGACAATGACGAGCGCGGTCGCCTTCCATGAATTGTCCACGGGATGAACTTTTTACGAATTACACAAAATGCACGTCTCCTTACTCTTTTAGTTTGAACATCCTATTCCGAAACTGTAACGGGAAGGTTGAAGCTCGGGGAGTCACACTGTAATGGGACATTTGGAGATTTGGGTGCGGGCGAGCCCCCGACGTTGTTTGTATGGGCGCGTTGAGGCTCGGTTATATTATTGCGGCAGATTTTCTAAACCTTACATCACTGATAATTCCGCTCTTCTTCCTATAAATTATAGCAAAGCTGAAATACTGGCAATTTTTGGCTTTTTAGGATGGCCGCCACGCCGGACCTGACCCTCCTTGGGCTCTCGGAGCAAAAGGTGAAAGGTAGGAGCTTTTTCCTTGATTTTCATGCAATTTAGATACCTTGAAAAATGCCGCGTTGACGAAGCTTCTCGTCGACGTCATTTCGGCAACAAAAACGCATCTGAAAGCGACGAATGTGCCCGAAGCATCGTTTAGCAAGCAACAGGTATTTCAGATTTTTGAGTTGCTGATCAGTTTATAGGGAACGTTGCTGTACCACGTTGGCACTCGGATCAAGAATCAGTGCCTGCAGCACATTCCGTTGATCGTCGAGTACATCGCCAATGGTGGTTGGAAGAGTGAGCAGCAGGTAATATATAGGTTCCCGGCCAAAACTTTATTTAGGTCGTCGCTGGATTGGAATATCTACTCGCCAATACAGTGTCCGGAATCGACCGAAAAGCGTTGGAAGCTGCTTCCGGAGTGGGCGTCGTCGTGACCGTCGACGAGATCGAGGACGCGGTTGGAAAATCTACATTTTTGTTAACGTGTTTCAGATCACCGAGCTCATCAACAAATACAAGGCGCAAATTGTCTCCGAGCGTTACGGATTTGCGGTCGGGAAGCTGCTGGGTATTATACAAGACTTTTTGGCAGTTCTTCTTGCAGGCGAGATCCGCAGCTCGTTACCATGGGCCGATGGAGCATACGTGAAGAAGGAGTGCGATTTGCGGCTATTGGAAGTGCTCGGCCCGAAAACGGAGGAGGATTTGGCCCCGAAGAAAAAGACAAAGAAGGTTCGCAGTTGGTGTTAAAATTATATAACCTATTTTTTTATCAGGAAGAAAAACCGAAGGAAGCCAAACCGACCGCAGCAAAGAGTGGCCAACCCAAAGAAGCCAAGGAAGATGAACGTAACGCATGATTTTCTGGATTATATTTGTTTTTAGTGGCGACTGATGGAGCGTCGACCATCGAGGAACTGATGCGAACAAGGGCCAATTTCCACAAGGTCTGGAGCTACTTTTGTTATCTTTTATTTGGTTTTTCAGCCAGGAGAGAACTTCACCCAGGACGGCTACGTGGTGACGCCCAAGACGAAGGACATTTTGAAACAGCATCTAAAGGAGACTGGCGGAAAGGTATTTATTGCTCTGTTTAACCTCTTTTATGCTTACACATTTAGGTTGTCACCCGATTCCCTCCTGAGCCGAACGGCATCCTGCACATTGGCCATGCCAAGGCGATCAACATTAACTTCGGTTATGCAAAGGTAGTCTTAGTCCTTCAGAGCCCCTATCTTGGTATTGATAGGCTCACAATGGGATTTGCAATCTACGCTTCGACGACACAAACCCGGAAAAAGAGGAAGAGAAGTTCTTTGTCGCCATCGAAGATATCGTCGGATGGCTAGGTACGCTTTAGTAGCTTATTCTAACTTGATTCTAGGCTACAAACCTGCACGCGTCACCCACTCCTCGGATAACTTTGATCAGCTATACGAGGTAGAGCTATTATTGTTTCTAATACTGATTGTACTCTTCAGTGGGCCATCGTTTTGATCAAGAAGGGTCTGGCATACGTCTGTCATCAGCAGGTCGAAGAGATGCGCGGACATGACGTCAAGTTTTCGCCGTGGAGAGATCGCCCCGTTGAGGAGAGTCTGCAGCTTTTTGAGGTTCGTTTATTTGGTCGTTTGGGCTTTACCTTGCTTTTTGTAGGACATGAAGAACGGGAAACTTGACGAGGGCGAGGCGACGCTGAGACTGAAGACCGTCCTTGAGGAGGGGAAGGTCGACCCGGTCGCGTATAGGATCAAATACTGCGAGCACCACCGCACGAAGGGGAAATGGTTGGTAAATTCTGGGCTTCGACTTGGACTGGTCATTTTTGGGCTTCAAATTCGTTTTTTATTTTTATTTTTTTAGGTGCATCTATCCCACGTACGACTACACGCATTGCCTCTGCGACTCCATCGAAAACATCACCCATTCGCTGTGCACCAAGGAGTTCCAGAGCCGGTAAACCTGCTTTTATTGGGTGCATTTTCAATTCTAGACGCTCCTCTTACTACTGGCTGTGCAACGCGTTGGATATCTACTGCCCGGTTCAGTGGGAATATGGCCGATTGAACGTCAACTACACGGTTGTGTCGAAGCGCAAAATCCTGAAGCTGATCGAGACGAAGACTGTCAAGTATGAGCCATCACGTTGCGCAATTCATCAATTTTCAGCGACTGGGACGATCCGCGGCTTTTCACGTTGACGGCCTTGCGACGTCGTGGAATCCCGGCCGAGGCTATCAACGCGTTCGTCGCAAAACTCGGTACGAATTTAGCGATACTTTAAAATAATTTATTGACCTAAAAGCAAGCTTTTTCTTTTAGGTCTGACGATGTCACAAATGGTCATCGATCCCCATTTCTTGGACGCCACCGTCCGCGACTACCTGAACATCCATGCACCAAGGTAACGAGTTTTTCTCGAAGGGGACAATTTCCATATTTCTAGGACAATGGCCGTGATGGAGGGGCTTCGAGTGACGATCCGCAACTTTGAAGACCTGAAGCTCGGCTCCAGCCTGCAGATCCCCGATTTCCCCGCCGACCCACAATGCAGCAAGACTCATCAGGTTTGCCGATCGGCGATTATTTATTTCTTTTTTTAGGTGGCCGTCGACAAAGTGGTGTACATCGAGGAGTCGGACTACCGCTCGGTGGGTTTTAGTTTTATGGAGAGTTTTGGGCGGCTATTCTAGCATGAAGCGCTTGAATTTTAATTACGTTTTTGCCGGCCCCTATCCAGAAAAAGGGTCGAAAGTTGCCACACCGAGTTTGCCCTGGTCTCTTTGGTTTATCGTGACAGGCAAAGGGCAACCATGTTATGCGCTGTGTCTGTGTTTGTGCGCGCCCATGCAGTCTCCCTATAGAGTTTTGTGCGGGAACGGGGCTCTTGGTGGTCTTCTAGGTGCTGCCAAGGCGCCGCAAAGTGACCGTTCGTGCCTGGCACCCGGTCGCCTTCGCGCGCACAGTCTCGCGCACTAGTCGACGAGCAGAGAAAAAGGCGCACAAGACGCGCGGGGGGTGAGTATGACGGATCGGCTGGTCGTATGGCCACCTGCCAGCTCTGCCCTTTTTCCCGGAGCATCGAACACACGTGCTGGGCGGGAAACTTGCGCGCCCAGCCCCCCCCCCCGCTCTTCTACAGATGTTCATTGAGTGGCTATATACATTGATGGATGGGTGTAAAGCATTAAACATATGGTTGGGATGGCACAGGGCCCGGGCGAGCAAATGATGACGGCGCCGTTAATGTTGTGATGAATAAGCTAAGATCTCAAAAGGGGAATGGAAGCTGGGATGAAGCTTTGGGTATATTAGAAGATCGTGCCGAAATCTGAAAATTTTTGTTGCCTGGATTCAGCCCATGGCCAGAAGCGACATTTAACGGACCTCCCTGCCCATTTAGCAATATAAAACCATCCAGCGCGATTTTTCCTATTTTATTCCCCGCGATTTTCCGCCAACCCCCGGGCAATTTCCGGCCCACCGCTGAGGCGTTCGTGTGCTTCACGAGTTTAATGTGCTTTTTTTGTCGGGCGCTGCTGGCTCCGGGCCGACCACCCGGCGAGCCGACGGAGAAAGGGCCGCGAGTGCGCGTTCGCCACTGCAGATTTATGTCTCTCGGCCGAGCGCCAGCACCGTTCCTAGGCACTCACAAGCCATTTGGGCCGAGAGGAGGCCGAAGGAGAGAGGCAAGGAGGAGCGGCGGGCCCTGAGGACTGAATGGGGCTCCCGAATGGGAATCTTCATGGGTACGGCGGACGTGGGGTGGGGGTGGCTATGGTCAGACCATGGCGTTGTCCTAGCAGGTCTCTGGGGAGGCTGGGTGCTGTCTGGTGTGGGTCCTTGGCTAGATACAGGTTCCCACGCAGAGTTCTAGGCCTACAACGCAAAATTATTCATGGAATGGGCTTTGAAAGCGTAACGTTCAAATGTGGACCTTGATTCTGTTAGACAATTGTAAATGGATGGCTGTAGCCGTAATAGAGAACTTGTATGCCCTATCAAGCAAAAGATCCTTAGAGGTACAGGTTTTTAAACGTAAACGTAGCGCGCTTTCTTTGCTGTAGATACGTAGATTGCGCCCCTGTGACCTAACTTAGATGGCTTCAGTAGAATTTAATATATCATGCGCAGGGGAAGCTTTAATTTTAGCGATGTTGTGCAAAAGAGTAGCAACAACAGTAGATGTTTGGCCCCTTTGGAAACTGTAAATTATTACTTTTTTCTCAGCCCCCAACTTCCGTTTCTTCTCCGGCTTCTCCACCAATTCGTCGGCAAATCCACACGTGATGGTGCCTTGAGGGGCGGGCAGGCTAATGGCCTGGAGTGGATTCTCGGGGCCTGCACCCATAAATCCCTTTTTTTCGAGGGGCCCTCCCCTGCAGCGCCTCAGGCGGCCGCCGAAAATGCGCACGAATAGGTTTGGGCGAGAGTGCCTGATGGATGGGCTTGGCGGGGGCTGTGTGGTCGGTTGGGATTAGTTTGGATCGTCGTCCAGTGCCGGGGCTACAGCCTTAAAATTGGGGCCCCGGAAATGGGAATGACCGGCGGAATAGGAAAAGGCGGTGAAAAGCTACTTGAATAGTTCGAAAAAGGCAAAGAAACTAAAATTTAATAAAGCTTTCTTCTTTCAGGACAGCAAAGACAAGTCGTTCTACCGTCTCACCCGCGATCGTCCCGTCGGCTTGAAGCATCTGGGTGTTGTGCTGTTTGTTGAAGAAGAGAAGAAGGTATTTTGAACGTATTTCCTTATCCATAGTGTCTAGACGGGCGACCGCGTGACCGAACTGGTCGTGCGCGCCGAAAAGCTGAGCGAGTCGAACAAGCCCAAGGCGTTCATCCACTGGGTCTGCAAGCCAGTGTCCGTCGAGTGCCGACTCTATGAGAGACTGTACGTTTTGAATTGGGAATTAATCTAGTTTTTTTCAGCTTCCGCCACAAAAACCCGGAGGATCCAGCTGAAGTACCTGGCGGCTTCCTCTCGGACTGCAATACGGTCCGGATTTTACGATAAGAAATGGCACGAATAGATTACAAATTGAGAGAATCATTTAGCTAAAATCAACTTGGAAACTTTGAGAACATCTACAACCTTTTTGCCGACCCCTGATTCCAATTTTCCGCGCACCGTCGCCCTCCCTATCTCGGTTCATTAGCGGCAATGGAGATCGCGTGCCGGGGCTCATTCGAAAAGCGTCGTACCACCACAAAAAGTGACCACCTCGCCACTGCGCATTCCCAGATTTTTTTTGCTTCATCCTTTTTGTGCCTGGCTTCTCATGATGCTGGGGTGGCTAAAAAGAACGTTCTATTCATTTGTAGTCCGGGACCACCCGCGGTGTCAGCCACCTATTCTAGAGATCTGCGTTTTTTGCAGGGTGCATGCTGAAATTTGCGCTCTATTATGCGCGGTGGCGCCCAGGCGGGGTTCATGGCGTTGATTGGCAAATGAGGGGAGAAGATTTGAAAGCGGGCGATGTCTGGCGTTCAAAGCACAGACCATCGTAGCAGAAGAGCACATTTTGTTATAACGAACGAGATTTGGTGCTGGAAAAATGATTATTTTAGAATTCGATCACCGTGCTGCACAACGTGCTGGTCGACAACTACATCGCCAAGTCCAAGGTCTACGATCGGTTCCAGTTCGAGCGCATCGGCTACTTCTCCGTCGATCCTGATGCCACCCCGGCAAAGGTATTGTTTTTGACAATTTATTGCGATTGGTTTGGAAATTCGACAATTTAATTTCAATATTTTTTTCAGCTCGTCTTCAACCGCACCGTGCTGCTGAAGGAGGACGCGGGCAAGCAGTGACCAAGCCGGAAAAGCTAAAATGAATTACCCCGGTCCCCATTTCTGTTACATCATTATTGATTTTGTGATAAGCTTTTGCGCGAGAAGCGCCTCTCATTCCGCCCGCTTGGCGTCTTGTTTTCCTAGGCATAAATTTTATATGGGTTATTCGGTCGTTTGCAAACTTCTATTTTGACGACATTAGGAAGCTTGTCGGCTTCACTGGTTGATTCTAATTGCTGAAATTCACACTTTCTTTATATTTTTTCGGAGCACCACACCAAGCAACACATTGCACATCGACACTTCCGGGACAGCCGGGTAACGAGTTTGGCGGCTTTTTTGCGCAACTCTAAACCCGGAATTTTTAGCGCTGTTTCTAGGTTTATCCTGTGCAACATCAACCCGCTGGTTCCCACTGTTTGCCCCGTGGCCACGGAAGCGTGCCGACTGGCTTGTGCCCCGACAAATTGGGGCCCTCACCGGACAAATACAGGCCCGGACATGCCAATATTGGGCAGGTCGAGTGGATAAAGCCGCGCCGGACTTCGGTTGGCCCTAGAGTCTAGGTGGGCGAGTGCCCTTGAGGTTGAGCTGTGTTCTCGGCAGCATCGGCTATATTGTAGCCCTTGAGGCCATTTGAAAGGTACGGAAATGAAGGCGTATAATCAACTATAATAAAAAAGTAGTGGTGTCTGTGTGTGTGTCTGTCCGGTCCCGAATTCAACTCGAAGGGGAAAGGAGCTAGAGCTTAGCTCTCTTCGGATTCGGATAGAGCGTGGTCAGAAACCCCCAAACTGATAAAAAAATTACGAAAAACTTTTAGTTTAAATTATTAAAATTAACTTTGAAAGTGGCGCCTTAATAAAACGAGTGGGGGCCCCTCTCCCCGGGAGGCCACGCCCCCTTTCTCTTCGCCCCTCTTCCCCAGGCCCCTTCGCGCGCCCAGATGCCTTTTTGAGTTACTTTAATACTTTTAATACTTTTTAATTATGTTAATTAATTATTTAAATTATTTAAAGTATCTAAAGCCATCAGGAAGGTATTGAGGTAGTTTTTGAAGGGGATTTCAGCCATGGGGGGTATCTGAAGCCATCGGGAAGGGATTTAGGTAGTTTTTGAAGGGGATTTCAGCCATGGGGGGTATCTGAAGCCATCAGGGAGGTATCTAAGTAGTTTTTGAAGGGGATTTCAGCCATGGGGGGTATCTGAAGCCATCAGGGAGGTATCTAAGTAGTTTTTGAAGGGGATTTCAGCCATGGGGGGGTATCTGAAGCCATCAGGAAGGTATTTAGGTAGTTTTTGAAGGGGATTTCAGCCATGGGGGGTATCTGAAGCCATCAGGAAGGTATTTAGGTAGTTTTTGAAGGGATTTCAGCCATGGGGGGTATCTGAAGCCATCGGGAAGGGATTTAGGTAGTTTTTGAAGGGATTTCAGCCATGGGGGGTATCTGAAGCCATCAGGGAGGTATTTAGGTAGTTTTTGAAGGGGATTTCAGCCATGGGGGGTATCTGAAGCCATCGGGAAGGGATTTAGGTAGTTTTTGAAGGGGATTTCAGCCATGGGGGTATCTGAAGCCATCGGGAAGGGATTTAGGTAGTTTTTGAAGGGGATTTCAGCCATGGGGGTATCTGAAGCCATCAGGGAGGTATCTAAGTAGTTTTTGAAGGGGATTTCAGCCATGGGGGGTATCTGAAGCCATCAGGGAGGTATCTAAGTAGTTTTTGAAGGGGATTTCAGCCATGGGGGGTATCTGAAGCCATCAGGGAGGTATCTAAGTAGTTTTTGAAGGGATTTCAGCCATGGGGGGTATCTGAAGCCATCAGGGAGGTATTTAGGTAGTTTTTGAAGGGGATTTCAGCCATGGGGGGTATCTGAAGCCATCAGGGAGGTATTTAGGTAGTTTTTGAAGGGGATTTCAGCCATGGGGGGTATCTGAAGCCATCAGGAAGGTATTTAGGTAGTTTTTGAAGGGGATTTCAGCCATGGGGGGTATCTGAAGCCATCGGGAAGGGATTTAGGTAGTTTTTGAAGGGGATTTCAGCCATGGGGGGTATCTGAAGCCATCAGGGAGGTATTTTGGTAGATTTTTAACGGAATTTCGACCCGGAGGGGTATCTGAAGCCATCGGGAAGGTAGCTATGTTTTTGTGGGGGGGGTTGGCTAGGAGGAGGTATCTGAAGCCATCAGTGTAGTTATTGCCATGAAGGCATCAGCGTAAGGTAGGGATTAAATGTGGTGGTGTAGAATATGGAGGGTGGCCCGAAGTCCAGCCGATTGCAGTCGCGAAGCGGCTGTAATCGGCTGGTTTACGATATTTTATTACCGGAAACGGACACTTTTGGGTAAGAGGTCCGTTGAGTAATACCGCCATTGAATGTTAATGCTACTTTTCGTTATTTTCGGAAAGTTTTCCATCGGAAAAAATAGCGCGGAATTAAAAAAAACTTTCGGGTTTTGGCAATAAAAGATGGGCGATCTTGGTGGTTTTTGAGTTTTCAGGGCTGTTTTCGGGCTGTGATGAAACCATCTACAGTTTTCCATATAAAAGTAAGGTAAACAATTCAAACTAGCTTTTAGATAAGCTAGTTTGATTTTTTTCTAGCGCGAAAAGAACGATTTCTAATTTTACGACGATGCGTTAGGGCACGGTGATCAGCGTAGTTTTTTGGGTTTTTAGAGAAAAACCTAGAATAAGGCATTTTAGGACTTTCGCAGCTTTTGTGTACATTTTCGTTTATCGCTTTTTATCACCCTCCCCTGACCGCAGGTCCGGACCGTACAAATTTGTACGATGTGCGCGCCCGTGAGCTATGCGGAAGTCATGACTGATCACTCGCGGCGACCTTGACTGGAAGGAAGAACTAGCAGAATGATTGAGTGGCCCGAGGGCACGAATATCAGTCGAGCCATCGGATCGGCGCCGCCGACCCGAAGATCCTATCAACCGCGCACCTCTTGTTTGGGTGGCCAACGAGCAGAGGTTCTTTAGGACTTATTCGAGACTTGTAGGTATTTAGTTCTTCGACTGCCTGCTCGGGCATTCTAGCCGCGACGCTTTAGGAGTGTCTAGAAACTTTAAGGCCGATTTATGGATTGCCACGACAAGCTAACAGAGGCTATTTAGTAGTCCTCGAAAAGTGGCTGCGCTTTTTAAAGAATTTATTATTTCTTTTTGTAGATGCCGCCACCACTTCAAGGCAACGTAGCAGAGACCCTTTCGGATTGCTCGAAAAGTGACAAGGGTTTCATAGCAAGCAGAAAAGCTGGGGGAGCTGAAAATAACAGTTTTCAGGAAATCGATATGTTTTCTAGGCATTTTATGGCTAACTAGCTAACTAACTAGCAGAGAACTTTGTGGATCATTAAAATCCGCTTCTCACGCCAATTCTTATAAGTTTTCAGGGGGTCACTAACTCGGTTAAAAAAGCGCCCGCGGGCGCGCCCAAAATAGACATGCGCCCGCGGGCGCGCCCGAACTGAACCCCGTTGCGCCACTAGCGCAATTTGCGCCATCGGGCGCAAAAGCGCCAAGCGCGCATTTCGGTCACGGGAAAAGCGCGATTGGCGCAAGCAAAAAACACGGGCGCGCCCTCGGGCGCATTTGAATTTGTGAACACCTTTCAATCGCTCGAAAAAACGACTAAGTCCAGGAACTTTATAAAGAACTTTAGTTTATTTATTTTATAGTCGCAGTTAATTAACTTTTGCTATATATTTGGATCTGGTAAGTCTTTATAGTATAAGTTTTAGTTTATTATCGCCCCTGTCCTATTATTTTAATTGTGGTTTCTGCAAAACATGGATTCAGGCAATGCACGTAGGTTTCCATTATGTGCTAAATAATTTGCGCTTTTAGTAACCATGGGTGTGTAAGAATGAAGGTTCCGATATTACGTCTTGCTGTCGAACAGAAGCTGGTAAGTCCAACGGTGAGTCGATATATAAATATTACTTAGAGTTTACTAAGGCGAAGTTAGGGACTGTTTGCGGAAGTTACTTGTTTGGGCCATATTATAATTGTTATTTAACATTCTGGTAAGTAGTAAAGCATACATTTGGCGAACGTGGAGACAGAAGTGGGTTGGGCGATGTATCCGATTAAAAATGTAAGTTACGAAACAAAAGCAACCCAAAAATACAAATTCAGGCAAGCAGACCGTCCGTTTGTTCAGGGAACGTGAAGCCGCAGGTCTACTTTGGGTACTGCATCGCAAAAAGCTATCCAGTACCCTATTTTAAATAATAAAAGCATTATAAGAACCTATTCTATACTACACGGCAAGGAAAAGGGCGCGCCCGCGGGCGCTTTCCGGGTTTGGGGCGCGCCCTCGGGCGCTTTCCCGATTGCGCCCGCGGGCGCGCCAGCAGGCGCGCGCTTTCGCGCAATTTCGGGCGCGCCCGAGGGCGCTTTACTAACCGAGAAAGCCGGATCTCAGACAACGCCACGATCCTCGCAACGGTGCCCGTCAGCCGGTGTGGACGTAGTGGCGACAGTATTTGATGGATGAATTGAGCCTCGCTACTTGTCGACGCTGAAAAACTGGCTCGGGGATATAGAAAGACATTTTTTCAATTTCTCGGCACGCATTCTCCGTTATCTCCGTCATCGGCACGTGTCGGCAAGGCCACACGCCGACACACGCCCGCGCGTCTGCGGCAGGTCTTTGATCGGGCCGATCAAAAAGTTAGGCAACGTGGCGGCGCGTATAGTAACGTACTTATTTAGGAAATGCCATATATCTGAGGCAAATTAATCTTTAGTAACATAAATTCGTCATTAAACTACAGTTTTTCTAGGGATTTTCGCCCAAAAATTCATTTTTTAAAGCTCGTTATTGTCTCGTAAAAACTAGGGTTGGAAAGTTTTGGGCTTGTTTAAGTTGTGCGTTAAAAAGGCAGACTAGCATTGTTTCTTCAACCTTTGTCCAAGTTTTATTTGACTATATTTTGATCATCCTCGAATTACCGGCCAGCCCCTTGTAAAAGTTTTTTTTTGGCAGGGGAATTTTGGCTA